GACGCACTGGCACCTAGAGCAGCAGCCTCACAAGCACCTAGCGCAGCAGTACCAATGCCCGGGTCGGGCTGGAAACACCGGTAACCCTCATTCTCCTCACTATAAGTCACAGCATACATAGCAGCAAGGATAGCATCAAAATCAAGATCAAAGATCGCTACACCAGCCCTAAGAAGCTCATCCCAGCGAGGGATCTCAGTAGCCCCAGGGAACTGCTGACGCCAAGCGTCCGTCAGGCGGCCAAAGCAGCGCTGGGCAGCGTGGGCACCCCCACACTGCTCACCCGCGCGGTCGCCGGAACGAAGAACGTAGGTGCAGGGACCAGTACCCCCACCCCTCTGACGCCCAGCGTACCACTCACGAAGCTGCTGAGGCGAAGGGATGTCCCGCGAGCGCTGCTGCTGCTGCCGCTGCGAGCGCTGGCCACCACCACCGCCGCTACGCTGCTGGGTACCACCCCGACCAGCTCCACCTCCTCCACCACCACTGCCTCCTCCGCCGCCGCCTCCACCGCCTCCACCTCCGCCGCCTCCACCTCCGCCGCTGCCTCCACCACCACCGCTGGCACCACTACCACCGTCTCCGCCGCTGCTGCCACCACCACCACCACCACCCCCGCCACCAGTCCCGCCGCCACCCCCACTCCCTCCGCCGCCACCGCCGCCACCACCACCGCCCCCTCCAGCTCCACCCGCGCCCTTGCCCCCCTTGCCCTTGCTGGAGCGACGTCTCCCACTAGGGGCAGACGCCGCGCCGACCGACTCAAGACCAAGCAGGTCGGCAGCAGCAGCAGAGGCAACAGAGGGCAGCAAGGGGGAAGGAGAGCACCCCTCAAAGATGGGGGTGCGAGGGTCACCACGAGAAGCACCTACAGCGACTATGCTCTTCTCCGCTGCGAGGAGGGCCTTCTCGAGGAGGTCGACGGTGAGGGTGGTGGGACAGACTGCGAGAAAGTGGTCCCTGACGACGCGAAGGGAGTCAGGGAGGCGCGCGACTACGTAGTAGAGAGCGATGTACATGGGGGGTGGGTTCTTAGCGCAGAACTCAGCAGGAAGGGCGGCGCGGTAGCGAGTGTCACTAGTGCGGAGGTGCGTAATGAGGTCAGCGACAGTGGGAAAGGCAGAGAGGTCAGGAAAGAGGTAGGGAAGCATGAGACGGCTCAGTGCAGCAGTGGCAGGGGAGGAGTAGCGCGCAACTACAGCGTCGTACAAGGTCTGAGCACTCTTGTACTGACTAAAGTGCGCACGCTCAGAGTTAGGGAGGTGGCGACGCACAGCAAGACGTGCAGCAGCATCGCGAGTGGCCCACTGAGAGCGGACAGTGGGATCAGCATCAGCAGCAGGAGCAGGAGAGGCGCCAGAGGTGAGGTCAAAGAGAGAAAGGCTGTCAGCCCTGTCGCACTGTAAGAACAGCTGCAGGTCGTCTAACCAGACCTCAAAATCAATGGCGCGACCCTCAGTGTCAAAAGCTAGGACACTAGGGGTAGCCATGACGACGACAGCGAAGCAGTGCAAGCAGTAGGGGAAGAGCACGCAGTGACAGTGCGACTGTGCTCACCAGGCAGGGCAGGCCGGGAAACTCTGCAGAAGGGCGGCTCGGCGACTCAGCGACTCGGCTGCTGGGCGGCTCGGCTCCCGGGCGGCTCGGCGGCAGGGCGGCTCGGGTGCAGGGCGGCTCGGCGCTCGGGCGGCTCGGCGGCAGGGCGGCTCGGGTGCAGGGCGGCTCGGCTCCCGGGCTGCTCGGCGGCAGGGCGGCTCGGGTGCAGGGCGGCTCGGCTCCCGGGCGGCTCGGCGGCAGGGCGGCTCGGGTGCAGGACGGGGCCGGGACAGGGGACGGCGGGGCCGTCAGGGTGCAGCGGCGGGGCCGGCAGGGTGCAGCGGCGAGGCCGTGACAGGGGGCGGCGGGGCCGTCAGGGTGCAGCGGCGGGGCCGGCAGGGTGCAGCGGCGGGGCCGGGACAGGGGACGGCGGGGCCGTCAGGGTGCAGCGGCGGGGCCGTCAGGGTGCAGCGGCGGGGCCGGCAGGGTGCAGCGGCGGGGCCGGGACACGGGACGGCGGGGCCGTCAGGGTGCAGCGGCGGGGCCGACTGGTGCAGTGGCGAGGCCGTCAGGGTGCAGCGGCGGGGCCGTGACAGGGGACGGCGGGGCCTTTAGGGTGCAGCGGCGGGGCCGACAGAGGTGCAGCGGCGGGGCCGGCAGGGTGCAGCGGCGGGGCCGGGAGTAGGACGGCGGGGCCGTCAGGTGACGGGGCCCGCTGCAGTGACGAAGAGGCCGCGCGGCCGGCGTGAGGGCGGCGCGGCGCGGCAGAGCCGAGAGGGCGGCGCGGCGCGGCCGTAAGGCCAGCACGACGTGGGGCCCGGGCCGCGCGCGCGAAAAAAAAAGGGAGTCGCGCGCGCGACTCTCGGGGCGCCACAAGGGCAGCGCGACAGGCACTAGGGGGAGCGCGCCTCGGAGAGAATAGGGCGCGCTCCGGGCAGGAAAAAAAATCGTGGGTGGGCCCTTAAAAAAAACGGTCCTTAGGAGGGACCCGCTCTATACCATGTGAAAAGAATGAACAGGAATGAAATGACTAAGTCAGAGTTGGGTACAAATACAACCCTAGAAAGCTGTACCCCATATGTGCTACCCCACTATAGCCTACAAACATGCATCAGCTATGATAATCTGACATCGCGTACAGCAACAGCCGTTGTTCGCCCGTTACTGCTAACGGGGCTTCGCCTACTTCGCGCACACTGTTTTCACCAAACCTCGCACTGCTGGCATGGCCGTGTCGGCCTACGCTTCGGGACTAGCCCAAGCCTTGCTCCAGCGTAGCACTAGCTAAGCTCGCACGCACCGCGTTACCGTTTGCATGTTTCGCGTATAAATTTTCGCTCATGCCTTCGCTCACATTTGGTACTCGTTTGACACCTTAGTACAATTCTCGCTACTTCGATTCATTGCACCCGTAACACTTGGTATTCAGAGCCCTTTTCTTTCGGACCGCGCATCTCCGCACCTCAGGAAATCAACTTTTGATTTCTCACTCGAAGGGACTCACGTACCTTAGCACCTAGGAGCCGCTGTCCTCGCGTTCTCTCGTAAACGCGTGCAGCCACGACTGCGCCTAGACTAAGACGAGCCGACGCCCTTCGAAATGGCTGAACACATCGACGTCACGACTCTCACGCATGAGTACTTGAACGATCTGCTGCGACAAATCCGCGAGAGCGCCGAGGAAATTGCGATGCTAACGGCAGAACGCTCGGCCCTGCAAAACGACCTCACACGAGCACAATCCCAAGCACCGGGCACTCCGATTCAGCCCGCACCACAGACATCACAGCACGGAAGTGTGGGGCAACCCGCGAGCGCCGCAAGTGATGGCGTCGTCCGCCATGACGGAGACGACGACCACGGCACGACACACCCCGACACGACGAATGCGGCCAGGACTCAACCCCGAGTCACGATTCCAGTGCCGGCCGGCGAATCAACTCTTCCGTCGCCGATGCCGCTAAAGCCGCAGCGTCCGCCATGCTTTGACCCAAGTCAACGGGGTGGTCCTACCGTTCAGGCGTGGCTCTTCACGTTGAACGCCTTCTTCGACGCGAACTACGTCTCGGAGGATACGGCGAAAATTCGCTACGCCGTGTCGTTGCTGCGAGGACCCGCCATGGACTGGTGGCGCGTCATCGTCACGAAGCCGGTGGACTACGCGACTCTACCGACACGGGAAGGACAAACCGGACACTGGGCGCCGTCGTATTTCGTGGAGGTGCCCCAGTATCGCACGTGGGACGCGTGGTGCGCAGGTCTACGCGCTCGTTTCGAGCCAATCGCGGCTTCGATCGCGGCGCGGCAGAAGCTCCGCACTTGGCGCCAACTCGGTTCCGTCCAAGACTACACGAGCGGATTTCTGGCGCTATGCGAGCAGGTGGGATATATGCACGAGAGCGAGCGCATCGACCGCTACATCGGCGGCCTGAAGCAGGACATCGCTCAGGAAATCCAGCTTCGCGGCGTCACCGACTTTCAATAAATTCTCGCTATGGCGGAGAAACTCGATTTCTTCCGCCGACCGTGTCAGAATGTTATTCTCTAGCCTGTAGTGGGGTGTTTTATAGTGAGTACAACCCATTTAGGGTTTGCTATATGTATCCTCATTGCTGCTAGTGAAACCCCTCTTTGCCTAAACTTTCACTTGCCTACTTAGGACTTACCTAGCTATGGCTCCTAACTCTACCTACTACTCTCACATGGTTTCAGAGCACTCACGCTCCCGGGCTGTGGGCCCTACTGCTGCTTCCGCTGCCCTACTCTGTGTCGCGCGCCCCGTGGCGCGCTACCTCCAATTTTTCATGCGCGCGGCGGTTTTCTGCCCGCCGTGCGCCCCGGGGCGCGCGGCGGTGTCCTGCCATGGGGGAGCGCGCGCGCGCCCCGCTTGTCCGTCGCGGCGCCCTGAGGAGCCCGCGAGTGCCCCGCCCGTTCGTCGCGACGTCCTGAGGAGCCCGCGCGCGCCCCGCCAGTTCGTCGCGGCGCCCTCGGGAGCCTGCGCGCGCCCCGTCAGGCCGTCGCGGCGCCCTGGGGAGCCGCGCGCGCGTCCCTCCCGCCCGTCCGTCGCGGCGCCCTGAGGAGCAGCGCGCGCCACCCCCCTCCACCCGCCTAGCCCGTCCGTTATGGCGCCCTGGGGGTCTCGCGCTGTCCCCCCCCTCACCATCCCCCGCGCTCCTGCCCCTATCCCACGCGTTTTAGGGTTTTGGGGGTGAGGAGTGTGGGGGTGATGGTTGTGGGGGTGTCGGTTGTGCGCGCCGTCCCCTTCTCCTCCTCCTCCTTCGTCTCCCACTGCTGCAGCTGTCGCTGAGGGGGGTGGATGTGTGGGAGTCTGGGGTTTAGGGTTTAAGGGGGGTGCTGTGGGAGTGGAGCAAGAGTTTGAGCAATCAGACTCCAGTGTATTTAAACATGAAATAAGTGATTTTAGTATGTACACAGGCTTCCAGCACACACCCTCTAACATTACATCATCCACTAGATCCTTGTATTGATCCCTTCACATTCCACCAGAATCCGACCAGCGCCACCACAGTCAACACAAACAGGCGCACCCATGCAACCCAGTGCGTCTGCGCAAGCAAATACATGTTGACGCAGATGCCCATAAGTGGCACAAACGGGACCCACGGGCACGCGAAGCCAGATGCCGGCACGCCGTAGCGTTGAGCGAGGAACATTGGTGCAGATGATGCCAGCGATAAGAGGAAGAGAGGAGCAAGCATCAGCCAAGGTGCAGCGAACCTAGTGGCGAATCCCAAGGCAAGTACGGAGGCAACCAAGGCACAGACATACACCACAGCCTCGTGCCACTTGTCGCCACCCCATTGGGTAATCCAATGCGGTGGTGGAGGAACGTGTGTGTGCCCTGTCGCAGCCACACCACTGCCAGTCATACTGCTCCTGGTGGTGACTATACCCCCTTGTGCCAAAAGCGCATCATCCAATCTCTCCTCCCCTTCCTCCCCCGCACCAACACAGCCACTCCCCCCTCCATGATGTGACTCAACCCTTAAAGCCAGCACGCACATACACACTATAGAGTAACCCAGTAACACGCCCACCGACAGAATATGCGACAGCTTCCCCACGTCAAACATTGCCGCCATCGCCGCTGCCACTCCCCCCACCCACCACTGCGCATGCACCGGCACATGACTCCCCGCATTCACCTGTAGAAACCACACATGCAGCATCCCATCCCTCGCCAAGGCCAGATACATGCGCGACTGCACATACAATCCGGTCAGGAGAGTTGTTGTCAGCCCCACTACAGCCCCAAGATCGATTATTCTCTCCATGAAATGCAGCCCGAGGGAGGCGAACGCAGTGGAGAGCGGTGCAGCGGGGTCGAGGAGCGTGTACGGGACCATGCCGGTGAGGACAAGGGAGACGGAGATGTAGAGGAGGGAGCAGGCGGCGAGGGCAAGAAGGAGACCTCGCGGCACGTCGCGGCGCGGGTGGAGTGACTCTTCGGCTGTGTTGGCGACTGCGTCAAAGCCGATGTAGGAGAAGAAGACGAGCGCTGATGCTGATAGCATCGCCTGCACGCCACCCATGCCGGTGTTGCTTGCAGCAGCAGATGCAGCAGCGGCGGCGGTAGCAGCAGCAGCAGCAGCAGCGGTGGCAGGGGCGGTGGCAGTGGCAGCGGCAGCAGCGGCTGCGGCAGCGGTGGCAGCAGCCGGGGCGAGGGCAGAGGCGGCAGCAGAGGCGGCAGCAGGAGCAGCAGAGCTCAGCAGGGAGTCGGGCGGTGGGGGGAAGAAGGGGAACCAGTTAGCGGGGTTCACGTGCCCTGCACCCACAGCCACCACCAGCACCACTATCGCCACCTTGACTGACGTCATCACGTCGTTCACCCGTGAGGTCTCCCGCACCCCCCGGCATAGCAGCCATGTGATGAGCAGCAGGACAGCTGGCGCGACGAGATTGATCGAGAGGTCCAGCGTGGGTACAGGTGGCGGGGGGGAGGGGAGCAATGGGAACGGGGAAGGGGGGAGAAGAGGAGGAGAAGGAGGAGAATGGGAAGAAGATAGAGAAGGGAATGCGGTGGGGTGGAAAAAGGAAACTGCTCCCGCTCCTGCTCCCCACCCCTGATTCCCCCTCACTTGCTCTCCCCCATTTTCTCCTCCTGACCACAAATGGCAGAACCACCAGAGGAGCCACGACGGGGAGAGGAATGGCAAGGGGATGGACACAGGCAGGCCTCCTGGTGCGAGCACGCCGGGTAGCCCTGTTCCAGATGCCACCTCCACCAGAGACGCCAAATAACTCGCCAGGCTCCTGGCGATCGCCGCCGCCCCCACGTGGTAGTCCAGCACCAGGTGGCAGAACAGGACAAACGACGCGAGCTGCCCGAGGCACGCGTGCGCGTAGAGGTACGCGCCGCCCACCCGGCCAGGGAACCGGGCGGCAAGGTCGGCGTAGCAGAGCGCGTTTAGGAGAGACGCCAGGCCGGCTAGGAGAAAAGACAGGGACACGGCCGGCCCGGCCAATCGCGCGGCGACACCTGTCACGACGAAGATCCCTGAGCCAATGGACGCGCCGATGCCGAGAAGGATAAGGTCGAGGAGGGAGAGAGAGCGCGTGAGCGCGGGGGGCTTGGGAGGTGGCGGCATAGGGAATGCCGATTGCTGGGCGGATGCTGATTGGTCGACACTATCTACGTGGGCAGGATGGTCGATGCTAGCTCCTCCTGCTTTCCCTGCGGTGTCTGCCTCATTCGACTCGCGGATTGGGTAGATTTCCGCCAGAAGCGGGTTGGTCTCGGTACTCCCAAGGCTCACGGGCTCGAAAGCGTGAGTTACCCTCGAACCTGCGCTGCTTCTGCTGCTACCTCCGCCGCCGCTTGTGGCGCCGCGAACGCCGCTTGTGGCGCCGCGAACGCCGCTTGTGGCGCCGCGAACGCCGCTCGCGCTGGCGCTGGTGCTCGCAGCAGCGGGAGGCGTGGCAGCGGCACCGCTGCCAGCTAGACCTGCCACGTCAGCGGTGGAGGGGATCTTGACGTGAACGGCTGCTTTTAAGAAATTCCGCCACCACGAGGACGAGGAGGGTGGGGAGGACACCTGCCACGTCACGCCACCGGATGAAGACGTGGCATCGTGTACGCTCTGCGCATCCCGCGCAAGTTGCGGTCGGCGCGGGTGCCGCAAATCTGTATCGAAATCCGCCATGGTGAGTAGCAACCCTAAGCTTCTAAACTACTTGCGGTGCGTAGCATTCGAATTCTAAGGCGGATCGAGAGTGTTTTGAGACGTCTCAAACCGATCCTAGACTACTCGCGGTGCGTAGCGTTCGAAATTCAAGTTCGGATCGAGCGTGCAATGACGGAGACTCGCCAGGTGGTGCGGATCCGAAGCTTGAAACTCCTTCCACAGCGGCGAAAGGCCAATAGCAAAGAATAGCAGGCGTATCCTTAGTGAGCGGATGGTGACAACTTCAGGCTCAACAGCACCGAGGTTGGGAAACTTCAAGACGTTAAAATATAACAGCTAAAACATTATTCATAAAACGTTGCATTCCAGAATCTTGCATCCTGCAAGCCAAGCTCCTTGACAGGTTTAGTCATGAACTGTGTACATTCTTTTGATAATATAACACATACATACAGGAGCATAACAGGCGTGGAAATTACTGGTCAGGAGAGAACAGGCTACTGTCCTGGCCAATAATTTCAGCGCTTGTTGGAGCAAGCACCCATTCCCCCCAAACAAAAACCGGTGGAAATGGTTGGTTCTGAACGGAAAGGAATCCATTCAGTACCAACCACTCCTGCTAAAAAAGCAATTCACCACCTGCTCTTTCCATCCCATATTCTGATTTTATCCCTCCAGTCCTGTCGCCCGATCTCTATCACTGTACAAGGTGGGAAATGGAGGACGGAAGGACATGAATTAGATCGTGAAGATGCACGGAGGAAAAAAGCCCAGCAGGAGGTGTCACCGGAAGGACGCTCAGCATGACCTTAGGAGCGTGGTCCACAAACGACATGCTGCTGCTGCTGCTGCTGACAAAAGTTGGCATCGCCATACCACCGCCAAGCGACGACAGGGCATCAGCCGTGCCTGTAGCAGCTGCTGCAGCAGCATCAGCAGCACCGGCACCAAAACTCCCACTCCCCACAGCCGACGTCAGCACATGGGAAGCACTGTACGCACCAGCAGCTGCTGCTTTCACACCCAGTTTCCCCCCTATAACCTTAGCTCCAGCCACCTTGGCTTTAAGCTTGAGCTTGAGCAGCAGGCTCTTGGCCTTGGTGGAGTAAAAGGGTACCTTGAGCTGAGATGCCACCAGGGAGTTGCTCAACTGTTCCACTGGAACTGGGGGAGCATTCTTGGCTGTTTCCTCCACATCTATCTCTGCCGCGGTCCCTGCAGCTGAGATTTTTTCTTGCACGCCACAGCTCCCATTATTGACATTGCTGCCCGTGCCACCGCTGCTGGCGCTGCTGCTATTGCTGGTATCAGAAGCAACAGCAGTGCCATGGCGTGACACGAGCGCCCACGCACCGGCATTCACAGCAGCTATCACAAGCCCAGCCACGCCCAGCCCTGCCTCTGGCACCTCCCCCTGCGCCAACGCCGCCAGCAACCCCCCCCAGCCGGGAATAGAGGTGAATATGAGCATGAGAGCGGGAGCTGGTAGGTCCTGCAGACAGTGCATTTCCATCCACGTGCCTAGCCCCGAGCACATAAGCCCGCTGTATATGAGCGGCAGCAGCGCTGCTCCGCTGGTTCCTGCCATGTGTGTGGCACTGGTGAGGGTTTCCGGTAGGATTCCGTGTGGGAAGGCTGAGGAGGAGGAGAGGAGGTGGAAGAGGAGGGAGGAGAGGAGGGAGAGGGAGGCGAGGGACGAGGTCTGGACAGCGGTGAGGGAGAGCGGGTTGAAGCGGGTGCAGTGGGCCTCGCAGCGGAGTAGTGCCACGAGGGAGAGCAGGCATGCGAGCACGGGCCATGGGGTTGACAGGGGCAGAGATTGCCCCAGGGTGGAGAGAAGGGCGGAAGGGCCTGCGGCGGCGGCGCTGCTTGTGGTGGTGGCTCCGCTGGCTGCAACGATCGCCAGCATTGCGATGAGGGCGGATACGAGCGGTGCGCGCGATGTGCGGGTGGTGCTGCTGTTGCTGTTGCTGGGCGAGTCGTTGGCTGGTTCATGGCGGAGACGGTCGGTGAGTTGGAGTACCGGGAGGATGAGGAGCTGCAGGGGGAGAGGAGATGAGAGAATAGCAGGAAGAAAGAGATTGATTATACTGAACGGGCGTGAGCAAGAAGCAACGGGATGAGAAAGCATGGGAGTGATGCGAATGCGAGGAGATTGATAGTCGTTGCTGCATTTGCAGGAAACGTTGGGTGCGGCAGGGAGAAAGCCCAAGGTAAGGATCATCACGTCACGTACCGAGAGCAGCAGAAGCATTGGAGTGGAGGCGGTATCGGCGTTTGTGAACTGCGAGAGCAGGTCTCCCAAGAAGCTATATGCCGCTAGCTCCAGCCCTGCCTTTACCACCGTCGAGGATTCCGACTCATGCTTGGATGTCGAGTTCCTTTCTTCCACCGGCGGCGAAACATTCCCGTCACAGGCTGTCCCAGTGGAGTCCAGCACACGCTGTGACGCCGCGCCTTGGGAAGATGCGGTCGTCGCACGTCGCGCACCGTCGCCCACGCGACCTGCTGCGACTGCGAAGGTGCTGACGGCAGCAGGGGCGAACGGGAGGGCCGCTGCGGCGAATCGGATCGGCGAGGCAAATTCGGAGGGGACGTGATCCATGATGGTCGCGAGATGCGGCGCGAAATGCGGGGCGACGTCAGTGATATGAGAAGGCGCGGCTTCCGCCACGCGATTCACGGCGCACGCGGAGCCGTAAAGCACGGCGAGCCCGTTCGCGACGAGCAGCCCCTTCCGCCAGCGCCGCCTGCTGGGGGAGACAGCGGCGGAAGCCGCGCCGCCAGAGCCTGGGCGCGGGGAAAGAGGGACGCGAGGGCGCGGAGAAGGGGTCGGGGGTGGCCTTGGGGAGGGGGACGTGAAAGACGGCCACGTGGCAGCAGCACCGCCGCTGATTGGACTGCGCGCGGTCAACGTTGTATTCGACGGAGGCATGATGCGACGTCGTGACGACGCTGGTGATGGCTCGAGGAATGGTGAGTCAGTTGCGGCGCTGGTAGTAGTAGTAGTAGGGGCCGTCGCGGTAAGCGCAGAATTACAGCAGGACGCCGTGGAAGGGAATGATCTGGAAGAGGCCACTGATTGCGATAAAACGTGGCGATTGATTTTTGTAGTAATGCCGCCGAAGCTTGCCGGAGTGAAAGCGCGCCTAGTCGAAATGGAGATGGAGAGACCCGATCCAACGGCTGTGGCTTCTTGATAGGGAATTTGAGCCAATCCGACGGCACACGCCATTGCGCTGGATGGTAGCTCTGAGTCAGTGTTTCGCAATTTGGCCGCGAGTGCTTTGCAATTTGGTCTTCTAGGCGAAGTGTTTGAGCTGAATGTGGCCTCAGCCGAGTATGCTCGAATGGTACTCCTAGGCTGTCTTGCTTGACAGCAATGCGAAGGATAAGAAATGCTTCCTTGCTTCTTGAAGGAAGGAATTCGCACGCTGATGTTTGAGCAGCACGGGATCGGGATTTGGTTTTTAGTATTGCGAGATTGCTGAGAGAGACTGCAAATCTACTTATCAGTTGGCGAAGGGGAAGGTTGTGTGGGAGGGAGCAGCAGCAGCACAGAACCTGCAAGAAGCTTGCGTAGAGATCTTCGATTCACTGTTCCTCCCCCCAATTCTCGAATTCCAAATGTGCGATTCGAGACCGAATACATGCGACGCGGCTCCGTGAAGAGTGCATTCTTCCCTGCCAAGCTGACCATGGCTGGCTCTGGTTGATTGGGGCTCCGTGACAAGCGGCGAGTTCGGGGCAAATTTTGCGAACAAATGGGAGGGCAGTCGGTGGCGTGTATGCGAGCCGTGAAACATTCAGAACCACAAACATAGCTGAGTCATGCCCTAGATCATGGAACAACACATTCTTCAAGCTTCACAAGCACAACCTCCTCCTGGGTTCCAGACTTTCGGGAGAAAAACTCACAGGATGCAGGAAGTGTCGATGAGAGGCTAATGCTTTCTTGGCAAGCGCACGTGTCAGTGTGTCATGCTGATCTGGGCCTTACATTTAGGCAGTCCAGCTGGCAGCTTGACGTGCAGGTTTGAACTTTTCCTGCCCCAGCTTACCTCGTGCGGCAAGAAGGTGTCATCAGGGGCAGGCTGCTCCGGCAGAAACTGCGGTGGAAGAAAGCAGGCGTGAGCTTCTGCGAAAGGAACAGCTTTTGCAAGCTTCACCCCGTTGTTGCTGACGACCAGGTCAACGACCCAATCAAGCGTGTCTGTGCGGTCAAGAAATAATGGATCCGGTACAGACTGAATCAGCTTATGTTTGTACTCTGTGTAACACAGCATATTTTTTCTGTAACTAGAGTGACACGTCATTACTGAAGAGGCGCCTTTGAAATAGTTTTACCAGATTTTGGAGGAAAGGGGCAAGATAATAAATTATATTGTCAAAGTTAATGTTCTTATGACATGCGCCATCATTCTTTCGAGCAAAAGGCAACATCCCTAGATCTTAATTACACTTAGGACGCGGCACCTGTTTTCATTTTGCCAGGATCGATCGTGGGAGGGAATCTTGTACAGTGTATTGGCGACAACGCCAATGCCTGGTATCCTTTTTTCGCTGAACGTCGAGAATGTACAGTAAACGGGTACCCAAATTGGTGGCACCTGCAACTCGCACGATCGATGTGCCGTGGTGCTTGGCGGGAGAGCATATCGCGCCACAGGTGACAGCCTCGATCGATCGGCGTCGCCCACAGTCGCAGGCCAAAAATTCTTGAGTCGCTGCGAATGGAATTGCTGGACGACCATCCACGCTCTGCCCTGATTGGCTGCGCGTTTAAGTGTAATGGCAGCTCCAACCTGCCCGAGCCTGCATTTTAGATCCTGGCACCTATAGCTCGATGTGTTTACCCCACTGCAAATTTGCAGTGTGGGCACATTGGTGTGCCGATCGATATTCCAGGATCGATGTGAGGCCATGATCCTTGTAAAATGAAAATAGGTGACGTATAGTATACCGAACAGGTGTAAACAACCTTTCAAGAACTAAGTTTCAAATTAAAACCGATGCGGTGAGCGTGGATCGAACACGCGACCTTCAGATCTTCAGTCTGACGCTCTCCCAACTGAGCTATCCCCGCACATTTCTCAGATTTTTAAAATTAGTAAAGTTTTTTAAAAATGTGTTATTTTGTATTTTCTTCTTCACCTAGTTATGCATGGTTATGGCCGATGATGCCATGTGATGCTGCTTATAGCTCACAGCAACTGACAGCGACTGACATCCTAAACCAGCGAATCATGCCCTTTCGCTTTCTCGTCGCTTTGATTCCAAGAATTCACTCGTTAAAACTCGACCACTGCGTCCTCTACTCCACCGCCGTTCAGTGTTAGTCGTGCGCCATGGTACGCGCAACCAGCGGCTCAGATGGCAGATCCGCACAGCTTGCATCATCTGCGGCCGTCCATTTAAGCCGGTCGGTTCCAAATTTACAATCATCGCAGCCTTCCGCCTCCGCCGGTCCCGGTTCCGGCTTCATGACTCCCATCGCTTCCCCCGCCGCGCCCCATCTTCCCGCCTCTCACTCCGCCAGCCCCCTTGCGCCCCCGCCCCCTCCCGCGCCGTCCGCGGGCTTTGCGCCGCCGCGCAGCTCCCCCGCGCCGACCGCGCGGCTGTCGTTCGGCTCCGTGTGGCCCAAGGCGCGCGACGAGGCGATCGAGGTGGCAAAAGAATTCCCCAACGGCGACACATACTACGGCGGATGGTTACTCGTCGGAGGCGGGTTACCACACGGCCTCGGGTGTTACACCTGGGGCGACGGGAGCGTGTACGAGGGGGAGTGGGTGAAGGGGCAGAAAAACGGGCAGGGGATGTTTTTATGGCCGTCCGGGGCGAGGTATCAGGGGGAATGGAAAAAAGGGCAGATGCAGGGAGTGGGGACGTATTGGGGCGCGGACGGGTCTTTTTACACGGGCAACTGGGCAGCCGGAATAAAGCACGGGCTGGGCAGGAAAATTTACCCTAACGGGGATTCGTACGAGGGGTTCTGGAGCTGGGGCGCGGCGGAAGGTCCGGGGCGGTACAAGTGGCGCAACGGGAACGAGTACTTCGGGGAGTGGAAGGCCGGGACCATGAGCGGATTTGGCGCGTTTGCTTGGGCGAGTGGGGATAGGTTCGAAGGGGAGTGGGAGGGCGGGTATGAGCATGGGCCGGGGTCGTTTGTATGGGCGGATGGGAGTCGGTATGAGGGGACTTGGAGTCATGGGTTGAAGGATGGGAAAGGGGTGTTTTACCCTGCGGGGTATAGGTCCGAGGATGGAGTGCTTGGAGGGGGTAGATCGGGGGAAGAGGGGGCGGAAGGGGAGGCGGAGGTGGGGAGGTGGTCGAGTGGTGGGGAGAGGGAGTGTGCGCCGTGGGATGGTGAGGGGAGTGGGGATGAGGGGCAGAGGAGGGACGAGGAGGGAAGAGGAGGGGGAGAGAGAGGAGATGGAGGGAGAGAGGAGGAGGAAAGGAGGGGAAGGCAAAGCGAGGGCGGTGCAGGGGAGGGTTGGGAGCAAGAGAAGGTTCCTAGAGCTGTATCCCATGATAGCTATGTTAGCAGCAGCAAGAACCGAACCTCCAAGACAGGTTCGGCATTGGTCGGTGCCGCAGGCTTGGTGGAAGCCAGAGGCACGGCGGCTGCCCCGGCCGAAGCCGTGGCCCGTGGTTTGGCGGAGCAGGGGATAGGGCATGGCAGTGGTGGGAGTGGGAACGTTGAGGCGGGGAGTGGGAGGGTGGGGAGTGGGTGTGAAGCGGAGATGGGGTGGAAAGGGGGACAGCAGCAGGGGGAGCAGCAGCAGGGGGCTCAAGAGGAGCAGCAGGAGCAAGAGAGCCACCGCTCCCCCTGTGCTCTGCCCGTCAGTGTCTCAAGTCTCGCAGCCTCTGATACCACTCTCGCCACAACACAGGCACCGCGGCTCATCTCCTCGCCCCTCACTGCCCCTTTCCCTCCCGATGCTTCTGCTGCTGCTGGCATTACCGCCCTCCACAGCCCGAATACTGCTGCTGCTGCTGCTGCTGCTGCTGCTGCCCCGGTTGCTGCGACTGCTGGCAATACCGCTCTTCTCACCGCGGTTGCAGAATCCATTCAGCGTAGCGGCAGCAGCATCAGTAGCAGCAACTGCAGCACCAGCGGCGCTGCTACTGGCATTAGCCGTCGCTCGTCACGTGCTAGCACTGGTGATGCCTCTTCTGCTGCCATTGCCTCGTCTACTAGGATCAACCCCTCTGCTGCCAATACCCCTTCTGTTGCCAATGCCTCGTCTACTAGGATCAACCCCTCTGCTGCCAATACCCCTTCTGTTGCCAATTCCGCTTCTGCTGTCAATACTCCAATCACTGCTAATACCGCTAATCGAGAGCTCCAAAGGAGGAGAAGCAGCAACGATGCCAGTATCGAGAGTGACACAAAGGAGGGGGATTCAGGTGAATCTGTGAGGGGATTAGCAGCTCACCGGAGGCTAAGCTCGGCTGAATCCTCCCTTCCCCACTCCACCTCCTTCCCTGAGCGTACGCCTACGGTTGCAACTGCTGGTACACCTACGGTTACATGTGCGGGTACACCTACAATTACAACTGCAGGCACACCGACGGTTACAACTGCGGGTACGCCTACGGTGACAACTCTGAGCACGCCGACGCAGCGGATAGCGGAGTGGGCGCGGCGAGTGAGCATAGAGAGGCAGCTTGTAGAGGGGACAAGGGCGCTAGACCAGGAGCTGGGGCAGCAGGCGGCACAGCAGGAGCAGCTTTGGAGCGGGCCGCTGCGAGCCCTGAGAATGCTACGCACTGGGAGCTACGGCCAGAGCCCCAGTGATGGTGGTAACGGTGTTGTTGTTAATGGTGGTGGTGGTGGTGAGGGTGATAATAACGAGGGCAACGGTGAGGGTGGTTGGGGTAGTGGCAGTGGTATCAGGAGGAGTGGGACGGACGGTGGTGCCATAGCTGGTGTTTTGGAGCCGGAGGGGTTGGCAGAAAGGAAAAGCACACCAGATGTGGGAGTGGGGAGAGTAAGGGGAGTAAGGGGAGTGAGGGGAGTGAGGGGAGTGGAGGGAGGGAGAGGGATTGCAGAGGAGAGGGGATTAAGCAGAGGTGGGTTGCCTTTGGCGGGTAAGAGTCTTAGCTTGAGGGATGACCGGCTGTTGAAACTCGAACCTGTTGACGCGAGGAAGGTTTGGGGGAGCTTCCGGACCGGGCGGGAGGCTCGGTCGGAGGCTCGGGTGGAGGGTCGGGCGGAGGCTCGGTCGGAGGTTCGGGTGGCGAGCGAGTGGGTGGAGAGTGTGTTGGGAGGGGAGGAGGATGGGGGGGAAGGTGGGGGTGGTTGGGGGACGAGAGGGAGGAGAGGGAGGGGAGGATTGGGTTGGATTAGTCACGGACGGATTCATGAGGATTCAAAGACAACTCGTACAGCAAGTAATGGAGCAGGGGATTGGGATGGTGTTATAGAGGAGGAGAGTGAGAGTGTGGGTGGTGGGGGTGATGCAGGGGGAGGAGTCGACGAGGAAGAGGATAATGGGGAGGAGGAAGGGGGGGAGGGGGGGGAGGGAGAGGATGAAGCGGAGGAGGAAGCATATGGGTCTGAAACAGAAGGGGAGGAGGAGGAGGAATCAGATGATTCTTCTGTTGAGCGTGACAATGAGGGAGAGGAGGGCCGACAGCTGGTCAGGAGAGTTGCGGGCGAGAGGGGGGGGCAAGAGGAAGCGGAGGAGGGAGGCGAAGAGGAAGGGAAAGGCAAAGGAGGTTCAACAGCAGCAGCAGCAGCAGCTGGAACTGCGGAGGGAGGAGAAGCAGGGCTGGAAGTTGTTAGTACAGCTGCAGTTGCGGCAAAAGCACCACAAGCAGGCTTGCCAGCAGCAGCAGCAGCAGCAGCAGCAGCAGCAACCGAAGCAGTAGCAACGGCACCCCAGGAGGTATCAGGGACTTCTAGCTCCGTGCCTGGCCTTGCCCCGCAGGCTCAGCAGCATGCAGTGCGCCCGCCGAGCCTGCAGGTGCCGAACCCAGGTTCTGCAAGCCTGACGCCGAGCCTAGTGTCTCCAGGCCACGTTCGGGATTTGGACGAAGCAGCAAGGAGGGAGAGGAGTCCTAGGGAGCCGTGGCAGCCTAACCACTCTGGCATGGGAGTGGCAGCAGGAGCAGCAGGAGCAGCGGCAGTGGCAGGTGCTGCAGCAACAGCTGTAGCAGCAGGCGCAGCCGCGGTGTTTACAACGGCTGCAGCTGCAGTGGCAGCAGCAGCAGGAGGAGCAGCAGTTAAAAGACAGCATGAGACAAGTAGAGAAACCCAGCCAGGGGCAAGTAGAGTTAATGAAGGGGTAAGGGATGAGGGTGTGGCGGGAGCATGCGCAGGGGGGTTAGGAACAGGGGGAATGATAAAAACAGAGGAGGGAGGGATGCAATCAGCAGAGGGGGTGAGTAAAGCAGGAGAGAGAGGGAGCACAGCAGCAGGCGCGGGGGTGACTGCAGCAGCTGGCTTGGGAGGGACCACGTCGAAGCAGCAGCACAAGATGGCGAGGTTGGTGACCATGGGCCCTGTGCCGGGGCGCAGTGTGGCTTACCATGAGCCGGGGCGGGGAGGGTCGGCATCTTCTGAGCCGGGGCGGGGAGGGTCGGCATCTTCTGAGCCGGGGCGGGGAGTGGTAGGGTGTCTTGAGCCAGGGAAAGGGGCAGCGAGTGAAGAGACGTCTCGATCGGGGCCGCTGGGCATCCGAATGGCTTCTGACACGGCTGGCGTGCGAGGTGAGCGGTGGTGTGCGGTGGGGCTGGGTGGGTGGGTGTGTTGTGGGGAGACACGGGGTACCAAGAGGTAGTGTTGGGGAGGGGTGGCGAGTGAAGAGGTGTCTCGATCGGGGCCGCTGTGCATCCGAGTTGCTTCTGATACTGCTGGCGTCCGAGGTGAGAGGTTGTGTGCGGTAGTGCTGGGTGTGTGTGTGTGTAGTGGGGAGGGATGGATTACCAAGAGCAGGGGGGAGGGGCAGCGAGTGAAGAGACGTCTCGATCGGGGCCGCTGGGCATCCGAGTTGCTTCTGACACTGCCGGCGTGCGAGGTGAGCGGTTGTGTGCGGTGGGGCTGGATGATTTGTCTACGCAGTAGGGCGAAAAGATGTGAAGGGGTGTGCGAGGTGACAGGGTGTGTGTGAGGTAGGGGGTGTGTGCGAGGTGAGGGTGTGTGTGTGCTGCGCGTCACCTCTCCTCTCACCTCGTTTCCCCACAACCCCCCTCCTGTTGTCCCCATCTCCCCCCCATGCGTGCAGGTGGCGAAGGGTCAGCATCAGCATCTCTAATCACATCCCCCATGTTCAGCACGAGCCACGCAGTGGGAGCGCCCACAGGGGCGGGGCAGGGGGGCAGCAGGCCGAAGCCGAGCATGCGGAGGGGAACGGTGTTGGTGAGGGAGTATGTGCAAGGCGTGCTTGTTTCTGAGACGGCCAAGAGCGACAAGACCGTGCTGCCTGTGAGTATCGTGGTTGTATCATGGTGCTGGAACAACAAGGGGGCCTGACTGGGCAACAACATGGCAGGCAGCTGTACGAGGCTTGTCTATACAGGGTTCTCAATGAAGAGGGTTCTCAATGAAGAGGGTTCTCAATGAAGAGGCTTCTCAATGAAGAGGCTTCTCAATGAAGAGGCTTCTCAATGAAGAGGCTTCTCTTCACGAGGGTTTGTGTCCCCTCTTCATCGGGCTTCTCAATGCTTTTGAGTCGACTCACGAGGGTTTGTGTTCCCTCTTCATCGGGCTTCTCAATGCTTTTGAGTCGACTCACGAGGGTTTGTGTCCCCTCTTCATCGGGCTTCTTGAAGAAAGTGGATCGGTGAACTTAGGGCACGATAGGAAGAAGAAATCTCCTTAGCAAGAAAATGGTACAAGTCTTAAAGACTAGAGCAAGGTCCTTGTCAAGGATAATCCCTAGTGAAGTGGGAAGCCACATATATGTGGCTGAACTCTTGAGGCTAGCTGCAGCACCTCAATGCTGAGGGCTAGGCTAGCCAACCTTGCCAAGCTAGCAAGTGAGGCCACATGTTGCACATGTGGGCCAGGCTGGAACAACAGCCCACATGACAGCATATGGCACACCATAGAGGCCAGCAAGGTGAGTGTGGGATGAGTGGACAGGTGGCAATGCCAGCTGTGACCACACTTCACTGTGGTGGAGTGTGGTAGAGTGTGGACATGTAATGTGGAGCATAATGAGAAGGGAACCTGCAGCTACTGAGAATTGAACCCACAACCTCTAAGACCACAGGTGAGAATCTACCATCCGGGACATATTTGCTGCACAACACTTCTCAATGCCCTGCTCATAAACCCTTCCTCCTCTTCGCTCGTCTCATCCTCCCATTTGCAGCGAAACAAGGGGCCAAGGCGGGAAGGCAAGAAGGCGGGCGAGTTGATATACAAGGGTCATCTGTCGTACGACCTGATGGTCACGCTGCAGCTTGGCTTGCGGTGAGACTGGGTTGGCTGTCCGATCATTGTGTGGTTAGTGGAGTGTTGAGTCGCTGTGCGGAGTGTCAAAGAGGGAAGGCGGGCGGGTTGGTATACAAGGGCCATCTGTCGTACGACCTGATGGTCACACTGCAGCTTGGCTTGCGGTGAGACTGGGTTGGCTGTCCGATCATTGTGTGGTGAGTGGAGTGTTGAGTCGCTGTGCGGAGTGTCAAAGAGGGAAGGCGGGCGGGTTGGTATACAAGGGCCATCTGTCGTACGACCTCATGGTCACGCTGCAGCTTGGCTTGCGGTGAGACTGGGTTGGCTGTCCGATCATTGTGTGGTGAGTGGAGTGTTGAGTCGCTGTGCGGAGTGTCAAAGAGGGAAGGCGGGCGGGCTGGTATACAAGGGCCATCTGTCGTACGACCTCATGGTCACGCTACAGCTCGGCTTGCGGTGAGATGAGAGTGGCTGTGGGGTGGGGTGAGGCATGCTGGCTTCTGCTTGCTTTGAGACGTCTCAAAACACTCCTTCTTTCACGCGACTGGCTGTGGGGTGGGGTGAGGCATGCTGGCTTCTGCTTGCTTTGAGACGTCTCAAAACACTCCTTCTTTCACGCGACTGGCTGTGGGGTGGGGTGAGGCATGCTGACTTCTGCTTGCTTTGAGACGTCTCAAAACACTCCTTCTTTCACGCGACTGGCTGCGGGGTGGGGTGAGGCATGCTGGCTTCTGCTTGCTTTGAGACGTCTCAAAACACTCCTTTCACGCGACTGGCTGTGGGGTGGGGTGAGGCATGCTGGCTTCTGCTTGCTTTGAGACGTCTCAAAACACTCCTTCTTTCACGCGACTGGCTGTGGGGTGGGGTGAGGCATGCTGGCTTCTGCTTGCTTTGAGACGTCTCAAAACACTCCTTCTTTCACGCGACTGGCTGTGGGGTGGGGTGAGGCATGCTGGCTTCTGCTTGCTTTTCTGTGCTGCATGGAGTGTTGAGTTAGTGTGTGGTGGGGTGTAAATCAGTGAAGGCGGGCGAATTGATATACAAGGGGCATCTGTCCTACGATCTTATGGTCACACTGCAGCTTGGCTTGCGGTGAGATGAGACTGGCTTAGTGACGCTTGCCCATTGGAGTGACGCTTGCCCATTGGAGTGACGCTTGCCCATTGGAGTGGCTTGAGATGAGGCTCCACTCCGCTTGCAACTCTACTCTGTGCTGCGTGGCGTGTTGAGGGGCTGAGTAGAGTGTCAAGGAGGGAGGGAAGGGGGGCTAGTTTCTTTGCAAAGTTGAGAGAGAGTGACTTTGCCCAGCACCCAGCCAGTATCCATTCTCTCCTCCCTACCCTGCCACCCAACCCCCCATTCCAGCCACTCCATAGGTCGCATGGGGCTGGACTCCGTACGGGAGTTGAGAGAAAGCGACTTCTCGCAACACGCACGCAGCCAGTACGCTTTCACTCCTTAACCGGCCGCCTTCATCTGTTCCCCCTCCCCTCCACCGTCCCCAACACCCCAGCTACTCCATAGGGCGCATGGGGCTGGATTCAGTGAGGGAGTTGAGAGAGAGCGATTTCTCCCAGCATGCGGGGCCAAGGGCTGTGCGCTTCCCCCCGGAGGGCTCTCAGATCACTCCCCCGCACCAAGTAGCTCCCTTCAAGTGGCGGGATTTCTGCCCTGCCGTATTCAGGTGCGTCAGGTGTTACCTTCTGCTGCTTCCAGGTGCGTAAGCTTTCTCCCTTCTGTTGTGTGCTTCCCCCCGGAGGGCTCTCAGATCACTCCCCCGCATCAAGTGGCGCCTTTCAAGTGGCGGGACTTTTGCCCCACCATTTTCAGGTGAGTCAGGACTCAGATGTTCTTTGTCAGGTGCATCAGGCGTTCTTTTCGGTCATGCGCTTTCCCCCACATGGCTCTCAGATCAACCCCCCCCATCACGTCGCACCTTTCAATTAAGAGGCGACGCCTTTCCCTTCCCTCCGCAACCGTTCGTCCTTGCTATCCAGCAGGGAGGTGCAAGCACTGTTTGCAGTATATCCGACTTTTGAGACGTCTCAAAAGTTCGTCCTTGCTATCCAACAGGGAGCTGCAAGCACTGTTTGCAGTATATCCGACTTTTGAGACGTCTCAAAAGTTCGTCCTTGCTATCCAACAGGGAGCTGAAAGCACTGTTTGCAGTATATCCGACTTTTGAGACGTCTCAAAAGTTCGTCCTTGCTATCCAACAGGGAGCTGCAAGCACTGTTTGCAGTATATCCGACTTTTGAGACGTCTCAAAAGTTCGTCCTTGCTATCCAACAGGGAGCTGCAAGCACTGTTTGCAGTATATCCGACTTTTGAGACGTGTCAAAAGTTCGTCCTTGCTATCCAACAGGGAGCTGCAAGCACTGTTTGCAGTATATCCGACTTTTGAGACGTCTCAAAAGTTCGTCCTTGCTATCCAACAGGGAGCTGCAAGCACTGTTTGCAGTATATCCGACTTTTGAGACGTCTCAAAAGTTCGTCCTTGCTATCCAACAGGGAGCTGCAAGCACTGTTTGCAGTATATCCGACTTTTGAGACGTCTCAAAAGTTCGTCCTTGCTATCCAACAGGGAGCTGCAAGCACTGTTTGCAGTATATCCGACTTTTGAGACGTCTCAAAAGTTCGTCCTTGCTATCCAACAGGGAGCTGCAAGCACTGTTTGCAGTATATCCGACTTTTGAGACGTCTCAAAAGTTCGTCCTTGCTATCCAACAGGGAGCTGCAAGCACTGTTTGCAGTATATCCGACTTTTGAGACGTCTCAAAAGTTCGTCCTTGCTATCCAACAGGGAGCTGCAAGCACTGTTTGCAGTATATCCGACTTTTGAGACGTCTCAGAAGTTCGTCCTTGCTATCCAACAGGGAGCTGCAAGCACTGTTTGCAGTATATCCGACTTTTGAGACGTCTCAAAAGTTCGTCCTTGCTATCCAACAGGGAGCTGCAAGCACTGTTTGCAGTATATCCGACTTTTGAGACGTCTCAAAAGTTCGTCCTTGCTATCCAACAGGGAGCTGCAAGCACTGTTTGCAGTATATCCGACTTTTGAGACGTCTCAAAAGTTCGTCCTTGCTATCCAACAGGGAGCTGCAAGCACTGTTTGCAGTATATCCGACTTTTGAGACGTCTCAAAAGTTCGTCCTTGCTATCCAACAGGGAGCTGCAAGCACTGTTTGCAGTATATCCGACTTTTGAGACGTCTCAAAAGTTCGTCCTTGCTATCCAACAGGGAGCTGCAAGCACTGTTTGCAGTATATCCGTCAGACTGCATGCTGTCGCTGTGGGCGAGGCAATACAGCGTTGAGCTGTTCGCCTGTCCTTTCCTTTCCCTCTACTCCTTCCTGTAACACCCAAAACCGCAGGGAGCTGCGAGCGCGCTTTGGAGTGAATCCTGTCAGACTACATGCTGTCACTGTGCAGTGATACAGAGTTGAGAGAACTGTTCATTTGTCCTTCCCCTCAATTCCCAAGGCTTCCCCGCCAGGCAAGTCGGGCAGTGTCTTCTACCCCTCCCATCGTCTTCCCCTTCACCTCCCTCCCGTGAATCGTGATACACCACCCCACAGGGAGCTGCGAGCTCTATTCGGAGTTGACCCGTCAGACTACATGCTGTCGCTGTGTGGTGACACGGCGTTAAGAGAGCTGTCTTCCCCGGGCAAGTCGGGCAGTGTCTTCTATCTCTCCCACGACGATCGCTTCATCATCAAGACAATGCGACGAGCCGAAGTGCATGTGAGTGTTTAGGCGCCAAGCTGTGCGAGTGCTCAAGCAGCCTCTGGGCAAGTCGGGCAGCATCTTCTATCTCTCCCACGACGATCGCTTCATTATCAAGACCATGCGACGAGCCGAAGTGCTCGTGAGTGGCTTAGACAATTTTCCTCGTGGGCGTGATATGAGCGACTTCTGACTTAGCATTCCTTCGCCTGCTTCAGGGTTTCTGTGGCCTGCTCCTCCTTGATAATCCGAGTCACTTTGCTTGCAGAATAGAATATTATCAACATACATATCTATATACATATATTACAAAGGTTGCTTTGTCTTTCCCTCCGTCTTGCCCCTTCCTCCCAGGTGCTCCTGCGAATGCTCCCGGCATACCACGAGCACGTGAAGCAGTACGAGCACACCCTGCTCACCAAGTTCTTCGGCCTCCACAGCTGCAAGATCTACAAGCCCTCCACCGTGAGTCCTTCACTTCACCTGTCCTGTGCTGGTGGCTGTGGCACAGCATGTGTGCGTGCGTGTCTGTAGTGTGGTTGAAGAGTATCTGGATGGACTGCCTTTTCAACTCTGACGTTCGTTTGCACTGCTCTGTTCCCTCCCACGTCTCCTTCATTGCTCCCTTCTCCTCCTCCTTCCCCCCTTATAACCCTTCCACCCCTGCAGGGTAGCACCGTGATCCGATTCGTGGCGATGGGAAACCTCCTCAACTCAGACGTGCGCTTGCACTGCCGCGCTCATTGCCTCACTCACGCCTTCCTCCCTCCCTCCTCCTTCCGTCCCTTCAACCCCTCCCACTCTTTCAGGGCAGCACCATGATCCGATTTGTGATGGGAAACCTCTTCAACTCCCACGTGCGGCTGCACCGTCGCGCTCCTATCCCTCCCCACTCCTTTTTTCCTCATACCTGCCACTTGCATCCCGCCTCCCTCCTTCATCATTCCCCCCGTTTCAGGGCAGCACCATGATCCGATTCGTGGTGATGGGCAACCTTTTCAACTCAGACGTGCGGCTGCACCGCCGCTTCGACCTCAAGGGCTCCTCACAGGGGCGCAGCATGGACAAGGTGGCGATCGATGAGACCATGACGCTCAAAGATCTCGACTTGGACCTCGCCTTTAGGCTGCACGGGGGATGGAGAAACCTGCTGCTCAGGTGCGTGTGCCGTGTGGGTGAGCATGAGAGGTGCGTGTTGCGTTGACCTCAAGGGCTCATCGCAGGGGCGCAGCATGGACAAGGTGGCGATTGATAAGACCATGACGCTCAAAGACTTGGACCTGGACCTTGCGTTCCGGCTGCACGGAGGGTGGAGATACCTTCTGCTCAGGTGCGTGTGGGCATGGAAGGGGTGTGCCTTTTTTACCTCAAGGGCTCATCGCAGGGGCGCAGCATGGACAAGGTGGCGATTGATGAGACCATGACGCTCAAAGACCTCGATCTAGATCTCCCCTTCAGGCTGCATGGCGGCTGGAGGGACCTCAAGGGGTCGTTGCAGGGCTGCAGGGCTCATCGCAGGGGCGCAGCAAGGTGGCGATCGATGAGACCATGACGCTCAAAGACCTCGATCTAGATCTCCCCTTCAGGCTGCATGGCGGCTGGAGGGACCTCAAGGGGTCGTTGCTGGGCTGCAGGGCTCATCGCTAGGGGCGCAGCAAGGTGGCGATCGATGAGACCATGACACTCAAAGACCTCGATCTAGATCTCCGTCCCATCGTTTCCCCCCCGGCCCCCCTCCCTTGCAGGCAAGTGGCCGCGGACTGCCACTTCCTGCAGTCCCAACGCATCATGGATTACAGCCTCTCCTCTTGGGCATGCATTTCCGTGCCACAGACCTTTGAGTCGACTCAAAAGGCATTTCCGTGCCACAGACCTTTGAGTCGACTCAAAAGGCATTTCCGTGCCACAGACCTTTGAGTCGACTCAAAAGGCATTTCCGTGCCACAGACCCGCCCTCTAGCGCCTCCTTTCTATCCTTCTTCCCTTCTCCCCCCCTCCCTTGCAGGCAAATGGCTGCCGACTGTCATTTCCTCCAGTCGCAACGCATCATGGATTACAGTCTCCTCTTGGGAGTGCATTTCCGAGCCACAGACCCGCCCCCCCCAATAGTCACCATCGCTGAAGGCAAGGTCACAGGTCCTGAGGCATTCCTTCCCCCCACCTCCTCCTCCTCCTCCGCCTCTGCTCTCCCCGCCCCCTTCCCCTTCCCCAAATCCTCCTCCTCCTCCGCGCTCCTGTTTTCCGCGCGTGAACCCCCAATGGGAGGGGCAAACGGGTTGCGTATGCCGTTTGGAGGTGGGGGGGTGGGGGGAGGGGGTGGGGGAGAGGGAGCAGGTGGGGGAATGGGAGGAGTGAGTGTGGAGGTTGGAGGAGTGAGTGTGGAGGAGGGGGAAGAGGGCGTGTATACTCCTGGGTCTGAGCCTCAACCGTTGCCGCCTTGGGCTAGTGAGGGAAAGGGAGGGGGAGGAGCTAGCAAAGGAGAGGCAAAAGGGGGCAGAGGATGGGGAGGAGGAAAAGGAGGTAGTGGAAGGAGAGGGGGAAGGGAAGCAGGAGGGGAAGGGGGAACAGCCGGGGGCGTTGATTTGGGAGAAGAAGCAGCAAGAAAGGAAGCAGAAGCAGCAAGAAAGGAAGCAGAAGCAGCAAGAAAGGAAGCAGAAGCAGGTTCAGTGAGTGGGAGGAAGAAAGGGCTTGGAAAAGCTGCTGGTCCCGGAGGGAAGGTGAGCAGAGGGAAGAGGTTCGGTAATCGGGTTCAAAAGCCTCGTTCGGCCCCAACCTCGCACGAGAACCTTGCTCTGCTCGAGCCTGCCGAGCCTGGGCCGCTGAACCTGCAGGCGAGGCTCGGATGCCAGGAAGCGAGAGTAGGTATGGGGGGAGGAGGGGGTGAGGCGGAGTGCAGAAGAGAAGGGTGTTTGTTAGGGCAGCAGGCGGAGGCAGTGGGAGGGGAGAGGGTGACCGATGGGTGTGCGATGGGGGGGGATGCGGTGGGAGAGGATGCGTCTTCTTCTCCGCTTCATGGCAGTACGAGTCCTCTTCTCCCTCTCTCTCCCCCTCGTCCGCTTCCCCCGCCCGAGCTGTACCCACCTTCAAAGCAGCCACCACCACCACCATCACCAGCCGTACCAGCAGCAGCACCACCATCACCATCACCATCACCATCATCAGCAGCAACGGCAGCAGCAGCACCGCCATCACCGGCAGCAACAGGCAGCCAGCAATCGGCATGGATCGGCCGATTCTCCCCTTCAACTCAAACCTGGCGCCGCCTATTCCGCCCCTGGCAGCAGCAACAGGCTCATCACCCCCATCAGCAGCAGCACGCACGGCACACGCAGGGCTCTGCCAGTCAGTCCACTCGAGCAAGGAGGTCAGTCACGAGCGATGGAGCACCGCTTCGCCACTCATCGGACAACGTCGCTCAGCTGCTCTCCTCCTTTCGTCCTGGCACCCAAGCCAGCCCTCTACTGCGCCCAGGCACCCAAGTTAGCCCTTTCTTGCAGCCCCAGTCCTCTGGAGCGCCTCATACACCCCAGCCCCATCCCCTTGCTGCCTCTCACACCAACCAGATAGATACCACTGGCGCTGGTGGGGGGGTGGGAGGGGGAATGGGAGGGAAAGGGGAAGGGGGAGGGGGAGGTGATGGGGAAGGGGGAGGGGCAGGGGGAGGGGGGTCTAGCATACCTCATAGTGGAGAGATGACCTGCTATTCAGTCTTTGCCAGATTAAGCCACACGCACCCAGACCCACCGCCTCTCACCATCCCCCCTTCCGCCACGGCACCTGAAGCAACCTTCTCAGGTTTTTCCCCAGGCACTCCTGCCTCCAACCCCCTCCCAGCACCGCCTGCCGCTCCTGGAAACGCCGGCGCTGCCCCAGGTGATTCTTCAGGTGCCGGCAACAGAGCGCCACCAGGCAGCAGCAGCGTCAGCAGCAGCCCAAGACCCCCGGCAGGATCTGCCTCTCTTGCTGCCAGTGCTAATGCCTCTGCCACTGCCTCTGCCAGTGCCAATGCCAATGCCTCTGCCACTGCTACCAAGCCTCCCTCCCCCAGATTCGGCCTGTCTGCACTAGTGGGGGCGTTACGCTCCCCCACTTCCAAAAGGCAGAGCCACGTGAAGCGAGGGGGGGGCCTGTCTGTGCCTGCAAGCCCGTGGCTGCACCCTGTGCTGGGGAAGGTGCAGGTGCAGCCGCAGCAGGACGAAGGGGGTCAGGGGGAGCAGATTCAAGGCCCACGAGGGCAGCAGCAGCAGCAGCAGCAGGAAGGGCAGCAGCAGCAGCAGCAGCAGGAAGGGCAGCAGCAGCAGCAGCAGCAGCAGCAGGAAGGGCAGCAGCAGCAGCAGCAGCAGCAGGAAGGGCAGCAGCAGCAGCAGCAGCAGCAGCAGCAGCAGCAGCAGCAGGAAGGGCAGCAGGGGCAGCTGCAGCAACCCAGACGGCCCTCTGAGCCTCTGTCAGCAGCACCAGCTCATGTGTATGCACATGCATATGCGCAGAGGCAAGGACAGCATGGGCAGCAGGGGAGGGGGGCAGGGGCGGTGCTAGGGCAGGGCATGGCGGCAACGGCAGTGCGGCTGGACAGGAGGAGCAGGCGGCCCATCAGAGACCCCACCAGAGCGGAGGCGTACGAAGTGGTGCTGTACTTTGGAATCATTGACATCCTGCAGGTGGGTGTGTGCATGGGTGTGTGTGGGTGCGTAGGGGTGCGTGGTTGCCGGGTGTGGGTGTATGGTAGGAGCCTGGAGGTGAATCCATCTGGTAATCAACTTTTGAGAGACCCCACCCGAGCCATCTGGTAATCAGAGGCCCCACCCGAGCAGGGGCGTGTATGAGGTGGTGCTGTGCTTCGGCATCATTGATATCCTGCAGGTGGGTGTGCGCGTGTGTGATTGCATATGGGTGTGTGTGCGTGGGTGTGAATGCATATGGGTGTGTGTGCGTGGGTGTGTGTGTGGGGCAAACTGAGGCCGATCAGAGACCCCACCGGGGCAGAGGCGTATGAGGTGGTGCTGTATGTAGGTATCATTGATATCCTGCAGGTGCGTGTGCTTGTGTGGGGTTGGATGGTTGGAGCTTGGAGCACTTGTTTGTCTGATTGGAGAGATGGTGCCGGCAGAGACCTTACACGGGCAGAGGCGTACGAGGTGATTGTAAATCTCTCAAAAAACACTTAAGCTTCCACACCCTCAACAACCCAAACCCCTATTTCCTCCAACCTCGGCACCACAGGAGTGCGACTACATGAAGAAGCTTGAGAATTCGTACTAGTCCTTGCAAGAGATTGTTTTAGAATGCTAAAAGTACCACTCCCTCAACCACCCTGTACTGCACTGCACCGCATGAGTACGACTACACGAAGGTGGAGCATCTCTACAAGTCTGGCTACGTTGATGGTACCATCAACTTAGCTGGTTTTAGGTTTCTCAAAAAACACTTGAGCTTCCACACCCTCGACCACCCAAACCCCCAATGCCTCCACCGCACTGCACCGCAGGAGTACGACTACACGAAGGTGGAGCATTTCTACAAGTCCATTCAGTACGACAGCCACTCCATCTCCCCTCTTATTGCCACTCCATCCCCTGTTTTTCCAACAACAACTCAACTCCCCCAACCACCCCGTACCGTATTGCACCGCAGGAGTACGACTACACGAAGGTGGAGCATTTCTACAAGTCCATTCAGTACGACAGCCACTCCATCTCTGCCGTCGATCCCACCACCCCATACCACCCACCTGCTGAGGGATTCTGAATTTGTTTGTAACCGCCCACCACCCTGTACCGCATTGCACCGCAGGAGTACGACTACACGAAGAAGGTGGAGCATTTCTACAAGTCCATACAGTACGACAGCCACTCCATCTCTGCCGTCGATCCAATGCTCTACGCCTCGCGCTTCCAAGACTTCATCAAGCTCACCTTTCCTAGCGCTTGACTTGAGAATCCACACCTCTTACATGAGCCGTCTCATTGGTTATATACCTCACTCCATCTCAGCCGTCGATCCCACGCTCTACGCCTCGCGCTTTCAAGACTTCATTCAACTCACCTTCCCCACTGCGTGACAACCACTGCTCGAGCCTTTCTTGAGACGTCTCAGATAAAGTCCATTCTTTTCAAAAGCCACTCCATCTCTGCTGTCGAGCCGACCCCTCAATTTTCGCCACATGCTTCCAGGACTTCATCAAACTCACCTTCCCCACTGCCTGACTTGACAATCTGCGCATCTGTTGAGACGGATGAGAAAGTATCATCGACTCGCCTACATGTCTACTCATCTCTCTGCCGTCGACCCCATGCTCTACGCCTCGCGCTTCCAGGACTTCATCAAACTCACCTTCCCAGGTGCTTGACAGATTGACTATCACTAGATTCTGCTGACCCCAGGTGAAACTTTTCCACATGTGAAATTGCCTTCAGGGATGCTGACAAATGCTACTTCCCATTTAAACTCCAGATTCTTCACTGGTTGTGCTTGATAAGGTGGTGTCAGGTTGTGATTTGCATACCAGTGACTGCAATGTACATTTACGTCTGGCGATTTGTGGATATATGAAGTTGTACACATCCTTGGTAATACAATATGATATTATTTCCAAAACATGTACGGTACCCTACATTCCAATACATACTAGTTGTTCTGCACATCATAATACCATGCTATAGGACATAATGCCTCTTCCACCACCAGCAATACATCCTCAAGCCTTCAGGGCAAACCCCAGCCCCTCTCCTGCCAGTGCCTCTAGGCTCCCCACTGCCGGCTGCTCCTGAGCTGTCTTCGCAATCGCCTTGTTCTCGTCCGCACTCCCGCCCTCCAGAAACGCGCCGACCACCTTGCCATCCTTCACCCAGTACGCGCCGAACTTCGCCGCCCCATCGCCGGCCGCCTTGCCGTCCGTGAGCCCGTAGTGCACGGTGTCGCCCACGTTGTCCCCGTAGAACTGCCAGGAGAGGTCGAAGGAGCGCGAGTAGAAGTAGGGCAGGTAGGCGTAGTCCGCTACCTGCTCCCCCGCCTCCGCTGCCTTGATTGCCTGTGAGATGTGGGATGGAGGTTGGAGCAGGAAGGGGGGTCGGGTTGGGTCCCTCTACTGAGCGGAAGTAGGGCAGGTAGGCGTAGTCCGGTGCCTGCTCCCCCGCCTCCGCTGCCTTGATTGCCTGGTGGGACGTGGAGGAGAGGTGGTTTGTGGGTGGGATGAAACGCGGGGAGGGAGGGGGGGGGGGAAAGGGAGACGGGGAAGATGGGGTGTCCTACGCTGAGCAAGCAACAGCAGCAGCCTTCGCTATCAACTTCCTGGCATGATCCACATGCTCCACACGCCTCTCATTGCCATACTCGAGCACATCAATGCATCCACACCACTAAGGACAAACATACCTTCACAGCCTGCTGCACTGACTTCCTGGCATGATCCACGTGCTCCACGCGCCTCTCATCACCATACTTGATCATGGGGAATGTCGCTACATCCCCCACGGCATACACGCCTGGGGCGCTGGAGAGGAAGCGAGCATCCACCTGCGGGAGGGGAGGGGAGAGGACGGGAGAGGAGAGGCGGGGTAGGGGGAGGGTAGGAAACTTTGGGAATGTGGCCACATCTCCCACTGCATACACGCCTGGGACGCTGGAGAGGAAGCGAGCATCCACCTGCGGGAGGGGAGGGGAGAGGACGGGAGAGAATAGGCGGGGATACGGCGAGGAAATGAATGGGCGGCTAAGAGAATGGGGCCACATCGCCGACTGCATTCACGCATGGGGCTGGAAAGGAAGTGAGCATCCACGTGCGGATGGGAGGGAGAGGAGGGAGGTAGAGGTACCGGGGGAACAATGCGAGGATTTGGCCTCCAATCCCGTCAACCTGAATACACCTTGCTCAGTCCCTCTCAATGCTTCCCCCGCCCCCACCCACCTTGATCCCCCCCTTGTCGAAGGCGAGCTGGTCTTTGAACAGCCCCACGTTGGGGCGGGCGCCCACGCCCACCACCACCAGATCTGCATCCAGCGTCTCCCCACTCTTGAGCGTCACGCTCTTCACATGCCCCTCTGCGTCTGATGCAAATGCCACACACTACCAACCAAGCCCACCACACGACTGACATGCTGCTGAGCTACCCTTACTGCCCCAGACCCACCTTAATCCCGCCCTTGTCAAACGCGAGCTGATCCTTGAAGAGCCCCACGTTGGGGCGGGCGCCCACGCCCACCACCACCAGATCCGCCTCTAGAGTCTCTCCACTCTTGAGCGTGACGCTCTTCACCTGCCCCTCCTCGTTGGCTGTGAAGGCCGTGGCGACCGTGCCCTTCACAATGGTGACGCCCTTGGCCTCGTAGTACCCCTCGTAGAAGGCTGCGAGGGTCGGGGTGAAGAGACGAGGCACTGGGAGGGGAGGGGATGGGGAGAGGGGAGGGGACGGGATGGGGTTGCATGGGAGCAGTGAGCGGGTGCTTACGATGGTGACGCCCTTGGCCTCGTCTTAGCCCTCGTAGAACGCGGCGAGCGTGGGGGTGAAAAGACGCGGCACTGGGAGGGAGGGGAGGGGAGAGGGCGAGGGTGTCAGGAGAAGAAAAGGGGATGGGGTTGTACCATGGTGGCCTTGATATCGTTCATGGCGAGAATGGTTGCAAGCTCGAGTCTGATGTACCCACAGAGGGGTGGAGGGAAAGGAGGAGAGGCCGCGAGGAAATAGAGGGCGGTAGGGCAGAAGAAGAAGGGAGGGATCTAGGGGTGGCTTACTGCAGAAGGGCTCGGGGAAGACCATGGTGGCCTTAATGTCGTTCATGGCGAGGATGGCCGCGAGCTCGAGCCCGATGTACCCGCCACCCACCACCACGGCCTTGCCGCCCTTCTTGGCCTGGATGGCAGCATACAGCTCGTCCGCCTCCTTGATCTCCCGCAGGTAGTAGATGCCCTTGGCGTCCGCGCCTGGCGTCTTGAAGTCAGTCAGCTTGATGGTCTGGAGCCAAGGGCATGGGGGAGAAGGGGGAGGTGGTAACCGTCGTGTGAGGCGTATTCCTTCCCATCACAGCTCGTCCGCCTCCTTGATCTCCCGCAGGTAGTAGATGCCCTTGGCGTCCGCGCCTGGCGTCTTGAAGTCCGTCAGCTTGATGGTCTGGAGGGGAAGCAAGGGAGAGGCGCGTGGAAGGGAGGATTGGAGGCGTATTACCACCACCACGGCCTTGCCGCCCTTCTTTGCCTCGCCTGGATGGCGGCGTACAGCTCGTCCGCCTCCTTGATCTCCCGCAGGTAGTAGATGCCCTTGGCGTCCCCGCCTGGCGTCTTGAAGTCCGTCAGCTTGATGGTCTGGAAGGGAGGGGTGCATGGAAGGGAGCATATGAGGCGTATTACCACCACCGCGGCCTCGTCCGTCTCCTTGATCTCGCGCAGGTATTCAATGCCCTTGGCGTCCGCTCCTGGCGTCTTGAAGTGCGAGCAACCGCGTGGGTGAGGGGGTGGGAGCGGTGAGCAGCGTATGAGGAGTATTACTACTGTCACGGCTCTGCCCTGCCCTGCCACCCTGGCTGTGTGCCCGCGCACGTGCACTCACGAGGGGGAGAGCCTTGGCTGTCGAATTACTCACATCGGCGCCAGTGGCGATGATGAGGTTGGTGAACGCGGTGGTATCGCCAGAGCCGGTTAAGAGCTTCTTGCAGAGTCGTCTGGTCCAGGCATTGGGCAAGGGATTGCTCAGGCGTTCCTTAAGGGGGGGAAGTCACTCACATCGGCGCCAGTGGCAATGATGAGGTTGGTGAAGGCGATGGTGTCGCCCGACGCGGTGGAGAGCTTCTTGTTCGCCACGTCAGCAGACACGACCTCCGTGTTCAGAATGAGCTCGATGCCTGCGGTTGTGCGGGCGAGGGCGCGTGCGAGAGCACGAGAGGGGGGATAGGAGGAGAGAGAGTTGGAGAGAGAGGAGGGCCGGGAGAGGCAAATGGAAGGGGACTAATGGGTGCACTGTGCACCCATCCCAGTAGGCTCCTCGTGCGAGTACTGATATATTGTCTTTTGAACAAATAGAGAAATCTGACCAGCATTTCTTAGTTCATGGGAGGTCGGTTTTCCACTGGATTTCTGGCAAGAATCACCGCATTTTGATTGCATGAAGTCCCTTGAAACACACACCTCGAGTTGCTCGCCGCTTAAAACTAGTCTTCACGTTTTCCCCCTCCCATGTCTTTTCCCTGGCGACGCACCTTTTTCCGAATACCATTCGGGGGTCAGCCGTTCCCCTCCGCCACCCACGCATGTGTGGAACCCAGGCAGTCGCGCAGGCGCTGCAACGGGGAAAGTAGGTAAAGAAATAAATAAACAAACGGAATGCTTGGTGCATTGCACGCGCAGGCAGCAGCGAATTGAGTATTTGTCGTAAGGTTGAAGGATTTGAAAAACAGACAAGCAATTGCGAGATGACTGGAGGAGGGCGACAGGGAAAAGGATGAGATGAAGGGAAAGATGAAAAGGACGCGCGAGCGAGAGGACTGACGCACATTGAGGAAAGAGGTAGCCTTTGCTCAACGCAGGTCGCTCGTAGGGAGCCACCTGCAAGTTCAGAAGAGAAAGAAGATGGCGGCACGTGAGATTACTGGAAATGCGACATCTTCACAGTAATGTGCAGGACCTGAAACCGGCCTATCCAGGCAAGCAGTTAAAACAAAACCAGGAAAAAGTAGAAATCGCATACCGCCTCTCGCGACACGATGGCAAGCTCGCCAGCCTTCAGACCCTGCTTCGCGAACTCTGCGGCTCCATAACCCTGAGAATTTAGAGAAACGAAACCTCAGTAAGCTAGCTGGAAAAGGATGCAGCAGAAACACTTCGCACGTGAGAACGAGTCAATTCGAACTGATTCCGCCGAAAGCTGCAAGCTTTATGGCAATCTATTTCGACGGATTCCTGAAATTTCGGATCTGCTTACCGCAGCAACGCCGCCTCCGAGGATGACATACTTGAAGGACTTCTCAGCCATGCTGGCTTGCAGAACCCTCGCGAGAGATACGAGCCTTCGCGTGGCGACCGTTGCCTGCGCAATCGTGCCTGAATGCACGCGAAAATGTAATTCTGAGCGAGTCCCACGGTAAGTGTGAGCTGCTGAGAGGCGGTAAGCAGACGAGTTACCGTTGGTGAAACGGAAATCAAGAACCTGGGAAATTGGGCAACATTGGGAATGGTTGGGCCAGCTTTGTATGAAAGGGAGTCTGAGGGATATGTCTGGGCTTGCTGGTCTCGGGAATGTCACTCGCTCGCAGAATTGGGATTTTCTGGAAGCTCAAACTGGAGATACGTTTCGCATTATGGTTGCGAGACGAGTAACCACGCTGTCGCGACCGTACGATCAGTTTCGCGATACTCCTTCCAGAACCAAGAGGGGCTCCAGGAAGGTTCCCTTTATGAATGACTAGACTCTCATCAGTATATCACAACTCGCCACGTGAGTTTGAAGTACGAAAAAATCTTCAGACGTGGCGACCACCGACCACAAGCCGACGTCACAAAACACCCGCAGTACGAAGGAAAGCTGGCGAAGTATAATATAGTAACATGCGAAAGCGTTGCTGAAATCGCATGCGCAATTATCGACATCGGTCAGGAGTCAGACGCAGCAGGTGTGTGGCTCACGAGAGTTTCCATCCATTTCGCACCACAGCCGAATCTGTCAAAACTCGCCCGCCAATCAGCGGCCATCTCTAAACTTCTCTCCACGTCAGACTCAGGTCTGATCAGATCTCTCATGTCCATCTCTCGCATACAGTCACAACACGTCACATTCAGATACACTCCCTTGTATCACACTCCTATGATCACATTCCGCCAAAATCTGCTGCTACTGCCTTTCCCTTCCAAGCATAACAGCAACTCCACATCCCAATCTTCACCGTATTTTCAACATTCATCAGCATTCGCAACTTTCGCTGTGGTTCGGGAGAGATTCTACCTCAGCAGGCTTGACAACGCTCGCTGATCATCTCTCGCCTCGCCATGGCGTTCGCTTCCGCCGCTTCTATCGCCCTGGCGCCCGCCGCCACGGTCGCCTGCGTTTCGGCCAAGAACTCAGCACGAGCAGCTCCAACTGCACCTCTGGCAGTTCCGCTTTCCACATCCTTCCGCGGGCTCCAGGTCTCTTCGACGAAGAAATCCGCTCGGGTTACCCTTCAGCCGCTTCGCAGCAGCGTTCGAGCCAACGGTGAGTGGGTCCCAATCGATAATTGGGCCTGTGCGGATTCGTCATGCGAACGATAATTGGTCATGTCGGGGATGAGTGGTGATTGATCATAGCGGCGATGATTCATCATGCCAGCGATGATTGATCATGGCCCGCAGAGATCATGCCGGTGGTGATTGGTCATGCCGGCGGTGATTGGTCATGCCGGCGGTGATTGGTCATGCCGGCGGTGATTGGTCATGCCGGCGGTGGTTGGTCATGCCGGCGGTGATTGGTCATGCCGGCGGTGATTGGTCATGCCGGCGGTGATTGGTCATGCCGGCGGTGATTGGTCATGCCGGCGGTGATTGGTCATGCCGGCGGTGATTGGTCATGCCAGCGGTGATTGAGCCCGTGTGATTGAAGCGGTGCCCGTGTAATTGAGTCAGTTATGCCGAAGACCGTTGTAAGCGCGAGGCTATGAACCTTCCACCCACGCACCTCTAAACTCAAAGCTCGCCTCCAGGACGCGTATCTCAACCCCGCTTTCTCACACACTCCGCATCTCACTCATTCCCTCCAAGGAGTTGACTCAACTCTCTCTTCCTGTCCTCTTTTCCCTGCGCTCTGCTAACTCTGCTCTCTGTGCTCTGTGCTCTGTGCTCTGCTCTCTGTGCTCTGCTCTCTGTGCTCTGTTCTCTGTGCTCTGCTCTCTGCTCTCTGTGCTCTGTGCCCTACTATGCTGTGCCTGCACTCTGTGCCATGTGGTACTGCAGTGGTGACTGAGCCGGCCACCAAGATCAACTTCCCAGTCACCCTAGCGCCTCCTGGGGGCTCCAAAGACCTCTCCCTGCTGGGAACCGGTGAGTGCTGCACCCTGCAGAAGCGGCACAGGGGCTTGATGCTGGGGAAGCAGGGCTTGGGCTGGGTCTGATGTTGAGTCAACTCAAACATGGTTCCAAGGACCTCTCGCCCCTGGGAACTGGTGAGTGCTGCACCTTGCATGAGACTTGGGGCCCTGGGCTTGGGTCTGGGGAAGCAGGGGCTTGAGAGAACAGACAGTGATATCACGAGACAGACAATGTTACCATGAGGGAACAGGTTTTGCTGTGGGACCTCGAAACCCAGACCCCAAGTACAGTGGGTTTCAATGCTTGCTCTTCCGTACACCCTTTTCTCGTGTGCTCTGTTTCTTGTTTCAACCCCGACGCAATTGCCTCGTTCCTGTTCGTACTGCTGCTGCTGTTCCTGTTCGTTCCTGTTCCTGATGCTTGCTGCTGCTGCTGCTGCTGCTGCTGCTGCTGGTACTGCTGCTGCTGCTGCTGCTGCTGCTGCTGCTGCTGCTGCTGGTACTGCTGCTGCTGCTGCTGCTGCTGATACTGTTGCCGCTGTAGGAGTGCGGGAGAAGAAGCTTGGACCGATGGTGGTGAAGGTTTATGGAATGGTCGGGTTCTGAGTCGACTTAGAAGTATCCATGTGCTTCTGCTGCTGCTTGCAGGGGTGCGGGAGAAGAAGCTGGGGCCGCTGGCAGTGAAGGTGTATGGAGTGGGCGTGTATGCTGAGCCGCAGCTGCTGGATGTGCTGGCGGGCTGGAAGGGCAAGCCTGCAGACAAAGCCTTCTATGATGCCATCGCCTCCAGTGCGTCCCACCCATTCCCTCCCTCTCACGCATCGTTACTGCTCACCTCTCAGTATCGTTCTGCACTTGGTATTCGCTCTGCCTACTCCAATAAGTTCTCTCAATCGCAGTGGCGGCTCTGCTCCTGTCAATCGCTCCTGTCACTTCACTTGCTGCCGCCTCCCTCGCATTGGCAGTGTACCTCGTTTGCACTCTTCTGACTTACATCTCCCGTCTTCTGGTCCTTGCAGCGCCGTGTGAGAAGTCCATTGTCATCGTGTTGGCACGCAACGTGGGGTCAGACCAGTTCTGGAACGCCCTCACAGAGGAGCTCGCCCCGCGCCTCACAGCGGCTGGCGAGGGCCTGGGTGACTTGGACGCATTTGGGCAGCTCTTTAAGGACAGGTCACTTAAGAAGAACACAGGGGTATACATCACCTGGCGCCAGCCGTCTACACTGCAGGTGTGCTCTCTAACCTTTGGTCAACAACCTCGAATCAAACTGTTCATGCATCCGGGGGTGTTCCCTTATTACATACATTACTGATGCCTTTTTGGTTTTCCCGTCTGTTCACAATTCAGGTGGCATTTGCTGACGATGTGACTGCTGGAGGAGCTCCCTCTGCAGCTTCTGCCACTTTTGAGTCACCTGGACTTCTTGCCGCCCTCTTTGACATCTATCTGGGCGGGGAGCCTGTGTCACCATCTTTGGTGCAGAGCATTGCTGCAAATGCACAGTAAATTGCCCACGTCTGTTGTACTGATGTCTACACTAATAAAGAGTTGAGGCTGGTTATGGCGTCTAGATTTGCTTCCTGAAATAAAGTTGCTGTATGAAAAAATGATGACAACCTTTCATTGGTTGTCAATATGTTTGTACAGATTAATATACAGTACAGAAAACGGGACACGTGGACTCAAGACACATCCTGCTTCACTTCATACCGAACTTCGTGGAGCAGCCTCAACACGACCTTGATTTCCGCCACATAACTCCACTTCACATCAAGGAATCGCAGCAAGGGGAACGAGATCCCTTTTTCAAACCAGGTGGAACGAATCCTGTTGGCAGGCGTTAGAGGTCGCGAACGACATCAGTGACTGGAGCGTTACGTTGCCCGTTCAAGACGCTTCGCAGTACGCATCTGACGCTGTCGCCGAATCCGCAGTTTCAGCTGCAGAAGCTTTCCGCTACCAGATCCTGAGCAACATGAATCCCGAATAGTGCGTCCCCTGCATTATCGCTTTGCAGTTGGGAGCTGTCCATTGTCATGTCTAGTACCATGACTCTAAGACTGTATTTCCGCTGTTGCTGCTGATGCAGTGATTACTTGTTCAAGTTGTTGCTGATTGGTGACTCTGGTGTCGGAAAGTCTTGCCTCCTTCTACGATTCGCGGTAATATTCTTAGACAGGGTGAATTCGTAGTTTCCATGGGGAAACTATGCTGCTCTGCATCATCCACGCTAAGAACGTCTTGTTGCGTTGCAGGACGATTCCTACCTTGAAAGCTACATCAGTACAATCGGAGTGGACTTTGTAAGCTCAGGGTGATTGTTCTAACAATTTCAGCAGGATGGCGTCATAAACATTTCCTGACAGTTGTCCGCACTGCCTTTTTCAGAAAATCCGTACTGTCGAGCTCGACGGCAAGACTATCAAGCTTCAAATTGTGAGTGGCTTTGTGGATTAGCTTTGCACTCTTTGCGCTCTGGCGTGTCTCATGGAAACTGAGGGTTGCTGCGTGTGGCTGTAACAGTGGGATACCGCAGGTCAGGAGCGTTTCAGAACGATCACAAGTAGTTACTACCGCGGTGCTCACGGCATCATCGTGAGTGGCGGTTGCCATTTCGTTCCCAGCACGCATTGGGTCCACCCATTGTTGCCGAAGATGGTATGAACCTTACTGGATTGTCCCTGCAGGTTGTTTACGACGTCACAGATCAGGAAAGCTTCAATAACGTGAAGCAATGGTTAAATGAGATTGACCGTTACGCCAGCGAGAACGTTAACAAGCTCTTGGTCGGAAACAAATGCGACTTGACAAACAAAAGGGTTGTGGACTACCAGACTGCTAAGGTAAGCAGTGCGTGAGACGCTTTAGTGCACCACTTTCGCAGCCCAAAAACTGCACCAATTCCCAGCGGGCTCTTACTTTCCTCGTGTTCTTTGCAGGCCTTCGCAGACGAGATTGGCATTCCTTTCCTAGAGACGAGTGCGAAGAACGCCACAAACGTAGAGCAGGCTTTCATGACCATGGCTGCTGAGATCAAGAACAGGTATGGATTAATTTTGTTGTTATTATTTTGATTTGGTTGTTACATTTCAACCTCACAGTGCTGTTTGTGGATGTGGTTGCAGGATGGCGAGTCAGCCAGCCCTCGGCAACAAAGGTGGTGGTCAGACTGTGCGTCCTGGAGAAAGCAGGCCTTTGCAACAGAACAGCAACTGCTGCTAGTCTTTCCAGAACATTGGTGCCATGTTTGAATTAGCTATTCGAACGGAAGCACATCTTCAGAAGGTTGAGTGGGCGCATCTGGTGGAGTCTGGTTCCTTCTGCACTGCATTGCTGTCCTGTTGGGGTGGACTTGCAGCAGTCAATGCACAATAGTACTGTGTCTCGTGCCATTTGTTTTAAGAAAGCTGTGTTATGTTGTTTCATAAGTGATACAGTTCACCTGTTGTATGTGAAATCTACTGCGTACAGAACTAGCCTGGAAAGTGATTGGACCTAATAGTTGCTAGAAGCGTGCAGAAACATTTCGCGCCAATTTATGTGGGTGTGTCAGGTACACCAGACCAGAGTTTATGGGGGAAGCAAAACCGAGCCAAACAGCCAGATACGTTTACTACAATTGCGACGTTGCAGAAACGTTGTAATATCTTCGAGTAACATTGGCAGCGCTGATTTGGCTCCTCCTAGCGATATCAGCTGTTTCTTCGCAAGGCTGTCAGGTTTGACGCACATCAAGGCATACACGGGGAGTGCCTTGCGGAGAGCACCTAGTGCTGTGCCATCGTGCTCGGCTTCTGCCCTGGGACCAGGCATCACCTCTGCTCTGCTCTATCAAGGCAAGTTCGAGAGAATTACTCCAAATCCTTGTTTGGTGATTCGATATTGCACACGTAGTCTCGAATCGCTCGCGTAGTGTGTGAAATTGCACAATAATTTCTCGAGTGGTCTTGCCAGAAAATCCCCGCAGCTTTTTTTAACCCGGTACATTACCCTACAAGGGTATTTATTCCCAAAATGTTTGCGTTGCACGAGTCTTGTTCCGCGTATGAGAAATAATAAAACCCATAGGGACCTTGACGCATTTTCGGGAGGGATCAACCCTAAACACGGGAAAGAGCAATGTTTTTAGGGTTGATGCCTCCCTGAGTCGCATCCCTTTCCGATTGGATTTAGTTTTTTGGGTCATGTGTAGGGATATATATGTATATGCGCGGTCATATAGAGCCATCGCGCGACCAATCACTCGCGGACAGATGGGTGCGCAATCATATATTGTTTCGCTCGGGCACACCCTATATGACCGAGCGTTTTTTGCGAGGCACAATATATGACCACGCATTTACGTCGCTTACAATTATGTGATTGCTCAATAGTTCTAACATTAGGAGATAAATACCCTAATTAGGTATTGTGCCTGGGAAAAACAAGTCAGTTTGAATTCCCTGGCAAAACCACTCGAGCAATTATCGTGCAATTTTAGAACCACGCGAGCAATTCGAGGCCACGTGTGCAACGCCGAATCATCAAACAAGGGTTTGGAGCAAATCTCTCAGGCAAGTTCACTTATCTTGAATTGCCAAGGTTCCATCACACTTAACCTTTTTAGCTTCCGACGCCACTCCACACATTTTCAACTTCCTAATTCGTGTATTGTCTGACGTCAGTGACATTGATGAAAACCGTTCAAGACATATCGCAGTCGTTAGCCTACGCTCTTGATCAACAACAGGAGGTTTGCGCCGTGAGCTACGGTAATTCATTTGTGTATGCATAGTCAGCGTACTGCTCCGCTAATGTAACAATTCACCGCTAATGATGTTGGCTGAACATTGTTCTAGACGTATACGTTAGTCATGCTGTAACAGCTGACTAGCTAGCCGCAGCCATGGCTATGGGCGTCACTTGTTCCAGAGGTAAGATGAACGGACTTGAGGCGTTTAAACTCTATCCGTGAACAGAAACGTTATTTACGTTTCGACAGAACGAGGTCTTATAGAGAAGCAAAGGTTTCAAATTAAAGACAACAACTCAGATCTTTTAGCCTAAAATATATGTTCCAGTTTGCTGGCGTCCCGCCCTACCCTTGCTCCCCACGCAAGGCTCTCTACCTTGTACAAGCTTATACGATTGTTACAAATTTTATTTAATTAGACGAAGTTGCTATGTTGGGAGTACTTATAGCTCCCAACGTATGGTTGAATGGCTGCCTCTTGGGAGTGCTTGGACCTTTGCCGCCATCACTTGATTGTTTCATGCTAACAAGTGACCTCGTTCGCTGTATGGAAAGGCATTTGCCATGAGACGTCTCCAAAACAAGCATCCTGGGAGCACTTGAAATACAATAGCTTGCTTGCTCATGCTATCAGTCGTCGCGAGTACACTCGCTTGCTGAGGGGGAGGAGGGCAAAGGAAGGGCGGACATCGGGGGGATGGCGAGGGAAGAGGAGGGAGGAGATGGGAGACACATGGTTGAGTTATGGAGGCAGGTCAACGGGGGAGGCGGGGACAAAAGGGGCACAGAGAAGCACAAGGTGTGTATGTATGAGGCACATGCAAGGAGCACACGACTTGCACATGTACACAAGTGGGCAGTACACAGCTTAAACGTGAAAGGCACAGGTCAGAGAAGAACGCGGACAGACATACACAGAGGTAGATGCAATGTTGCCAGTACCACCAGTACTAATGGTAGCATCAGCTGCAGCAGCAGCAGCACCATCAGCATCAGCCACATCCGCACTCGCAGCAGCAGCAGCAGACTGGTCTGATAACTGGTCTCTGACTGCGAGTGAGTGAGCTGGCTCAAGGAGATCATCTTCTGTGGTAGTGGCAGTAGCTGTGGATGTGACAGCAGCAGGAGCGGCAGCAGCACGTTTGATACTTGCAGAGGCGAGGAAAGCAGCACCCCAGCCTCCTGTTGCTCCTACTGCTGTTCCGCCTCTTCCTCCTGCTGCTACTGCTGGAGCTCCTGCTGCCCCACCTCCTGCTGCCCCACCTCCTGCTGCCCCACCTCCTGCTCCCCCTCCTTCGCCTGATAAGGACAAATGTGAGGCATGCACCTCAGACGGTTCGGCATGCTCCGCTGCTGATTTGTCTGGAGCAAGGGCAGGCACAGCGTCAGTCAATGCAGCAGCATCAGAAGCAGCGTTTACAGCTGGATCTGTAGCTGCAGCTGAAGTTGAAGCAGTAGCAATGGCAGCAGCTGTGGCTGTGGCTGTGGCTGTATCTGTAGGTGTAGCTGTAGCTCTGTGATTGTCCTGTGAACTTTGAGCACTCCCAGTCACGTTGTCTCTGTGCATGTGCTCTCTCCGCTGGTGTTCCCCACTCTTCCTTGACTCCTTTCTGCTGAGACCATTGCTGCTGCTGAAAGTCCAAGCCCCACTCCTGCTCCCACTCCCACTCCCACTCCCACTCGTACTCCCTCCCTCACTCCCTCCCTCACTCCCACTCCCACGCCCACTCCCATTCGTGCCACTGCCAGCCGCACGTGTCCTGTCGCTGCCAATGCGATGCAGGAACCGTCGCACGATCAGTCGTCGAGGCCCTTTCCCCTCTGCTGCACTTCTGCTTGCCTCCTTGCTGGTTGCCTGCAAGGAGGCAGGCTGCGGCTGCGGCTGCGGCTGCAAGGAGGAAGGCTGTGGCTGCAAGGAGGAAGGCTGTGGCTGCAGCAGTGCTGTTTGAGTCGACTCAAGAGGCCCGCTGTTTGCTGTGGCTCTTGATAATGGCGGAGATCCGGCGTGGGGGTTAGTGGAGACTCGCTCAGTTGCGATTCTTCTGAGGAAGATTTTAGTTCCTGACCGTACCTCAGAAGGACCCTCCCTGAACGACCCTCTTGGTTTTGGTTCTTGCATGTGCTGGTCTCTGCTGCTGCTGATGCTCCTGCTGCGCCCAAAGCAGCTGACGATACCTGCTGAGTCAGCGCTGGTCTCGCCAGCAAAGCAGCTGAGACGGCCTGCTGAGTCAGCACCGCCCTCGCCAGAAAAGCAGCTGATGGGCAGACGTGGCAAGTGTGGGTGCGAGGAATGGGGATGGGACGAGCGGTTGGTCTTGGTGTCAGCACCAACATGTGAGGAATGAGTGTCATCTTGCTGGGATGGGCTGCTGGAGTGACTCATCTCTGCAGGCTCGCGTTCCCCCCCACTCTCCCTTGCTTCCCCATTCGCCATCGTCACTCCCACACCACTCTCTCCATCCCTTTGTACCTCCTCTCCATCCTTCTTCACCGCTTCGTCCCTCTGCTCTGTATCATCCATCTGCCTGGTTTTCTCCATCTGCGTCCTCTCCCCTTCCCCCTCCCCCTCCCCTTGCCCCTCCCCTTGCCCCTCCCCCTCCCCTTGCCCCTCCCCTTCCCCCTCCCCTTCCCCCTCCCCCTCCCCTTCTGGTGGAACAAGGGCTGACTGCCCTGCCGCATGACTCGCCTCCCCGTCCTGCTTGCTGCCTGCCTCTTGGATAACCTTGGCCTCTGGTAGTGCTGCTTTCTGCTGGGTTCGTAGAAGCGATGGCTCTTGAGACGTCTCAAAAATCTCCTCCTGTCTCCTGCCTGCCTCTTGGATAACCTGGGCCTCTGGTAGTGCCGCTTGTGACGCTTCCTGCTGGGTATGTAAAAGCGATGGCTCTTGAGGCATCCCTATAATCTCCTCCTGCTTTCCGCCTGCTTTTTGGATAACCTGGGCCTCCGAGAGTGACGCCTGTGACCCTTCCTGCTGGGTTTGCTGAAGCGATACCTCTTGGTGATTTTGTGCAGGAGATGTTTCGTGGGGGGCAGACGTAGAGTCAGCTACGCCACCATCACGGGCTGTAGCCTCAGCGGGAGCATCAGGGGGAGCATCAGCAGGAGCAGCAGCAGGAGCAGCAGTAGGAGCAGCAGCAATTGGCAAGAGGGATGGTGATTCGTGCTGACCCTCCTGGTTGCTAGCTTCCGCAGGAGGATCAGCAGCACTGCCTGCTGCCGCTGTGCCTCTTGCCTGCTCTCCCTGAGATGACCATTGTGTCGACTCAGAAGTTACCTCGTTCTGAGTTGACTCACAAGTCACCTGGTTGCTAGATTCCCCAGGGGGATCCGCAGCACTGCCTGCTGTACCACTCGCCTGCTCCTCCTCCTGAGATGACTCTTGATTAGACTCTAAAGTAGCAACACTATTGGCAGCAGCAGCAGCACCATCGGCAACAGCACCACTATCAGTAGCCGCAGCAGCAGCAGTAGCAGCAGCAGCCAGACTAACAGCAACAGCACTATCAGCACCCAAAGCGCTGTCACCAGCAGCTCTACTACTATCGCCGTCAGCAGCAGCAGCAGCAGCAGCAGCAGCAGCAGCAGCATGAGCTGATTCTGTGCTCCCGTCTGCACTCTCCCCAGCATCAAGCCTTCTCTCTGCAGCAGCTATACCAGCTCTATCGCCCTCGCCCGATCCCTCGTCTGCCCCTTTTCCCCCATCACCATCAGCCCGAACCTGAGGTGCCTCAGAAGCTGCATCAGCATTCACAGCTCTATCAGCCGATTTCACACGGTCATCCGCCGGCTTCCCCCCGTCATCCATCCGTTTCCCCCCATCGCCATCGGCCCATCGAAGCCATTTCCCCAGGGGCCTGGTGGACAGCGACCGGTGCATTGCCGGCTGGTGAGAGGCGTGGGGGGAGGCGTGGCGGGTGGCATGGTGGATGGAGTCGTGCTTGGTAGTGTGGCGGGAGAAGGAGAGGGAGCGCAGCTGCAGGTGGGGGATAAGCGAGGGGAAGTGCGGGTGCGGGCGGGAGGAGGTGCGGGCGTGTGGTGGAGCACGGGTGGTGGGGACGGGAATGGAATCGGAGGAGGGTGTGGGAGTCACAGTGGGATCAGATGAGGGAGTGGCAGTGATATCAGTGCCTGTGCTGGCACCTGTGCTGCTCATAGCTGCACTGCTGGCATCTGTGGTTGTATCTACACTCATGGTTGCTGCAAGTGATGTTTCTGCTGCTTTTCCTGTTGAATTCACGGGCATGTGGGACTGGGCTAGTAGCTGTGGTAGCAGCTGGGGCAGATCAGCCGCCCCTTGCCCTTGAAATGAAAGCAGCAGCAGCTGCTTCAGTGCCTCGTTCTCCCGCCTCACCTCACCCACCTCTCTCATCAGCTCACTTTCGCTCATCACACCTCCCTCCACTCCCTCCCCTCCCATTCTCCGTGCCCCTCCTGGTTCCCCCAATCCACCCACCTCTCTCGCCTCCTCTACCCCACCGACCCCGTCGCCTTCCGCATCTCCCTCCGCCCTCCCCTCTCCCTGTGCCTGCCTGGGCTGCGCCTGCCCTTGCTGCGCCTGCCCTTGCTGCGCCTGCCCTTGCTGCGCATGCCTTTGGAGTGCCTGCCTCTGCTGTGCGACTCGTGCCTCTATAGCCGCCATTGTTGACACACACTCCACCATCGCCCACTCCAACTTAATATCCCCTCCGCCCCCCTTCCCCCCATGCGCGCCTCCCTCCCCCTCCCCGTCCCGCTCCCCCTCTGCTCTCGTCCGCCCATCCCTTGGCGCCTCGAGCATGTGCTGGACACGCTTCAGACACGTCAGCAGCGCGCCGACAGCTTTTTGAGCCGACGCGAGTCGCTGTTCCAGCTGTCGTCTCTCCGCCGCTTCTTCCGCGAGCCGCCCTTCTAGCGCGTTTCCCGGCGGAGGGGCGGGAAACGCGCTGTTTGTCGGATCTTCAACTGCCGCCTTCCTGTAACCTTCTAGTCCATCCTCGATATAAACCTCGTAACCTAGCTCCGCCATTCGCGCCGCCCTTTGCGCTGCGTCGTCGATCGCCAAAATGTCCCACAGCAGATGCATGTCCTCGCTGAACGCGTCCACGTCATTCTCGTCCACGTCAGCGTCCACGTAAGCATCCACCTGTACACCCACGTCCCCTACCCCACTTCCTTCGCCGTCGACGGCCCAGATCCCGTCGCGCTCTGCCGCCTCCGTTATAATCACATGCTCCCCTTCTTCCGTTACTGTCACATGCCCCTTCTGTTCCGCGTTCCCCATTTCTTCGACCGTCCCCGGTCGTCGGTGATAGAAACGAACGTATTGTGTTCTTAAATCTGATTGGTGCGCGAATTTCTCATCTCCGACTCCGCGACAAAGGAATGTGACTTCTAATCGAAGTTGGTGAAATGTGGAGGTGAGACAAGGCGGTCAACGCGGTCAACGCTTTGCGAAACTACTACGAAAGGAGGCAATCTTCGAAAGTCCCACTTTACCAAAGGAGGTGCTAAAAGCTAAGTCGGAGACGGCACTTCGCAACGTAAAGTCGAGAATACGAATTGTTTACCTGTCGTTACGACCTAGGTGGGATGGGAGTGTTATGCGTTGCACGAGGGTGTGGTGGTTGCGGGGAAATAGATCGCAGTGTGGCTTTTCTGCTGCGACGTGCATTGTCACGACGACTTCGGGGAGCAAGCGAATCGGGTGGGTGCATTTGTCGTCATTCGCGAACATGGGCAAGATTCATCCTCGCTGCAAGTCGGACTCGACGCTATGCAAATTGTGTACAAGTGCTACTGAGTTAAATTATAATGTGAGGGGCTACAGAAGTAGTACAGCTACCGGGTTACCAATATGGCAGATTCGTCATGATAAAGAGGATTCATCCCAGCATTATGTATAACCAATTCGATTTCATCTCGCGATCTCTCACCCTTTTCAAACGCATAGCGCCCACCTGAACCCGTTTATGCCCCCCGGAATCCATATTTTTCTGGATTTTAAGTTCAAAACTTCCTTCTGCAAAGCTTTTACCGCGTCTGGATCAGCGGCCTGGATTTCATCCGAGTGTGCTTGCGGTTACGTCCCCGCGTCTATCTCGTCCCTTAGGTGCAATCTGCGCGTCGCGTCGTAGCCTCATTGCACTAGTGACAGCTTGCTAGGCGCATGGATTTCCTGTGAAACATGTCGCTGCCGCTGCAGCCATTATTGCGAGAGTAATCCACGGAACAGCAGCAGCGTATGTGGGGTAGTGCGACCGCCGGTATCGCGAGAGGAGAAAAAAATCCCGGCGCTGCAACGTTTGCTATAATTCATCTTTCGTCTGGGAGTTTAGCTGAAGTGTCACATTGGCAGTAGCGCAAACTCGGCCGTAGCGCAAACTCGGCCGTACCGCAAACTCGGTTGTAGCGTAAACTCAGTTGTAGCGTCGAATTCGGTTGTAGCAGTCAAGGCGATGGTGTCCCAGCCAATCGGATCGCAGTCGGGCCATATTTCGCGGGAGGAGCGCGAGCAGGCGATAGGCGCGGTGATGCGCCACGTGCTATTCAAGCACAGCAGCCACCCGGGTGTGCCTATATCGAGGGAGGAGCTCAATAAAGTAATCTCCGCGCAGCTGGCCGGGAGGCGCGTGACGGGGCTGCCGAGTGTGATTATAAAGGAGGCTCAGGCGCGGTTCCCGGCGGCGCTGGGATTCGATATGAGGGAGCTTGAAAGAGGGACACGGGGAAGAGGGGCAGGCGGAGGGGGAGGGGGACATGACGGGGATGAGGCAGGGGGAAGGGGAGGAGAGGACGGGGGGGACGGGGGAGGAGGTAGGGGAGGAGGGGGAGGGGGAGGGGCGAAGGAGTATGTGTTACAGAGCCGGTTACCAGCGGCGGTGCTGTCGCGATTCGTGGACACCCCAGAGCAGGCAGCAGGCAGTGCGTTCACCACTGTGGTGTGTGCGTTGATCAAAGGCGCTGGAGGGAGCATCCCCGCAGGTGCGCATATGTGGAGTGTCTTTCGAGTCAACTCGTGAGTCAGAGCAGGCAGCTGGCAGTGGCGTGCGCTCCGTTGTGAACAACCGTGGTGTGCGCTCTTATAAAGGGAGCCGGAGGCATCCCAGCAGGTGCGGATTTGTAATGGTGTTTTTTTTAGCCAATCAAGAAGCACCTCTGTGACTCAGGCAGTAGGCAGCGCGTTCACCTCTCTCTGTGTATGCACAGGTATCAAAATCGACTCCAGAACAGGCAGCAGGCACCACATCGTTTCCTGCTGCTCCCCTCTCAACCACCCTTTTTCCGCTCCCCCTCTCGCCTCGCTTCCCAACTTCCCCCCCACCTCTCTCCCTCGTTCAGAGAAGCTGTGGGCGCTGCTGGGAGCAATGGGGGTGCGGCGGGGGGAGGAGAGGCACCCCCAGTTTGGGAACGTGGAGGAGAGCCTAAAGCGCATGGAGAAACAGAGGTACGGATGGGGGGGCGATTGGGGGAAGGAGGAGGAAGGAACGTGAGTGAGAGGGGAGCGTGAGGGAAACTACGCTCCTTTTCCGTCCCTCAACCACCGGTCGCTTGCTTCCGTCCGCTTCCTCCCACTGACTTCCACATCCCTCCCACCATCGACTCGACTCAACAGTTCGCTCTCGTTTCCTGGCTATTTTTTTCAGTCAACTGAAAAACCCTGAACCGCCACCGTCATGCTCGCTTACTCTCGCTCTTCTGCATATATATCCTGCCGTGCTGCACCTGTCCAGATATGTGATTCTGATGAAAGGGGCACGCGGGGCGGGTGGGGAGGAGGAGTGGGCGTATGAGCTGGCAGAGCATGCCCGGCAGGGCATCGGGGCAGAGAGATTGCAGAAGCTTTTCAACGAGGTGCGTGGGTGAGGGGGCCTGGTCACCTGTAATTACTGCCAATGCTGCAAGTTTTTGTAGGGTGAAGGAGTCGTGGGGTGGGCAGGGATAAAGTGAATAAGTGGGCATATGAGCTGGCAGAGCATGCACGGCAGGGCATCGGGTCAGAGAGATTGCAGAAGTTTTTTAACGAGGTGAGTAGTCCCTTCTTGAGCTGATGAGAGTAGTGGGCAGGTGTGAATAGAGTGGGCGTATGAGCTCGCAGGGCAGGGCATGGCAGAGCATTGGAGCAGAGAGGCTGCAGAAGCTCTTCAGCGAGGTGAGTGAAAGGGCTCCCTCTCTCTCTCTCTCTCTCTCTCTCTCTCTCTCTCTCTCTCTCTCTCTCTCTCTCTCTCGCTCTCTCTCTCTCTCTCTCTCTCTCTCTCTCTCTCTCTCTCTCTCTCTCTCTCTCTCTCTCTCTCTCTCTCTCTCTCCTTCAAGTGTGTGCTGGCAATGTTGCAGAAGCTGTAGGGCTAAATGGAGTGGGCGTATGAGCTGGCAGGCAGGGCAGGGCATGCCTGGCAGGGGATTGGAGCAGAGAGGCTGCAGAAGCTTTTCAACAAGGTGAGAGGGCCTTCCCGAGGAAACGAGATGAGAGGGCAGGGGTATAATGAGTGGGCGTATGAGTTGGCAGAGAGCATGCCCGGCAGGGTATTGGCACTCAATGAGATGAGAGGGAAAGGGGCTCCGTGCCAGTACTGCTAATGCTGCAAGTGCTGGGCAAAGGGGAGTTTAGGGGAGGGTAAAAGACATGAGTTTGGGTGTTTGAGTTGGCAGAGCAGTGACGGTGGGGAGTTGGTGCAGAGTGTACCTATTCTGACACAGAGAAGAGGTGCAGAGCTGCAGAGGCTGCTCCATGAGGCGAGCTAGAGAGAGGATTCCCTTGTTAGTGAGAGTGTGAATGACATGCGATGTGTGTTGAATATATCTCCGCTCTCTTTGCCATTCCCTCTCTTTGCAGACTGTTGCAGAGGTGCAAGATGGACCCCCTTCCCATGACTTGAGATGAGGAGCGGAACATCAGTGAGGGAAGTGCTTGTTTTTAGAGCCTTGTCTCACAACTCACCAGTCACCTCATCTGCTGCAGACGTTGCAGGGGTGCAAGATGGACCCCCCTCTCATGACTTGAGATGAGTGGTGCAGCGTTTGTGAGATGCACAGTTTCTTTGTCCTAGCATAGATGCAAACTAATATTCAAGGTGATGTTATTGATCCTGCGTATACTGTAAGGTAACAGCAGTGCACTGAAATTTCAAGTGATGGGATGGTCGAGTTAGTGCAGATTCAAGAATGCATTCTCACAATCGCCATTTGCACTGTAAGGTTCGGAACACCTTTCTTTATAATTATAATCAACAATATTTACTGCAAAGGGTTTCACAGGCTTGTTAAGAGTTTGTAACTCAAGCAAACTACATCCACCTTATTAGCAATCCAGAATCCTCTATTACTGCTCATTGGAAGCCGTAGAAAGCAGCAGCAGCAATGGCAGCGACACCGGCAACGATTGAGATAAGGGAGAGGATGGGGGTGCTGTTCCCACCAATGGCCCGGTCGGTTTCAGGGTCGTAGCGAGCGAAGCGCTTCTTGGGTGCTGAGCACTGCGGGCACTCGTAGGAGTCGGGCTGTAACGGCAGAGAATTGATGTACAGGAGAGAGATAATGGGAAGGGGAAGAGGTTAGTGGGAGAGGTAAGGGAATAAACAAGTGAGTTTAGGCAATGGAGAGCACGCGGGCTACACATCTTCCCTGTATCAAATGCACCGGACCTTTTTCCACCTCACATGCGCAACAGATTCACAAAAGCAAACTCCCTTGGCCCTTTTGAGTTGACTCAAAAGCAAACTCCCTTGGCCCTTTTGAGTCAACTCAAAAGCAAACTCCCTTGGCCCTTTTGAGTCGACTCAAAAGCAAACTCCCTTGGCCCTTTTGAGTCGACTCAAAAGCAAACTCCCTTGGCCCTTTTGAGTCGACGCAAAAGCCACCTCACATGCGCAACAGATTCACAAAAGAAACTCCCTTGGCCCTTGAAAGGCTTGCCCAGGGTGTAGATGAATCATGAACCCACAGCCTGGGCATAACCTGTCAGAGGCTTGCCCGGATAAATGTGCGTTCAGGAGGGCTGTCACTGGTAAACAGGTGGGCAGCGGAGGTCAGCCCACCTGCGGAGGTCAGCCCACCTGTTTATCAATGACAGCAGCACAGATAAATGTGCGTTCAGGAGGGCTGACAACATCACCTCACACGCAGGGCACCCGCTCAGCGTGTAGATAAAGCCCCAGTCAAGGCAGATGTGCGTTGCCCGTGCCACACCCTGTCAACTCAACAGCCCACTCCGCTGCACCGCATTCCACCTCCCACCCCCAACGCACCTGGTCCTCGAAGGGCTTGCTGAGAGTGTAGATAAAGCCGCAGTCCAGGCAAATGTGAGTTGCCCGCGCCTGACATGACAGGGAAGGAGGGGGTACGGGGTGAGAGGGGAACATGGTTGGAGTCAGCGAGAAGAACTACGAATGGAGGAAAAAGGGAAGGGAGTCGTTTCTCCTTCAATTGAAGGAGGAAAAAGGGAAGGGGAAACCGAGGGAGGGAGGGGTAGGGGGGAGGAAGGGAGTCGTTCCTCTGTCCACCCTAGTGAGAACGCAGAACACAAGACTACTCCTTTTCTCTACCCAATTCCTATGAAGAGGAATCCATAATAATACCATACGAGCCTATGAATTTCTCATCCAATTCTGCCATGTGCTCCCAATCCCATCATATTTCACAAACCCATTACCCCTCCTTCCTTGCTTTCTAAGGTTAGGCACTTCTGAAAAACGACAAGTCAAATAGTGCCCTGCCTTACAAATAGGCTCGTTGCCCTTCCTTCCCATGCCATCCCATTTCCCCCAACCCCATCCGCCATCCCGTATCCATATTCCCCCATCCCATCTCAGACCAGCACATTCCCTCACCCCCATCCCCCTACCTTCTGAGCCTCAGAGAGCTTGCGTCCGAAGCGGGAAGGCGCGGGCCGCTTGGGCAGCCGCTTCACGTCCACATAGCCGCCCCGCGCGAGCACGAAGTAGACCGAGTCGGACTTGGCGTTCACGGCCGTGCGCGTGAATCCAAGGTTGTCGGACGGCCACAGCTCGTCGCCGAAAAAGCTGCTCGTGTAGACCACCTGGTCGCCCACCTTAATGCCCGCCCTCGCCGCGTTGCTTCCGGGGGCCACGCCCTGGGGGGGGAGAGGCACAGGGGGATCGGGTGGGGGGAGGGGGGAAAGCTTGAGAACGCGGGGAGCGGACGGCCTCAGCTCGTCGCCGAAGAAGCTGCTCGTGTGCACTACTTGGTCGCCCACCTTAATGCCCGCCCTCGCCGCGTTGCTGCCGGGGGGCACGCCCTGGTAATAGCCGGGAAAGGAGGGGTGATTCGGAGTAAGTGGGGAGTCAGACGACGCTGCTCGTGTAGACCACCTGGTCGCTGACCCAGCTTTGAGTCGACTCAAAACTAGGATCCCGGCCCTCGCCGCGATGCTGCTGGGGGAAAGTGCCTACGAAAAACGAGGGAAGAAGGGTGAGGGAAGGGGGAGAATGCGGAAAGCGGATGGGGGAACTTGTGAGTGCTCCCAGGCGTGAGCCGAGCGGACAGAAGTGGGGATGCGGAGGGAGAGAGGGACGAAAGGGGGGAAGAGCGGACGGGAAGGGGGCGAGGGAGAAGCAACGCGGCTCACCGAGATCTGCACGCCGCCGGGCTTGTCGCCCGGCGGACAGACGTGGGAATCAGAACGGGTAGGAGGGGGAGGGACGAGGAGAGGGGGAGAGGGAAGCAAAAGAGGGGGGAGGGAATGGCGCGACGCGGCTCACCGAGATCTGCACGCCGCCGCCGGGCTTGTCGCCGAGTGTGAGGCCGAGCGGCTTGTCCACCTCCACCTCGTACTGCCCGCCCGACGTGCGCGCCGTCACCGTCGCCGGCCGGCCGGCTGACTTGCCGGCCTGGACTGGCCGGCTAGCCGCCTGGGCGTGCTGGCGAACAGCCTCGCCGAAGAATCCCGTCTGCGACAAGCGACATCGCAAATGGGGCGTGAGAATGTTACACAAAAAACAACACCGAACTGTTATGACATGGAAGGGCATCCGGCTGAAATCTAACAAATACATGACAATCAAATTCATTCATGATGAGCACGTTCGGGACCGAGCGTTCCTACTTACCCGCAGATTGCGCTGCTTGAGTGGCACGAGTCCAGCGGCGCTGAGAGCATGGTCCTGGCTGACGGCAGCAGTCAGCCCCGGCGCGACGGTCACATTAGCTGACGTGGCAACAACAGAGGAGAGAGCCATGACGGGCGCGGGATCGAACTAACAGTGCTGGAGGAAAATGCGGGGACTCGTTGCTGAAATGCGTTTGGCACAAATTCCGAACAAATTGCTGAAATTGAGATTTCTCACTTCCCTGGCAGCACGGTTTAGGGCCACATGTTCCCAAGGTGGTTTAGTCGGCTTCAGGAAACCTACGTGAGTCTTCCTGGCACACACCGAGGCAGATGCAATGCCAGCTGGAGTGATTCCTTTGGTTTGCAAGCTTTGAACGACGTGGCAGTAGCTTGTGTGTGGATAACGAGTGGACGCGTGCCTGCTGCGAGATGGGCCATCGTTGTTGACGAATTGACGAAACACCCCTTTCGTCGCCAAAAGGGGGTAAGGACGCGGTAAAAGTAGAGAATCGATCGCCTCAAGATCATTTTTTGGCGCGGTTGTAAACGGTTGTGTACTTTCCGTATGCAAAATGCAAGGTTTTAGTGCGGTGACAGGATCGATCTCCCCCCGATCGAGCACTTTTACCGCGTCCTAAAGAAGGCCCGCTCGAAGTCGAGGCGAAGTTGCGATGGAGGGCTCCCAGCACCGACGTGGCTTGAAATGCTGCTTTGCGTTCTAGAACACCGTGACACACGTATTGCTAGCCGCCACGTTGCTTCAAAGATTTTCCTTGATAAAGGAGCACGCATTTACAGTAAAACACAAGACCAAGTGCAACTTTGCTGTGTAAAATCGCGTTATTATACGGCGTTATCCCGCATGATTTTATTAAGGCTGAGACCAAGGCTGACCGTTTGGCAGAAACACTTGGGACCGACTAGCATTCTGTGACAACGCATCCCACCGTACAGCAGCACATCTCACGCTGCAATCACAGCGACTCTTATCGCAAATCCAACAACTGCGTGTCCAACGTCCCCAACCCACGTGCAAAAAGCACAATCGAAGCACTCTATACACGCATCAAGGTGAGCAACAGCGCCAAATCAGCGCCCTTGTTACCCACTGTGTTGTTTCCCTATGCCGACCTCGCACCACCTACCCTCCGACACCTAACCTGACACTGTTTACAGCCGTCCGATAATGTCTCCCTTGCCAGATGTGCGTAATAACGAGCAGCGCACTAGCGTGTCGCAAGTTGGTTGGTGCCATGTTCCCTCATCCTGCCCTGCTGCTACTGAACGCGCTCCGTTCACTGCGCCGCTCTTTTTCTTCTCCACGCACGCGACACGAGCGCAATCAGCATCAATCCAATTCGCGGAACCAATGTCTTCGCGTTCCCGCCCCTTCCCCCTCCCCCCTAACATGAGCGCAAACATCAGACATCACTGTACGCTCCGCAAATATGCGCCGGCTTTCTTCGCCGCCAACACGCATTACGGCTGCGTTTGCAAATTGCAATGCAAGCGGGCTGGCCCCCAATACAGCAGAAAGCAATCGGCGCGCTTGAACAAGTGGAGAACGGTGGGGCTGGTTACGCAATTTCCAACCAATCAGGAAGGACGATGATCTTACTGCAAATCTCACACCAAGGGGCTCTTGGCGGCTGCCCTTCGGCAGCCCCGATGGGCTTCAAGGGTGGCGCGAGTTGCGCGGATTGCGCTGGTTCCGCTGGTTGCGCGCATTGCGCTAACCTCACTCGTCACGGCTACGCGAAGTGGGGACGGCTGTAACTGTACTGTATCTCGACTCCAACACTGTTGTCGCTCTGCCCTGGATCTACGGCAACTCGACTCTCCTCTCCTCTCCTCCGCGCACCCTTCACTTCACTTCCCCTGATGCGGGGGAAGAAACAAGAAATCTTGCGGCAGCCGCGACGCTTCCTGGGTTTACAACTTTACAGAACTGGAAACACCAGCCGGGTCGGCAGACGGGATCTGCCGCGCTCGTCCATGGCCCCCCGATTCCCGATTCCCCACTTCCACCGCTTCCATGATTGAAGGCTGAGGCCTCTCCCGAGCACGTTGCCTAGCATATATATCGCTCACTCGCCTCTCGAGGTTCTCACGAACTGCCATACCTTCGTTTCGAGCCCTTTGGGTGGAAAAGCCACGAGTCCTGACGCACAGTATTGGAGTCTGTGTAAGCGCTTTAGCTCATGGCTTCTCAGAGCCCGCACAGTCGGGTTCTTGCCGCGTCGGCGCTTCTCGCGCTGCTCCTCTTCGCGCCGCTCGTTCCCGCGTGCGCCATGGGCGCCGCCGATCACGGCGGGCACGACGGCGGCGATCACGGAATGGAATCGCAAGGCAGATTAACGTCGCGAGACGTGTCGATGAGCAGCAAGCGCGCGCTGCGGAAGAAGCTGAAGAAGTTTGTGGATCCGCTACCGATTCCCCCTGTTGTCAATGCGGACCGGCTTCCGAAAGACTCCAGCGGCGCCGCTGATCTCACCATCACCGCGTTTAGCGTGAAACGGGTGAGCTGTTACCGGGACAGTTCCACTTATGCTTCCGGTTCTTCATTACCTAACTTGTTTTCGCCCTTTTTAACGTCATCCTTACCCTGTAACGCGTCCTCTCTTATTGCAGAAATTCCACCGCGATCTGCCTCCAACTCGCGCGTACGCCTTTGGGCTCACGCGCAAGGGGGCCAGCGTGCCCGGGCCGACGATCGCGGCGCGCGTGGGATCGCCGCTGCACGTGAAGTGGCAGAACAACATCACGGATCAGCAACACATCATGCCCGTCGATTACACGCTCATGGCTCCTAAGCTCAAGATGGGGGGCGTTCCTATCAGTACGTGCGCTTTTTTCCGTTCATAATTACATCATTCCTTGGTCGACACTTGTCTTGAATTCCTTTCATAATTACTTGATTGGTTTAGTAAGTGTTCTCAACATTGTGCTGTACCTATGCGATTGTTATTTCAGATATACAATTTTTGTTCTCCCCCTCCCTCCTTTCCCCCTCCCCCACCCCCCGTCCTCCCCGCCAACAGCGATCCACGTGCATGGCGCGCAGGTCTCTAGCTCACATGACGGTCACCCAGAGGCTTGGTACACTTACTTGGGAGAGAAAGGTCCCGAGTTCGAATCCAACAAGCACCATTATCCCAACATGCAGCCGCCCAGCACCATGTGGTACCACGACCACACCTTGGGAATGACGCGGCTCAACATGGTCGCAGGGCTTTTTGGAGCGTACATTCTGTTCAATCCCCAAGTGGAGAAAAGGTTTAACCTGCCCGCGGGCAGGTTTGACGTGCCGCTGCTGATCCAGGACAAGTCGTTTCTATGGAACGGGCACACGTTTATGGAGGGGAAGGGCCTGACGAAAGCACATCCGGTGTGGTTACCTGAGTACTTCGGGAATTTTATGACCGTTAATGGGAAGGTGCGTTTTCTATGATTGCTGCATGGTAGTTGGGTAGTCACGACTCACCACCAGCAGCAGTATGGCTTGGTTACTAACTACTAATTGCGGACTATGGTTGCTTTAGTGGCATGGGTTCCATCCATGGGTTGCAATCCTCCGTGTGGACTCACTCACTTCCCCACACAACCCCTCTCAGCCACTCTATCTTACAAACTTCACACCTCTCTCTCCCCTCTCATGGCTTCCACCTCTTCGACACTCCCATGTCCTACTCTCACACCACTAATACCCCCATCTTCCCTATGTCCCCCACCCCTCCCCCCAGGTGACCCCCTATCTGGCCGTGCAGCGTCGCAAGTATCGCTTCCGTCTCGTCAACAGCTGCAACGCGCGCTTCCTCGACCTAGCCCTCCGCGCCTCCTCTCCCGTTTCCGACGATCCCAGCGGGGAAATCAACAGCACCAGCACCACCTTCCCTTTCCTCCAGATCGCCTCAGAGTCTGGTTATCTCAACCGCCCCGTGCCTCTCCGCAGGATAACCCTAGCTCCCGGGGAGCGCGCATGTATCATTGTTGATTTCAGCCAGCTGCCTGCAGGGGCGACAATTCGCGTGAAAAACCGCGCCCCTGCGCCTTATCCCGGGGGTGATTTACCCACGGGGGATGTACAGTACGTCATGCAGTTCAACGTGGAGGGTGACCCGGTCGCAGACCCCTCTACAGTGCCGGGAATCCTAAACTCTATCCCCCTTCTCAACCTCGGAAACATCGCCGCGACAAGGGAAATCACCCTTTCAGAGGTCGCAGACAAGGCGACCGACGAGCCGCTAATGGGGCTGATTGAAAAGAAGCATTACCACGAGAAAGTCGACATAACGCCGACATACGGGACCCGGGAACTCTGGTACCTCATCAACCTCTCTGAAGATGCTCACCCCATCCACATCCACTTCTCCCCACATCGCATCCTCTTCCGCCGCCCGTTCGACAAGGAGCTCTACGAGGCGAAGAAGTGCAGCATTCCCGCCGGGACCTGTTACACGGGTCCGGCAATTTCGCCCAGGCGGAACGAGAGGGGAATGAAGGACACGACGAGGGCTCCTCCGGGGTATGTGACTGCGCTGGTGGTGGATTTTTCGCCGTGGATGGGGAAGGAGCTGAGCTTTGATCCCTCTAAGGGGCCGGGGTACATGATTCACTGCCACATCCTGGATCACGAGGACAACGACATGATGCGTCCTTTCACCATCCTGCCTGCCAAGTAGGAGTAATCGGACGATATTCAGGGGAGGGGCTGGGGATAACTAGATAAGGTGGTGGGAGTTATGGCAGAGGTGGTGGTAACAGGGAGGGGAGGACACGATGGGTGGAGGGGGGGTTCGACAAGCAAGCAGGTAGAGGTTTAGGAAGTGGGAGGGGTACCTGTCAGAAGCATGACTCTGAAATAGGAATAAATCAAACTGCTCGTAAAATTTCCAGTGTTGTAACATTATTACAGCAATATTTTTTATATCGTGTGCTTTGATGACTTTACCATGTGAAGCTAGGAGTAGTAGACACCCTTCGCTGCAGCCCTAAATGTCTACCTGCGTAATCAGAAAACCAGCATACATTTGTTAATGTACCTAGTATATACTTATTCAATATGCATCAACTACCATAACACTTCATACACCCATTCCCATTGTACCTGAGGCTAAGTCCAGATGTCAATCACCTCGGCCAGCGATCTATAATTCTCTCAGAATTCACGCAATAGCGAGTCACAATCTAGCACAGCCGTAGTCTCCCTTTTCAGGCCTGGGATGAAATGTAGGTTACGGTTCACGAGCAGCGTACTTGCGTGTCGCAAGTTGGTTGGTGCCTCATATTGCTGCCAGGGAACGCGCTTCGTTCACTGCGCCGCTCTTTGTACAGTATTAGTGTACTCGTCCGCGTTGCGGTACACGAGTGCCATCAACAGGGAAACCAATGTCGTATGGATCAAGAAAACCAATGTCCCCGCGCCCCCCCACCCCGCTAACAGGAGCAACGCAAAAATGCGCCTGTCCTGCCGCCAACACATATGGCTGCGTTTGCATTGCAACTCAAGCGACAGGACAGCCCCCTATGGAAAACATAGTGCAAAATGGGTGAGGCTGGTTGTGCAAATTTCCAACCAATCAAGAAGCACAGTGGGAAGTGATAAGCTTTTCTGGATTTCACCACCTAGGCGCCCTTGCCTTGGCGGCAGCCCTTCTACTTGACAGTCTCGATGGACTTCAAGGGTGGCGCGGGTTGCGCGCATTGCGCCGGCTGCGCGGGTTGCTCTTGTTGCGCTAGTTGCGCCTTACGCGCAGCGAGGACGGCTGTACTGTACCGTATCTTGAACGCTGCTGTCGCTTCACCCTTGGACCTTGCCTCAACTTGTCTCTCCCTCCGTGGGCCCTCGCTTCACTTCCCATGCCGCGGAAGAAGAACGAGAAACTTTGCCGCAATCGCGGCGCTTCCTGGATTCACAAAATATCGACTCCCGATTTTCTGTTCTCGCCTCTCGCGCTTGAGCCTCCGTTCTGACCACTGTTACTCCAGAATCACGACTCCCGACTCGGTTCTACGTAGCACGTTGTGTAGCGTATATATATCGCTCACTTGCTCCTCGTGGTCTCACCACATGCAAATACTCTTCCTTTCGAGCCTTTCGGGTGGAAACGCTACGAATCCTGACGCGAAGTAGTCTGTAGAAGTGCTTTCGCTCATGGCTTCCCAGAGCCCGCACCGGCGCCGGATGGGCGCTTCCCATAGCCCGCACCGGCGCCGGATGAGCGCTTCTCAGAGCCCGCACCGGCGAGTGGGCGCTTCCCAGAGCCCGCACTGGCGGGTGGGCGCTTCTCAGAGCCCGCACCGGCGCATTCTTGTCGCGTCGGCGCTTCTCGCGCTGCTCCTCTTCTCTCCGCCCGTTCCCGCGCGTGCCGTTGGCGCCGCCGAACACGGCGGACACGACGGCGGGGATCACGGGATGGACTCGCAAGGCACATTAACGTCGCGGGACGTGTCGATTAGCAAAAAACGCGTGTTGCGGAAGAAGCTGAAGAAATTTGTGGATCCGCTGCCCGTTCCGCCGGTCGTCAACGCGGACCGGCTTTCAAAAGACTTCAGCCGAGCCGCTGCTCTCACCATCACTGCGTTTAGCGTGAAACGGGTGAGCCATTACTGGGACAAATACATTTGTGCTTCCGGATTCAAATATCTCCGCCCTCTTAGCCTTATTTTTCCAAAGCGTCATTTAACTGTGTAGCGCGTCCTCTCTCGCAGAGATTCCACCGCGACCTGCCCCTAACCCGCGTGTACGCATTCGGGCTCACGCGCAAGTCGGCCAGCGTGCCCGGGCCGACGATCGTGGCGCGCGTCGGAGCTCCGCTGCACGTGACGTGGCAAAACAACATCACGGACGAGCAGCATATCATGCCCGTCGATTACACGCTGATGGCTCCTAAGCTCGAGAAGGGGGGCGTTCCTATCAGTACGTGCGCCTTTTCCAAATACCTACGTTCCTTGCCGATATGTTTCTTGAATTTCTTCTTAAAGCCGAGCCCCCAAATTACAAAGAAGCCTTCACAAACTGGGGCCAGTTTGTGAAGCACTCCTGCTGGTTTCGGGATAGCAGGGTTTAGGGGAGGTTTCCGAACCTATTTTCGCTGCTTTCCCAAACCTATTTTCCAGCGTTGACTTCCGTTGAGCAATTCGGGTTCTGCCCTTTAAGGACTGTAATGTTACCAACATTGCGGTGTAGCACGTTTCAGAAATTCAAGTTCGTTTCCTCCCTTTCCTCCCCCTCCCGCCACCCCGTTTCCCCTGCCCCTCCCACTCCCGCCACCCCGTTCCCCCCTCCCCTTCCCCCGGGCTGCAGCTGTCCATGTGCATGGTGCGCAGGTCTCGAGCTCCTACGACGGCCACCCTGAGGCTTGGTACACGCACTGGGGAGAGAAAGGTCCCGAGTTCGAATCCAGCCATCACCATTATCCCAACATGCAGCCGCCCAGCACCCTGTGGTACCACGACCACACCTTGGGAATGACGCGGCTCAACATTGTTGCAGGGCTTTTTGGCGCGTACATTCTGTCCAATCCACATGCAGAGAAAGATTTTAACCTGCCCGTGGGCAGGTTCGACGTGCCGCTGCTGATCCAGGATAGGTCGTTTCTGTGGAACGGGCACACGTTTATGGAAGGGAAGGGCGTGACGAAATCGCATCCTGAGTGGGTTCCCGAGTACTTCGGGAATTTCATGACTGTAAATGGAAAGGTACGTTTTGTGTGGTTGCAGCATGCGGGTTGGGTAGGGTATCACCTGCAGCAGCAATGACTAGGTTACTTACTACTATTTGCAGGCTATGGCTGCTTTCGTGGCATGGGTGTGATGGGTTGCAATCCTTCTTTTTTGCTCACTCCCCTACACAGCCCCTTCTCAACCACTCCCTCTTGCAATCCTCACACAAATCAACCAAACACCCATCACCCATCTCCAACCCCCTCACCATCCCCATGACCCATCCCCACCGCCATCCCCATCACCCATCCCTATGCTCATCCTCAACCCCATCCCCATCCTCATCCCCATCCTCATCCCCATCCTCCACCCTATCCCCATCCTCATCCCCATCCTCAACCCCATCCCCAGGTGACTCCCTACATGGCAGTCCAGCGCCGCAAGTACCGCTTCCGTCTCGTCAACGGCTGTAACGCTCGATTCCTAGAACTCGCCCTCCGGGCCTCGCCCCCTGTTTCCAACGGCAGCAGCAGCAGCACTGCCAGCAGCACCAGGACCATCACCTTTCCCTTCCTCCAGATTGCCTCAGAAGCCGGATATCTCAACCACCCCGTGTTTCACCGCAGAATCACCCTTGCTCCCGGGGAACGCGCGTGTATCATTGTGGATTTCACTCAGCTGCCTTCAGGGGTGACAATTCGGCTGAAAAACCGCGCTCCTGCGCCGTATCCCGGGGGTGATTTACCCACGGGGGATCTACAGTACGTCATGCAGTTCAACGTGGAGGGTGACCCCGTTGCAGACCCCTCTACAGTGCCGGGAATGCTGAACTCTATCCCGCATCTCAACCTCGAAAACATCGCCGCGACAAGGGAAATCACCCTTACAGAAACGGAGGACAAGGAGAGTGGCAATCCTTTAATGGGGATGATCGAAATGAAGCACTACAGTGAGAAAGTCGACATAAAACCAACATACGGGACTCGAGAGCTCTGGTACCTAATCAACCTTACAGGAGACACACACCCAATCCACATCCACTTCTCCCCACACCGAATCCTCTTCCGCCGCCCGTTTAACGAAGAGCACTACCAGGAGAATAAATGCAGTATATCTGATGGGAGCTGTTACACTGGACCAGCAATTTCTCCAAGGAAGAATGAGAGGGGAATGAAGGACACGACAAGGGCCCCTCCGGGGTATGTGACTGCGCTGGTGGTGGATTTCTTGCCGTGGATGGGGAAGGAGCTGAGCTTTGATCCCACTAAGGGTCCGGGGTACATGATTCACTGCCACATCTTGGACCACGAGGACAATGACATGATGCGCCCGTTCAAGATTCTGCCTGCCAAGTAGATAGAGATCCATGGTGGAAAGCTGTGCTGGTTGGGAGGGCTTGCTGAAGAGGAGCTGCATCCTAGTGAACCACTGCCGATCCATTGCCACATATTGGACCACGAGGACAATGACATGATGCGCCATTTCACCATCCTGCCAGCTAAGTAAGTACAGATCCATGGTGGGGAGGGAAGGAACCTGTGCTGGTGCTGCTGAGGGCATGTCGTAGGCAGGTGGGTGAAGCATTGCCCCATTTTGGATACGACTTTGGAGGCGCCTCAGAAGCCGTGCTGGTGGTGCCGAGGGCATTCTGTAGCCAGGCACAGGCAGCATTGCCCATTTTGGATCAGGGGGTCAATGCCATTAAGGTATGCGTCCTTTCAGCATCCTGCCAGCCGGTATGCGTCCTTTCAGCATCCTGCCAGCCAGGCAGATATACAAACATGATCCTAGCAGGGGAGGGGATGGGGTGATGAGGCGGGTGGGTCCAAATGATTGAGGGAGGCAGTATGAGGGAGTGGAGGACAGGAGGGACGGGGATGGTACGCAAGACAAGCATGAAGTACTTTATGTAGGTGGAGATTTAGGGAGTGGGAGAGGCTATCTGTACAGCATGCTGCTGATTAGGGAATAAACAAGTCTGATGTGGCTGGAACGTTCCACATTGTTGTTGTATAATATTATTGAGTAATATTCCTGATACCGGTACTACAGTATTGCTGCTCGGAGTACGAACCCCTAGCTGGAACTGTCATGTCTTCCTACAGAAAACCGGCACACGTACATTAATAATGTAGCCAGTAAACTTGATTTGAGTATGCATGAACAACTAAAACACCTTATGCACCCGTTCCCATTGCACCTGATGCTAAGTCGGAGGAATGAGTATAACATCGCCGGGAAATATAATATCTGGGTCATCAATCCCCTCGGCCACATTCGCGTCTATAATCCTTTCTGGGTTCACGCAATAGCGAGTCGCAATCGAGCACATAGTCTCCCCTTTTTGGACCTGGGGTGAAATGGGAGGGAAGGGAAGAACAGGTGCAGGGGATATAAAGGGAGACATTTTACCCTCTTCACACCTCGCCACCACTGACAGCAGCGCCACACCAGACAACACCCGCCCCATTCCCAGCAGCACCCTTTTGCAGGCGCCTTGCCTCGTAAACAAAATTCTGAGGCGCCTCACCTCTCACCGCACCTCACCTCACCTCATCTAACCTCACCGCAGTTAACCCCACTCCACCCCTCGTCTCACCTCATACAGCAGAGCTCGCCGCTGCTGCTGTCCCCTCGCCACCATGGATAGCAGAGTCATGCCGAACAATGCCCCCGCCACTCCCAGCACCACCATTTCTGAGCCGCCTCATACGTGAACCAACATTTGAGGCGCCTCACCCTTCATTTCAGTCATCGACTTTTTGTGGCACCTCACCCCTCACCTCACCTCACCACACCTCACATCACCACACCCCACCCCTCGTCTCACCTCATGAAGCAATGCTTGCCTCCTCTGTCGTCTCCTCACCACCATGGACAGCAGTGCCACGCCAAACAACGCCCCTGCCACTCCCAGCAGCACTTGCCCCGCACTCCACACCCCTCCGCCCTCCCCATTCCCTCTGCTCTTCTCTCCTTTCCGTTTCCGCATGTTCCCTCTCTTCCTGCTGCTGTGCTGGGATGCCTGCTGCTGCTTCTGCTGCTGCTGTTCCAGCTGCTTCTGCTTCTGCTTCTGCTTCTGCTGCTGTTTCTCCTTCTGCTTCTGCTGCTGCTTCTCCTGCTGTTCCTCCTTCTGCTTCCTTTGCTGCTGCTGCTGACTGCTCGGGCCGGCACCACTAGAACGGAGGTCTACACTGCTGCTGATGTTACTGGAACCCTCAGGCACGGGAAGCAAGAGGGTGGAGTGGGGGTCTGTTATATGAGAAGCCGTTGGCAGGGAGGGGGACGGCGACGAGTGTAAGGAGTGAGAGTAGGAGTGAGAGTAGGAGTGGGAGGTCATGTTAGAGATACCTATACCAGCACCACCTGCTGCTGCTGCTGCTGCTGTTTCTCCTGCTGACGTGTCACCCACGCTGCTAACGGCTGCTGACGTGGCAGGCATTGTAGGGGAGTAGGGAGGAGGAGCCGGCCGTTGGCTGTGGGACGCCTCCTCGCCTTTCACTGCTCCTTCTCCTTCTGCTGTTTCTCCTTCTGCCGCTCCTGCTGATGCTCCTGCTTCTCTTGTTCCTCTTTCTCCCCCCCCTTCTGCTGTGGCTACTCCTCTTGCTGCCACTCCTTCTGCTGGGGCACCAGCAGAAGCAGCAGCAGCACCACCACCACTACCACCAGCAGCAGCGCTAGCAGCAGAAGCCGAGGAAAGGTGCTTTCCGTCCTTGTGTGGAAGTGCTCTATTCGAGTCTCCAGGGATCCTAGACCCACTTGCAACGGGCGTTCTCGCTCCACTAGCAATGGGTGTTCTTGCTCCTGGGGTGGACGAGGAGTAGTAGGCACACAGCAGCAGGAAGGAAGGAAGGGGGTTGATTAAGAACGCATGTTGCAACCAGGAGAATAAGGTCCGAGGAGAGGCGGAGGAGCAGGAGGCGATGCAGACCACCCCATCCAGACACCCCTCCTCGTCCATCACTTGATATCTCTGCAGGTTGACAAGTTGACACTGGAGAGAAACTTACCAGAGGAGCCGGAGGAGCCGGAGGAGGATAGGCGGAGGAAGCGCGAGACAATGCAAATCTCCCCCACCAGACACCCCTCCTCGTCCATCAGTTGATTGATACCACCGCACACTGAGACTTCTCCAGAGGCACTCACCAGAGAGGGCATTCACGAAAAAAAAGGAGTTACCTGGAGAGCGCACACACCGGAGGAGCAAGAGGAGCCGGAGGAAGCGCGAGACAATGCAGATCTCCCCCAACAGACAGCCCTCATCGTCCGACGGTTGATACCACCACAGCTTGAGTTGAGACGCCTTGGAAGGCACTTACCAAAGGCAATTGCAGAGAGGCCAATTATCAGAAAGGTGATGTTCTTCATCAGAGAGTGTGCTTACCAGAAGAGCATGAGGAGCCGGAGGAAGAAAGCCGGAGGAAGCGTGAGACAATGCAGATCTCCCCCACCAGACACCCCTCCTCGTCCATCAGTTGATACCACCGCACCACAGTCGCCCCCCCCACCAACCCCGCCAACGGCACGCAGGCTCGGCCAAGGCACGGGCCTGCCGCCGTGCTTGACGAGGCCGCTGATGCTGACGTGGAGGATTGCGATTGGGCGGGGGTGGTGGATTGATCGGCGGAGAGGAGCTCTATCTGTGAGGGTGAGCGATATGGGATGCAGAATTGGGTGAGACTCGGTTGGGTTGGGAGAGATGGGGTTGGGTGAAACTCAAACAGAATAAATAAAGAGAGAAGAGATATCGAAGGTGGGGAGAAGGGATCAAGAGTCGGAGGGAAGGAAGGACAAGAGGAGGGAAGGGGATGCGTTGGCATACAATGAGAGATGGACCACCGTCTGTTGAGTCTTCATTCGTTGCCTGCTTTTGCTGCTCCTGCGACCCTTCCTGCTGCTGCTCGTGCTCCTGGTTCTTCCCATCGTGCTGCTGCTGCTGCTTCGCGGGGTGGTGCTGGTGGCACCAGAAGAGCAGAGCGGCCTCCACGGGGAGCTTGAAGTCCTGCAGCCACTTGGGCGACGCCCCCGCCTTGGACCGCGTTCGGATCTGACACCCACGCACGGGGAGGGGAGCGGGGAAAATGGGGAGTAACTTGAGTCGCTTCGGCAGGCGTCCTGGTGGCACCAGAAGAGCAGCGCGAATTCCACGGGGAGCTTGAAGTCCTGCAGCCACTTGGGCGACGCCCCCGCCTTGGGCCTCGTTCGGATCTGGCACACGCAATCGGAGGGCAGTTGAGAGTCTTTTGAGTAGAGTCAGATAAATGACTTTCGAAATGCGGAGGTGACTAGTAAGTCGAGTGAGAGGTCATTTGAAAGTGAAAAGTCCTTCTCACTCGGCAGTGTCATGGCGGAAAGGAGCGAGGTCCCCTTCTCCGTCCAAACGCATACATACAAATGAAAAGACAGGGGAGGGTGGACGGCAAAACAGACGACCGGGTTAAACGTTAATGGTGGCTTCCTCGTCAAGTATCCCGCGACCTTGCACGGGCATCCTTGACCCACCTGTCAGTTCCACGCTACTTCCACTGAAATTATTACAAGGAGTCAGTCAACCGACCTGATGACATCCGAGCTGGACGGACACGATGGTGCCACGTGTCGCGTCGCCGTCCTCGACTGGTTGCCTGACGTGGCGACCCTGGACCACAGACACCTGCAGCTGACCTCCGACTCCCGTGCTCTCCACGCTCCCCGACATAGCCTTGAAGGTAGATTAGCCTCGTAGCGAGAGAGCAGCGCTGTTGGTGGTAGCGTGAAAGTAGCGCGTTCGGTGAGCGCGTGCGAGTTAGTGCGTTTGCTAGTAGCGTGGGAGTTAGACGCGCAAGCTAGTAACGTGCGAGTTAAACGCGCAAGCTAGTAACCTGCGAGTTAGCGTGTTTGCCAGTAACGTGCGAGTCAGTGCGTTTGCTACCAGTGTGTGAGTTAAAGCGTTTGGTGGTGGATTATGCCGGCGTGAGCATTAGTGCGTTAGTGTGTCAGTGTGTTACCCTAATTTACGGTAACTGCGTTAGCGCGACGGTTAGCAAATGAACACAAGGTATTACTTGATGATGGTATTGGCAAGTAACATTGTGCTTATACATAAACAGAGATGCGAACGAAAACCGTTGTTCTGAGACCGGAGTAGGAAAAAGTGCAACCATATTTATTTCAACACGCTTGGTCTAACGGACCTACTGATCGCCATGGCACAATCAGCTAGTGCGCTACGGCACCCAAACAGGAACGAGCATCAACTGAAAAGCGATCGAACAGTAGCCAACTCAACTAAAACGTGAGACAGCCGCAGCGGCAAATGAAAGGCAGCTCTCAGAAGCTCAGAGGTGTTGGAGCTCGGCAATTTCTGTGCTCTGCAGGATTTGGCGGGAGATCCTCCTGATCAGCCCAAATAACAGGTACACTGCACGGAAGGAAAATTACACTTCTATACAGAATATTATACGTCAGAATGACAGCAATTGATTATGAAGTGCTGAAGCTGGCTAGAGCTAGGGGGACAATGCCAAGGCTGGGGACAATGTCAAGGCTGGGGACGGGGCAAGGTGTGAGAAGCCACAAATTTGTACACTTCTGGTTGAGCTCAACAACTCACCAGTCCATCATTTATAGCCTGATGTTGGTGCAAACATCTTACAGTATATAGTAACATATTTCGATCTAGCTCTTTCCAATTAGTTGGAGAAGAGCATTGGTCATAAGACCCAGCCCTGAAACAAACCACTTGACAAAGACAAGCCACGGCTTGTCATTCGGCCCAGGCTTCATTCCCTTGGCAATCAAGTGGCCCAGGGCAATAAACAAGAAAACTCCAGCCGCCATGCCGTTTCCAAACGCCCTGACCCATTCGCGTGCAGTGGGATCGCCAGTCGTGTCGAGGACGATACCGATCACAATACCGAGGGGAGCAACGACGGATGCGCATAGAGCAAAGAGAACGTGCTTCAAGGCACTCCTCTCCGTGTCTTGAACCCTCAGCGTCACACCAAGCGCCATCCCCTCAAAGAACTGTCTCCAGTGCAACCATGCCATGCCACAGGAACAGAAACAAAGCAAGACAGAGGTCAGAACACCACCAAAACATTCAGGACGCGGTGAAAGTGACATATTCGGAGGATCGTGAGAGAATATCGATTTTCACGATCGCTTTGGGGAATTGATCGGTGAAACGATGCACACCCGGCGTTGTAACGATCGGAAAAAACTGTTGAGCCTTGTGTTCAGTTCGCCGGGATCATTTTCGCGCGGAGAAATTACCCGCTTTACAACAACTTCGTACACGCTCGAGTGCGAATTTCGCACCTCACAGGGCAACCCGGTCGGCGATTCGATAGCCTTGTGAAATGTGAAAATTGTGCGACTCATTCCACCCGCTTAGCGAAATACTGTCACGTCGCAAGCAAAATACTGTCACGTCGCAAGCACTTGGATCAGTCATCACTGTAATGCTCGGTTCGTCGGCATTTGCTTCCCAGCGATGCCGCGATTGATAGACAATCAGTCGTCCTGTCTGAATGTTTGTGTATTTTGCCTAAAATTGTCACTGTAGCTGGGTTACTTGTCTGTAAACAGGGTAACCGTTTCACACATCGATCGCGACAGACGATCGATCGTCTACTTTCACCGCGTCCTCATCCCCAATTGCATAATGATGGCCTTCACAAATCAGCAAGGAACAAGGAAATCAGCTAGCGGAAGCTAGCAAACTCCAGCATGTGATGCGGCGTGATCTCACCTCGTTGACGGCAATGGAGGAGGCCATTTGCCAGACATCGTAGACGGCGGAGGCAAGGCCCACTGCAAGGTGACTTTTGAGTCGATCTGTAAGTCAGCATGTGGTGAGGAGTGGTCTCACCTCATTGACGGCAATGGAGGAGGCCATTTGCCAGACATCATAGACCGTAGTGGCGAGGCCCACTGCAAGGCCTTCAAAGACGGCGTGGAAGCAGAGGGCGAAGAGGATGAGCGCCACGTCCACGAAGCTCAGCGCGTTGTAGTCTGCTGGCGTGCTGCCGCTGCCGCCTTCCGTGTCGCCCTCTGTGGCGGTCTTCTGGCCCACGCCAAGGACGGCAGCCACCGTTGGATCGGATTCCTGGTCAGATGAAACGAAACACGGACCATGATCGCATAAGCCTTGTGCGTGCGTGCGTGTTTTCCCATGCGAAGAGAGAGAGCAGAAAGTGTTACAAATGGCAACGCGTTCTGGTCGAATACATCAAAGCAAACACTAAAAGTAGTAGTACCACTAGTCTTAATGCAATTAGCAAATAATATAATATACCGCATAACTAATACAACTACAAGTATTAGTAGTTGTAGGAAAGAATATAACAACCGTCAGAAATTAGTAGGACCTAAGCGGGACCCTTTGTTTTGTGCCGCTAACCCTGCAAACAGAGCCCTTGGATTACCATTTAGAGATATATTTAGATTCAAGGAACTTATAATTAACACAATAGGTACCTTGGCTGTGAGAGCTCAGTACCTTGGCTGGATCATCGGAAACGGATCGTTTTCTCCACACAGTCTTGACGATGAGGTCGCAGAGCCACGTGAGGAAGACGCCCATCACCACCACCAGATACGCCAGTGGGTACTCTGAGATGCACACATAGATACCGGCATATGGAGCACCCACAGGGAGATTTTGAGGCACCTAAACAAGAACGGCCATCACCACCACCAGGTACGCCAGCGGATACTCTGAGATGCACGCAGACACGACACAGCACAGCATATGCAAATGTTTCCGCCATGCAGAGCACAGTGTTAGTGGCATGCGAACGCGACGCTGGCATGCGAACGCACGACACTGACATGCTATCGCCAGCGCAGCAGCGTACTGCCTCTACTACACTTGAGGGAATATAAGAAACGGAGACTTTGGGGGTGTCCAGCTGATAATCCATCTACACGCTGCTGACAAGGATAGTTGCAATGCGAGGTGCTGTTTCTAGCAAGTCCCCAGATCCTGCTTTGCCTGCTCAGCGTATTCGGCTGAAACTCCCAAGCGAGTTGCAGCGTACTGTTTCTGACGAGCTCCGCATAGAGCTCTTCCGTCTCCAAGTTTGAAGCATCCAAAGCTTGCAGTTTTCAGTAGAAAAACATTTTCTGGGGTGTCGAGCTAAAACTCCTGTAACAGCCCGGGAATGCGACAGACGGACTGCTTGAGGTGAGTTCCGCCAAGAGCTTTTTAGTTTCCGAGCTTCAGACGCCTCAGTACTTGTAAATTTCAGAAGGACTACTAGGATGTCGAGCTGATACTCTCGTAACAGCCGGTGTACTAAGTGGTGGACTGCGACGTACGTTTTGTTCGTGGTGAGGTCCGCAAAGAGCTCTTCCGTCTCGGGCGTACAGCTGCCGTAACAGTTGGTGTACTAAGTGGTGGAATGCAACGTACTGTTTGTGGTGAGATCCGCGAAAAGTTCTTCCGTCTCGGGTGTGAGGTAGAGCAGCGACATGCCGATGAAGAGACCCGTGGAGAAGAGCACGCCGAACTTGAGGATGTTTTGCCGCACGGGAATGAAGTACGGCACGAAGACGCCCAGGAAGCTCGACCCCAGGAACACGAACAGCGCGCCCACCTTGTTCGCTGTTAGCGCGCTCGTGCTGTCGCTTCCCTGGGAACGAAACAAGAGAGAGGAGAGATATGATCATTGGAAAGTGAGCGACAGAAATTTTATTTTCTCTGTTCCCAAGTCGTCTTTTCTCGCACGGTTGCTGAAAATGCAGCGTGATTGGACATGCCTTACATTATGGTAGAGAAAATCACCTATATCCTGCTTTTTCTTTCTTTCTTTCTTTCTTTATTCTGTTTTTTATGCCTGTTGCTTATTCACCTGCGACGAACTGCTGCTGCTCGACGTGGCTGCTACAGTAGCACTCCATAATCCCGCGAGAAGCGCAAACGTTATCAACCTGCTTCCGCGCTCCATGATGAGTGGGAATGCTCAGTAAATAGAACAGCACAAGGGCGACCGGATGCGCGTCGCTAGGGATAACTTGCAGCTTCTGGAGCGGCTAAACTCCCGAACTCCTTCGAGAAATCCCAAACTCGCTCTCCGAGGGTCCGACACAGAGTCAACTTCACAGTGTGTGGTTGTAGGCAGGCCGGTCCAGATCCAAGATTCTAGGCCCAAACGGGCGATGCCGGTACGTGCCTACCACATCCGAGACACGACCAGGCACCCAGCAACCTGGAGCTAACCAAACGCTCAAAACCCCTCCACACAAGCTTGTGCTGATAAGAGATCGAGCTAAAGTGATGTGATTATCTTCCAGTGTTGGCCTTCGTGTTGAATCCTCGCTCTGTCCCGTGCTGCTTCGTGCCAGGCAACAGCTGAAATGAAATGAAGGGCGAAGGAAACAGAAGATGAAACGGATAGCTGGTCATTGGGCAATACAAGAAGAATCTGGACGGGAGGCCTGACTGGATGAACCTGATCATGCTTCCGCCACTCTGCCTTTTGGTCGGTGATCCCAAGGGCCCGAACCGAAACTGGCTTGGTGGTATCAGGCTGGTCAAAGGCGACAGGTCGGGAAAGCGGGTAACTTTTATGGGCGATTATGGCGAAGGGAATCTGGAAGTGCATCGCTGTACGATGCTGCGTGACGTGGCCTTACAGCGAGAGCCGCCAGGTAGACGCGCGGCTTGGAGAGTGAAATGACGGCACATGGTCAAAACGTGGAGCAGGTGTGATCTAGGCGTGCCGTCTCAGGAACCGCCTGGCCAGATGGACAGATATCAAGCCATTGCAGGTGGTCGCTGCCAAACCTACTGCCAGCAAGGAGAACAGCGAAATCAGCGAACTGTCACGTGAAAATGCGGTGGTCATGGTCGATGGGTTACCACATAACTCGTTGTAAGACTCATTTTCCGATTGTTGGTTGAAGCTAGAAGTTGCTGCACGTTATATCCTTGATTGATCAGCCAGCCTGGTAAATGTTACAGGATATACATAATCCTCTGAACAGAATTTGTTTTTTTTCAAACGTCCCCAGCTTTTACCATAACCGTATAATTGCGCGTGGGATCGAAGTACTTGCGGTAGACTCCATAGGCAACAGCCAGGAGCAGGGCTGTTAGCGCAGTGACCGCGGTAAATGCCACCCATCCAGTTAACACAAGTCCTTCAGAACGAGAAGCCACAGAACTGGAGGATCCACCTTGAGAGAGCTGAAGCTGGAAATGGGAGAAACCACAGGGGAAACCATGGGGAAAGACATGGGATGGGATGTGAATTACGCAAAAAAGGTGGCAGAAACACCGAGTAGGGAAACGAGGAACAAAAACCCAAGGGGTCGAGTGAGGCAGAAAGCATCACACAGTCCACGGCACGGCAACAAACAACTCATCACCAAGCGCAACCCGGAAGATAAGCACACCACCAGAACTTCACGCAAAGCAAGCAATCTTCCCACTTCCCTAGAAACTTCCTCACCTTCCCCCACTCCCTCGCACCCCCCACCCCCCCACACCTGCACAAGTGCACACATACATCCCTCTCCCCTTGTACTCACAAGGGCAATCTTGTTGAGGGTCTCTTGAAGCAGCTCGCTGCTGATCTCCCCCCCCACATGCCCGCCCTCCTTCCCCACCAGCGCCACCAGCGGCAAACACTCATTCCCCAGCGCCTCCTTGGGCTGATCCATCAGACACTGCGCATACTGCCCCACCACTGCTCCTGACACGCTTGCTCTGCGGTTGCTGCTGCCGCTGGTGGTGGTGTAGTTGGCGCAGCGGGAATCGATGATTGCATCGCAGCCCTTGGTTAGGTCGGATCCACGGTGGTACATCCACAGGGCCATGCGCACTGCATAGGCCACCTGAAGGAGTGGGAGGTGGGGGGTGGGGGAGGGAGAGGATTGGATCGGCATGCAAGGGTGGGAAGGATTTGGAGAAAAAAAAGTAAAACAGCACGTTGCCCTCCCTTCCTTCAACTGGAAGTCGGCTCAAAAGACGCAAGCAAGCAACCCACCTCTGTGTGGCAGCTGGCTGAGAGGTCGGACTGATAGTCAACGAGGCACTTGAGCACGAGCGCATGCCCCTCCCTACCCCATCTCTGCTTAGACCCTAAAGCAAGTAACCACAGTGCACCGCACTGCACCCACCTCTGTGTGACAGCTGGCAGAGAGGTCGGACTGGTAGTCCACGAGGCACTTGAGCACGAGCGCGTGGCCCTCCCGGCCCTCATCCACCACCTTGCACAGCCGCTCCACGTCCTCCCCACACTGCTGCTTCACTGCCGCGTCCAGCTTGTAGTACTTTGACTGGCGAGTTGTCTGCAGGTCCACCTCTGATCTGCATGCCACGCTCATGCCCGGCTGGTTGGGTGGTGAACAGGTAGGTAGGAAGGGGTTGGAAAGGGTTGAAAGGGGTTCAGCCGTGTCATGTCGTCCCCACACTGCTGCTTCACTGCTGTGTCCAGCTTGTAGTACTTGGACTGGCGAGTTGGTGCGGCCTTTGAGATTTCTCAAAAGTCGGGTGCGGCTTTCTCAAAATTCGCACCAATATAGCTTGTAATACTTGGACTGGCGAGTTGTCTGCAGGTCTACTTCCGACCAACACGCCACGCTCAGATCAGGCTGGTTGGATGGGGAAGGGGTTAAAGAGGATTGGAGGAAGTTGGAAAAGGGGTTGCAAGGATGGAAAGGGGTTGAAAGGGGTTGGAAGTGACAAGGAGAAAGGCACGAGCACATGGGGACTGCAACCGACTACCATACCTCATGGTGTCAGCTATTCATCACACGCACACCAGGCACCACACTTCTGGGTGCATGTGAAGTGAGCACTGTACCTCTTTCACCACACAGCAACCAGCCAACACGCCACCATACCTCCTGCACGTGCAGCTGCAGGCATCGGAAGGCCTGGCCGGCAGCGGGCGGCACTTTCCGGCAGAACTGGTGCAGCTCCAAGCCACATGCGTTCATGAGTGTGGGGGTGAGGCGGATATCAGACGCCTGGTTGGAAAAAGGGGGAGAGCGGGAGGAAAGGGGGGGAGGAGGGGAGGGGGGAAGGGGGAACTGGGGTTAGTGGTGGGAAGGATGTTGGCCTGCTCCAATGAACCCATCTCCATCTTACTGAACCACAGCTCTTCCTCTCTGCACCCCCTGACAGCGGGCCTAGTCGATTCAAACAAAGCAACCCACATAATCCTCTAAGGAATGTTCCGGCGCCCACTCAAATTTCAAACAACCTCCATCCCACTGAACTGCAGCTCTTCCTCCCCCTTGCACGCTTCTGACAGCAAAACTTTTGATGTTCTTCTCCAAGTACTACTAACAGCCTCACACAGTCGCCAAGGCATGCCTGAACACCCAGACGAGTTTCTACCCACCTCCATCTCACTGAACCGCAGCTCCTCCTCCTTGCACCCCTCTGACAGCGCGTCTCTGTTCTGCCTCAGGCACGCCAGTGCCTTGCTGTGGTCCCTCTCGCCCCCACACCTCTCCTTCACGTCCTCCCTGCATGCCACCTGTAGACACAAGCAGGGCACAGGCACACACATGTGTAGACACATCTCAGAACACGCCAGTGCCTTGCTGTGAGAGGAACCGCCCCCACACCTCTCCTTCACGTCCTCCCTGCATGCCACCTGAAAGACACAAGAACAGGGGAGAGGAGATATGATCTGTGAAACATATCCCAGACAGCCTAAGGACCGTCTGTTCCCCCCCAAATTCCAAGGTTCATATAGGAAACGAGTAAGGAACAGGGATAAGAGAGGAGAGGCAATGCACCCCATAGGGATGCTACATGGTGCAATACATTGTTACATGGACAAGCGCATGACAAGGCATGACAGGGCATGGGTACGCACGCACTACATGATGACTAGACATCCAAACCAAGCCATTCTGCTGCCACGTCACCTGCAGAGGCACATCCAGCGCCACGTCAGCGACCTCCTGCTTCTGGAAGTGGAACACCTCATCGCGACACGTGGCAGAGGTGATGTTGCTAACGGCGCTGGTGAGGCAGCGCAGAGTGGCACCGCCACACGTGACCGGCAGGGATGCAGGGGAGGAGGAGGAGGAGGGCAGGAGGGCGCCTTCATCGCATGTGTGCATGCAGAGCTTCTGCACATCAGCGAAGCACTCTCTAGCGAGGCGGAAGTTGAGGCGGTAGTCTGAAGGGGGTGGGGGTTGGGGGTTGGGGTGCGAGAGGTAGAGGCGAATGATTGCGACGAGGTATGGACGAGGAATAACGAATATGATTGAGGGTGAAATTGAGGGTGAGAGTGAGAAAGAGACTCACCTGTCTTGCCAATGTGCATGCCTGTACTTGTCGACCAATCAATACCAGGACTATTTGAGAAAAAGGTTGTAGTGAGAGGCGGTAAAAAGCCCTAACCTAGTCACCTCTAATATCCTATTGAGAATTCTAAGAAAATTGCAGAAGGAGGCAGTCAAAATCCCTAACCACTAATAACCCACCCTCTGCAGCGTGCTGCTGGTCGCTCTTCACCTCTTCCTGGCACCCCTCGTTCATGTCCGCCCTCAAGTGTCCAAGCCCCTGCCTTGTGCCGCCCTGGGTGCTCTCTACCCACCCTGGGTGCTCCCTACCCACCCTGGGTGCTCCCTACCCCCTCACCCTCTGCAGCGTGCTGCTGGTCGCTCTTCACCTCCTCGCTGCACCCCTTGCTCATGTCCGCATCCCCCATGTGCTCCTGCAGACATGCCATCGCGTCCTCCTTGTCTGCTCTTGATGGCAAATGAATGGGAAAAGAAGAAGAAGAAAAAAAAGAACAAAAAAAAAAGGAGGGGGGGGGGGGGGGGAGTGGGGAGGGGTGGGGGGGGAGAGAAGAGGTTGTCATTGCGTAGTGGTTGACAGCCTTGTCATGAGAGGCCGGCTTGCTTTCAACGTGCGCTAGTGCATCAAAAGTCGAAACAACCTTGGCAGAGCTGCTGTGGCACCCACCTTTGCAGAGGCGCTGCAGCTCGTCCGAGCACGCCTTGCGGATGGCAAACTTGAAGTCTATGTCCTCCGCGAACCGCACCTCCTGCGAGCAGGCAGGCAGAGAGGGGGGATTAGGAAGGGGGAATGGGAGGGGAATGGTGACGAGGGGAGCTGAAAGAAACACATATTCTTCCCGGCACGTCAGCAGACACGCCGTGCGAATGGCAAACTTGAAGTCTATGTCCTCCGGAACCGCACCTCCTGTGAGCATGGAGGGGGAGAGGGGGCAGAAATAAAAGTTCCCAGCTTGTCCCGGCTCGTCCGACCATGCCTGGCGTCTGTTCTTCGCCTTTTTGCCTCAAGCATGGACTCATGGGCTGCGCTGCAAATAGGTGCAGCGAGATAAGTTCTTCCTTTGTTATGAACCATGCAACCCTTTCTTATGAACCATGCAACGCTTTGTTATGAACCATGCAACCCTTTCTTATGAACCATGCAACCCTTTCTTCTGAACCATGCAACCCTTTCTGATGAACCATGCAATACTTTCTTCTGAACTATGCAACCCTTTCTTCTGAACCATGCAACCCTTTCTTCTGAACCATGCAACCCTTTCTTATGAACCATGCAACCCTTTCTTATGAACCATGCAACCCTTTCTTATGAACCATGCAACCCTTTCTTATGAACCATGCAACCCTTTCCTATGAACCATGCAACCCGTTCTTCTGAACCATGCAGCCTTTTCTACCTATTCACTCACCTGCGTCCACCACACCCACACGTCGCAAGAACCCAAGCTCAGCCCCCGAACCCTGCAACCACCCTCACTGATCCTTCACTCTTGTCCAATGCCCGCACCCAACCAGATGCTACCGCATCGCACCTCTCGGAAGAGCGCCTCCTTGCACGGACCCTTGAGTTTCCCCCGGTTGTCCTGCAGGCACATGAACACCCTTCCCTGCCCCTTGGGCACTGACGCACAGTGCTCCTGCCAGTCGTCTGGCGTGTGGGGGTGATAGGTAGGGGACGGGGAGTGTGAGGGACTAGGAGAGAGCCCTGCCGGCACATGAACACCCTTCCCTGCCCCTTGGGCACTGACGCACAGTGCTCCTGCCAGTCGTCTGTCATTCAAGGAGGGCAGAGAGGGGAGGAAGAGGGAAGCACAGGGGTCTGGGCGGGATTCCTGCAGGCACATGAACACCCTTCTGCTCCTTGGGTACTTCTGCACAATGCACTGCCTATCGCCAGTGCCACGCCTTTGCATGCTTTGCCGAAAGTGCGGGTGACATTTTCGTAGCTCACCTACAAGAAGCATAGTCATTTTCTAGGCTAATATAGACCCGCCAATGCACGCCTAATTCCACACCTTCATTTGCCTCATTTCAGAGCCACCGCACCTTTGCACGCTTCAACTAGAGCGCGGTCAAAACGAATGTCCTCTGCAGCTCTCTTGGTCAGCATATGCACCTGCGAGCGCATGTGTGAGGGGAGAGGAGAGGAGAGGAGACACAACACATGGGAGCAAGCCTGCGTCTTTCTCCACATAGATGGGAGGGGAAAGGACGCATGGGAGGGGAAAGCATAACGGAGGTCCTGGTGAAGAAACCTAACCCCACAGTTCTTGAGGCGCCTCAGAAACCTAACCCCACGGTTCCATTACTTGAATCGACTCAAGCACTATGCTTCCATCCCAGCCCCCACAACCAACCCCATCCCCCCCTCCTCCAACCCACACCATCCCAGCCAACCCCAACCCCAACCCAACCCCAACCCAACCCATCCCACTCTACCGCACCACACCATCTCTCACCTGCTGCCTGCAGCGCGGGTCCTTGAGCTCGTCCCTGTAGTCCTGCAGGCACTGGATCACCTTGGCGTCTGAACTACCCCCCCCTCCCTCCCCTGTCATGTCTGACGCATCCTGGTGAACCCCATTTCACCGCATTCCACCACAGCCCACCGCACCCCACCGCACTCCACCGCACCACACCACATCTTACCTGCTGCCTGCAGCGCGGGTCCTTGAGCTCGTCCCTGTAGTCCTGCAGGCACTGGATCACCTTGGCGTCTGAACTACCCCCCGCCCCCGTCATGTCTGACGCATCCTGGTAGCACGTCTGCATGGCACAGCGGCGGCAAGCAGTGGCAAGAGAGCCGCAAGAGGGCGAAAAAAGCGCGTGTTGGAAGGGAGGAAGGGTACAAAAGAACAAGTGTTCTCTTACAAGTAGAATTCAAAATCCCTACGAGGGGAGCGCAGAGCTTCCGCATGCAGCAGGCTGTTGGGAGGAGGAATGGCAGAAAGTAGCCAAGGTGGCAGGGGGGGTGCAATTGCTACTTGCAGCAGGATGCATGCAGGAGGGTACCTCGACAATGTCTTTGTGGCAGTACTTCTGCAGGTTGAAATCCCGCCTCAAGTCTGAAAGAGAGGTGCGTGTGGTGTGGTGTTGGGAGAGGTGCGTGTGGGGAGAGGTGCGTGTGGGGAGAGGTGCGTGTGGGGAGAGGTGCGTGTGGGTGGGGAGAGCCTGGGAGGTGCGTTTGAGGAGCAGGATGTTTGAGCGGCCATACCTCGACAATGTCTTTGTGGCAGTACTTCTGCAGGTTGAAATCCAGCCTGAAGTCTGATGCGCGCCTCTCCATCATCTTGTCAAACTCCACCTTGCTGCCACGTCAGATCATGCCATGTCACCAGGCCATGCCACATCATGCAATATCATATCATGCCATGCCATGTCCCAAGCCAGCCCATTCAGCAAGCACAGCATGAGCCACAAGCAAGCAGTGCAGACAGCGACACAATTTTGAGGCGCCCAAAAAATCGCCTCACTTCACTTCACTCCACAAAATCGCATCATTTTACTTCCCTATGCACGTCCCATGTCACGTCCCCTGATACCGCTGTTGAGTCGACTCAAAAGCAGTCCCTATGCACGTCCCATGTCAGCTTTTGAGTCGACTCAAAAGCAAAATCGCATCATTTTACTTCCCTATGCACGTCCCATGTCACGTCCCAAGTCCCCTGATACCATCCCTCCCCGGCCCCCCCACACCTCTCCCCCATTGCCCCATGCAGCCGGTGCCCGTTCTCACCAGCCTTTGGAGAAGTCAGCCTCCAGCCGGTGCTCCTCCAGGCAGTCCTTCACCCGCGCATCCCCGGGCGGCACGTCGGGGCAGAAGCGCCTCTTGTCCTGCAGACAAGCTGGCGCACGTGGGGAAAGAGTAGGAGGCGGGCGGAAGGGAGGGGGGAGAAGAGGGCGGAAGTGAGGAGACGAGACGGTGCTCTTCCAGGCAGTTGTTCACACGCGCGACAATGGGGGGCACATCAGGGCATAAGTGCCTCTTGAGTCGACTCAAAAGTCACTTCACCCATGTGTGAGGGGGGGCACATAACGGCAAAAGCGCCGCTTGTCCTGCGCTGTGGACATTCTGGTGAGTGAGGAGATAGAGAAAAGGGGGAAAGAGGAATAGGAAAAGGGGAGAGGGGAAGAGGAGGAGTAGAGTAGAAGGTTGAAAGAAGGGTTTGAAGCTCCAACAGAGTCCCAACAAGTGAGGCTGGTACAATGCAGTGCTCTCACCTTGAAAGAAGCGGACAACCCATGAGACCCCCAGTACCCTGTCCAAACAACCCAAACGTCAAGCTGCAGCAACTGAGACTGGTGTCGCTGCGCAGCCTGACGCGCTTCTTGCCGTGCTGCTGCTGCTGCTCACCTTTTAACAGATGGAGGCTCACCTTTGAAGAGGCGCACGTTGAGGCGGATGTCTCCTGACCCCTCCACCTCCTGCCGGAACAGCTCCGACATGCAGTCCCAGCTGAGACCCGTGCGCTGCTGGCGCTGGCAGAGGGCAGCGGGAATGGCGAGGAGTGGTGGAGGAATGCGGGAGGAGTGGAGGGGGTGGAATGCGGGGGGGGTGGAATGCAGGGGGGGTGGGTGGTTGGTGGAATCAACAATCAGCAGTACCAGCTCAGACTCGTGCGCTGCTGGCGCTGGCAGAGGGCAGGCGGAATGAGGAGGAGTGATGGAGGAATGCGGGAGGAGTGGGTCAGTCACACAGACGGAGCGGGGAAGTGGAGGGGCAGTTTTGGGGGAAAGCAGATGTGGACAGGTTGAGTTAGAGCAAAGATTTTCTGCAGCAATCATACCAAATCACGCCCAATCAACCACCCACCACCAGTCACAGGTGGTGCACTCACCAAGCAGTCCTGAACGCGCCCTTCCCCAGCAGGCACCCCTTTACAGAGCCTCTGGGCGTCGGCAGCGCACGTCTGGTTGAGCTGCGGGTCAAACGCCACGTCTGCTGCCGCGTCCCTCTGCGCCTCAAAAAACACCTGGCTCCTCCTGCTCCCCTGCACGGGTCACACTCCCTCACTCCTCCAGCCACGCTCACACATACAGCCAGCCAGCCCCACTCCCTCAACCCACCAGTCACACCCAATCAAGGGGGGGACACTCACCAGGCAGTCCTGAACACGCCCCTCCCCTGCGGGCACTCCTTTGCACAGCCTCTGGGCGTCGGCAGCGCACGTCTGGTTGAGCTGTGGGTCAAACGCCATGTCTGCTGCCGCGTCCCTCTGCGCCTCAAACACACGGTTCTTGCACAGGTCTGACAGGCGCTCGCTCGCCTTCGCCTCCCTGCAGTCATGGGATAGAAGGTCAAAACGAATGGGTTGGGGGAGTAGGGGGCGGCGGAGGGAAGGGGGAGTTCTGCTGCCGCATCCCTCTCCGCCTCAAACATGTGGTTCTTGCGCAGGTCAGAGAGGCGCTCGCCCGCCTTCGCCTCCCTGCAATTGTTTAGGGATAGACGTAGGGGGAGATGGGAGAAGTGAACACGGCAAGAGGAGAACGGGGCAGGAGGCTATGTTGCACTATACGCTTGGCCTGTTTTTTGTTTCACGTTTATGCGTTCACGTATAAATGTAAAAACGTGATACGGGGACAAATACGCGGTACGCCTGGACGGGCAGCCCGTCGAAAAAAAATAAAATCTGTTGCGACCGTCCTCGCGATCTGTGATTCTCCGTAACCTAATTTTGACATTTGAAAGTCGAATGGCTTCCACCCCCCCTTCCACCGCACATAACCTCACACCACCTCCCAAACCCAACCCTTCCCTTCCAACCACACTTTGGCTTTCGCGTCTGCAGTTTCGACTATAGGGACCATCACTCACTCCCTTACACTTTTTTCCCCTGCCCGGAACTTTTTTTCCCCTGCCCGGGACACCGCATTTTGAGCGTACCGAGGGGGCGGAAATCCATCGTACGACGTTCGTACGTTGGCGTATAGTACGAACGCGACTGGTATGCCAGTCGCGTATATTGCAACATAGGCAGGAGGACAGGATGTCTGCTGCTGCATCCCTCTGCACTTCAGACATGGGCTTTTTGCACAAATCAGACAGGCGCTCACGTGTCTTTGCCTCCGTGCAGTCATGGGAGAGAAAGGAGGAGGATGGAGGGCGGCAAGAGAGGAAGGTGGGGAGGATGGTTGTGCGTGACAATGGGGAGAGCATGGCAGAAAGCGGGGAAGTGGGACAGCTCCCCCCCCTTTCCCTCACCCAACCCCACCCCCCACGCACACACACGCACGCACGCGCGTACAATCAGAGACACACACACCCACCGTAGGCATGCGAGAACGCTGCCGACTCCGGGGTAGAGGAACTTGTCATCACAGAAGGACGCCACGTCCTCCTTGCAGTCCTCCACTGGCATTCGGGTGAGGGGGTTAGGTAGGGGAGTTTGAGGGACGATCAGAGCAGAAGAATGAGCGGGGAGGACGAGGTTGGGAAGGGCGCAAGGTCAGCGTTTGAGGAGCCGCTGAATATGCAGCACAGAAAACGAGGAGCGATGGAGGAAGGAAATCTACTCACTCCACTCTTTGTCGATGGAGATGTTCTTGTAGACTTGGATCTTGAAGTTGCGGATGTCATCCAGACACTTGTCGGAGAAGTTATCCGTGAGGTTGGCTGTGAGGGTGGGCGAGAGGAAAGAGAGAAGCCAGAGGGAAAACAAGCAAGGGGCAAGAAAAGGCTGGAATGAGGGGACAAAACGATGGGTCCTGTGGCAAACACCCCTTCCCAGTCAAGGTCAAAGCGTACAACGAAAGGGATCGGATGCTGAAGTTGGTACTTGCCATCAGTGGTGGACGCGAGTTGCAGCAGCGTGTACTGCATGGTGAGGCACCGCTCCATTGTGCGATTGCCCACCTCCACGTCAGCACAGAACCGCCCCGCCTCGTCCGCGCATGGCCCTGCAGGACGCACCCACGTGCATGCACGCACCCCACCCACCCCACACGTGCACCATGCCACGTCAGCACACAGCTCGGTCTATCATGGTACAGCATCACAGGTGCGTTGGATCCAAGCAACAACACTAGGTCGTTTGGTTTGGCCGAAATGTGTCAGATACAAGCTTGGCCTAGGGTATTCAAGAAGCTTCGTCCTTGCTTTACATTGCGGTCGCCTGATGCCAACAGGCCCACTAACTGTTCAGGTTGACTCGCGTTGACTCGCGCCTGCTAACTTCTCATTGTGGCTACTGACTGCGATGCTGAATGGGACTGCTGACGAGGATTGCTGGCTGGAACTCCTGAATAGCGTCTGGCCTTTTGAGAAAAGTGACTGCGAGAACAGCGACATTCTCCTAGAAATGCCACACCTTGCTTGAGAATGTCTCCTTGCGTAAGTTCCGCATCCAGGATTCTGTCTTCTAACGAGGATGCATTCTCCTCAGACGATCGTTTCCCAGCTGCAGCCTTTCCTTCATCGCCTGACCCTTCGCCTTGATCTTTCTCCTTCGAGTCCTCCGCGGTTTTCACTTCGGCGCTGGCGAAGTCCGGCGAAGCGAGGAGGAAGATGACGAAAGCGATCGTCAGCAGTCGCAAGCGACTTTCCTGTGGGGAAGCACCGCAAAAGTTACAGCAGCGTAAAATCACGGATTGGAATTCAGTTGTGAAACGGGATCAAATGCGAATTCCATGTAGGGACCAACCGACGGAAAAGGTTCGATTGAGACAATGCAGAAATGAACCAGCAGCAGAGTGGCGTGGCATTTTGATTCATGATCGCGATGGAAAGGAAACGCAAATATCACGATTAAATATTCGAAACCGTGTCATTGTGATGACATGCCGAACTAAAAAATCGACAGTCGTTTCTGACAAATGCCGAAAGGCCGGAAACAACCACAGCTGACGAAACGAATTACTGACCATCCTGGTTTTCTGTCAGAGTGAATGCGAGAAAGCCTAGAGTCTACGGCCGTGAGACGCGACGAAGAATCCGGTCAGCGGCAGATAAGGTCGATAAGGAACCCGTTGGGGACATCAATATAGTCGTTTCGTAATGCTCTAGGCTCTAAAGAGGAACAGTTTTGCGTTGTGCTGTTTAGGTCTAAAGAGGAACAGAGGGTCAAACAGGACGTAGGGTAGGAGACAGGCGGAACAGGCCACTGGCGAGGCGAATGTTCGAAAAGGCCACTGGAGGAAACAGAAGGATCAGGCCATTGGGATTGCCGAGCGCGCTCACCACCAACCATCCCTCGCAAAACCATTCGCGAGATCTGTTGCACGTCGTCGACCTCGCTAAAGCTCGTCGTCTTCGGATGAACTCATAAGCCCAACTGATGCCTGACTGTGCCCAACTTCGCTTACACATTTTGAGAATCCAACATACATTTCACTCTCACCTAGATGGCTTCTACCCATAACCAACAAGGAAACTATGAGTACTCTCTTACTGCCTGAGTTAAGGCCCACGGTGATCCAGCGTAAGGGTGGACAAAGCCGCATAGCAAGTCTGCATGCGCCGGTGATAAAGCTCTTTTTTCTTCCGGTATTCCCTCATGAATAGACTCAACTCCACCTCCCCTGCAAGAAACCTGCTCCTCAAATCCTCCGCCTCCCGATTTACTTCCTCTGCTTTATCTGGTCAAGAAACAAAGCAAATGAGTGTGGGCCACACAGAAAAAACAAACAATCAGAACCGCAAAATTTCTTGTGTGGAACTTCAGTCTGGCAACCTGGCGACATAGGTACATTAACATATAAATACCAAAACAAAAAACTACTACGGTATACATGTACAATGTACCTTTCAACTGTTGCACGAGAGCTCCAGGACTCCATTTGTCCGTAAGAGCCCTCTGCTGCCCCACCATCTGCGCCAACCTCTCTTCCAGAGAAGCCAGCTCCGTGCCCCTAATGATGCGACACTGGCACAATGGAGGGTTGGAAATAGAGGGACACAGAGACTTAGAAGTTGGCGACAGGAAGTTTAAAGACTAACAGTACAGCCGACACGTTTGGGGTTACCATGTTACCATGGAGGTGGTTCTAATACCTGTGTTCTCAGCTCGGACATGTCTGCTTCCATTGCCAGAGTCGACCCTGCAGGGGGAGTGAACAGTGTCAACATAAGAACAGCACAAGGGGGAAAGGAACAATAATGAACGCGAATCCAAGTTACATGAACTGTGACAATGCAGCTGTCTGCTGAGTGAACTCAAATATTAAGTAAATGCAGGCAGGTTGAGAGCGGTTGCAGGTGTATCGAAAAGAAAGGACTGCACATGTGGGTGTGAGGTCAGGGAGGGAGGGAGATGGCGACTCACTGGCGAGTTCCTCGTTGCCCTTCTTTAGGTCATCCACCACCTGGAGTGATAAGGCATGTGCAGTGCAGGAACATGAGCGGAGTGACATACAGAGGTGAAATAGGAAAAGACGACACACAGTTTGATGGATTACGCAGAAAAGCAAATGAACGAATGCACACAACAGGTTGCATGTGTATCACACTGCCCGTCCATGCACCACGGCGCACACAAGAAATGGCGTACCTTGGTCATCTCCTTGAGCTGTGGCATCTTCTCTCATTAGCCTTGGGTTCCGTTATAGCTCCTCTATGCCCTACCTCACACCGCCATGCACCGCCGACCTAGCATGTAAGAGGTCATGTACCTTGGTCATTTCTTTAAGCTGCGGCATCTCCTCCAGCAGCTGCTGATACGCCTTGGGGTCCGTCAGAAGCTGAAATAGCTCCTCCGGGCTTTAAGAAGGGGCGAGGGGGCAGAGAAGGAGTCAGGAGGGGTGATGGGATGGGAGGGAAAGGAAGAAACGAGAAGGATAGAGAAGACTTTAGCAGCAGGCAGCAGCGTTCCAGGGATGAATGAGAGCATTCAACGGTGGAACCACCAGCACATGACAGAAAGGAACTATTGCCACATCCTCATCTCTTGCAACAAAAGCCTGCCAAATCTTCCCATATCCTCACCTCTTGCTTTCAAGCACGGGTAACAGTTGCTGCTGCACCGCTCCCATGCCTCCCACCCCTCCCATCCCTCCCTGTGCCATACCCATAGGTGGGGGCCCACCCGAATACCCCCCCATCCCCCCCATCTCTCCTTCTCCCCCTAAACTCCCCCCTCTTCCCCCACCCCTTCCCGCAGGTCCCCTTTGATCCCCCCCACCCCCGTAACTCCCCCCTCCGCCGTAGCCTCCCCCTGCCCCTAAGTTCCCCCCTCCCCTGCCACCGCCGCCGCCGGCCCTCCCCACGTCTCTCGCTTCTTGATATTGCCGCGGACCCCCAGCAGCAGCAGCGGCGGCAGCTGCGGCGGCGGCGGCTTCCGCGGAGCCGGGCGCGTTGGGGGAGGGGGAAGGGTATGAATGCGCGGAGAGCGGGTTGGTGTGCGCGGGGGGAGCCTGAGGGGGAGTCGGTTGGCTCGGCGGAGGGTCAGGCGCGCTGGGGGAAGGGATAGAACGGGTGGGGGGAAATTAGGAGTAGAGAGTGTGGGGGAGGCAACGGAAAACGGAAGTTCGTTAGAGTAAGGATTCTACATGTTGAAAGATCGACGGAGCTAAGTAGAATATGACGGCGACAGGGAGATGGCTGGAAGCGGAAAGAAGCGACACTGAGAGGGGGAACAAGGTTCTTAGCGGTGGGGAAGCATGGTAGGCACGGCTTTTTTAGGAACGAGGCTTCACGGGCTGCATACCGGCCGAACACCCCTCGAAACATATTCGCGGTGAAGGTCGTTTAGCGTAGCCCGCGTAATCGACAACCGGCGAATTCGACGAGCGCTTTGGAATGAAGGAGGCAAGTGGAGGAGAGCGATCGGCAAAGGAGGAGCGCGTGAAAGTTGGAAGCGTGACTGCGAACAGACTGGACTGAAGACAGTAGTGACTGCAATAATTGACTGTATACTAGGAGCCAGTCTTTCCTTAGTTGGGCTAGGTCAGAGGATCTGGTTCGGATAGGTGTAGACCGAAGTATCTCGTCTTTCTCCTACTCCACCACGCCTTACCGAACAGTACCGACTGCCACTCATTTCAAAACATTTCGCCCGAGTAACTTCTTGATTCGCTTTACAGAACCAAGTTCAGGACATGTACAAAAGCATTAGATACAGTGTACGGTATCTAATTTGGTTTTGGTACAAGAAAAACCTGCTCACATGGAACGTCATCTAGCCATTGATGTAATAAGCAAGTCCATCTGCTCAGCTAGCTTCCTCAGCTCCATCATGCGAGGTCCTTCATCAGGTTCTCGAATTCCTCTTCCTTCCTCGCCTTCACCGTCTTGACGGCTTCCGATGCCTCTATCCATCAAACCCTTCCTATTCTCTCGCAACCTCTCTCCACCACTCTGCACACATGCCTTCTCCCCAGCACCATGACTCGCTGCCTCCACACAAGCACCGGTGTCTGTGAGCTGGTCCCGAAGAAATTCGGAGAGGTGCTGGAGGGCAGACAAGCAGGCGGTTCGCACGCTGTGGTTGGAACTCAATAGGGCTCGTGCTGGCTCCTGGTGGAAAGGGGGGGGAGGGGGAAAGAGGGAGGAGCGGGGATGGGAGCTGGGCTGATCCCGGAGGAATGCGGAGAGGTGCTGGAGGGTGAACTAGCAGGCGATTTGCATGCTGTGGTGAAAAATTAGACACAAAGCTGGAACCCACACGGGCTAGTGCTGGCAAGCGATCAATTAAAAATTACCGAGAATTCACAATGAATAACAAGAAAGTGAGGGGCGACATCTCACAGTGGAGAGCATGTGCAGAAGCTCCTTGAGATCCGATGCTGCACGCTGTGACAGTTGCTGCCTCTGCTGGTGGGGATAAAGAATTAGACAAGGTAAGAAAGATGTTTCTCCTTCCAAGGTAAGAAAGAAGAACCACAAGACCGGGAAGGTAAAGCAAAAGGCGAGTGTCTGTCAGTGAAAGATGTTTCTCCTTCCAAGGCCTGAAAAAAGCCGCCCATGCTTTGAGCGATGCTAAACAGTAAACAGTAACAGCGGATGGCAGGCATGGATAAACCAGAGTCAAACGACTGTAACGCATGTCTAGGGCAGTGAGTGAGAGAGGTCTTTACTGACAGTGTGGAAGGATGCGGATAGCAGGGCAGTGAGGGAGGCCTGTACTGATGTTGCCAGAGACTGTACCTGTACGGATGGGATGGGGGTGGCCAGTAGGGGGAGGGCGAAAGATGGAAGGGAGGTGACGAAAAGGGTAAGTGGTTAGTCGAGGCAATGGTAATGGCAGCTGCATGAGAAACAGGGAGTCATAGAAACGTGCTAGACGCGTTATCCTGGAAGAAAAGGAAGGCCTTGCATCCCTTCATGGCCTTGGTGGGAGACACCCAGGAGAGCGTGTTTTTTGAGAATTCTCAACATCTTCAAACACGCTCTGCAACATCTTCTGGGTACGCAAAGAGGGTACGCAACCTCTTGGTGAAAGCCTTGGTGGGAGACACCCAGGAGCATCCACTCACGAGTAGCGTGAGGCAGGCGGGTGGGGACGGTGTGTTCCTGCTCCTGCTCTTGTTCTCGGTCTTGTTTCTCTGCACCCGATCTCCCCTCCTGCCTCCCGCATCGCCTGCTGCTGCCGCAGCTGTCAGCTCCTCCGCTGCTTGCTGACAAGCCTTGCGAGCGACTCTGATGGACCAGTGAGAAGTGAGGGGGGCAGCAGGGCCATGACATGGCCAAGTAAGAGAATAAGGGCTCTGTCAAGATTTACTTGCCCCTTTCCACACGAGTGTGGAACGGGCGGTGGCTGAAGATGCAGGTGGTTGAGTTGAACGCATTGAGACAAGAGCAGTCTAATGACATGAGAACAGTCGCGTCAGTCAGACACAGTATAGAGAGCCGAGACCAAGAGCACTTGAGTGAGACATATACATGCATGGTCAGACAGAAGAAGGGCACCTGAGAGCACAGTGCAGGTCACGAAGTGCCTCCTCAAGCTGCTCCCTCTCCTCGCCATCCTTTGTTCTCTCTTCCTTGGCCGCTTCTGCATGCACGGTGCAGAGAGGATTCTCAATGACTTGAATGACTGTGACTTGTCCGGTGCAGCAGTGACAATATTCCTCTGTGCATGGACGCATGTTTTGCAGCCCGTATAACAGGCATGCCACCAGCTACACCAGCAGCTATACCAGAGCATGTATACCAGGTATACCAGAGGAAACCTGTTGAATGTTGAGCGGAGCATGGAACCCTGAATGTGCAGGTGCGGCACCTAGCAGCTGTTTGGCATAGCGGTGTTCCTAGCAGCACCTCTAGCTGTAGGGGGTTGCTGTTGCGGGCGACTCAGCATCTTGAGAGTGACTGCAGCGAGCGGAGTGAGTGTGCTGACTACCTGTAGAGATGGAGGGGTGGATGGGTGGATGGGTGGGTGGGTGGGTGGGACCGTGGGAGAGTGGATAATAAAATGCATCGATAGAGTGATGGATGGATGGATGGATGGATGGATGATGGATGGATGGATGGATGGATGGATGGATGGATGGATGGATGGATGGATGGATGGATGGATGGATGGATGGATGGATGGATGGATGGATGGATGGATGGATGGATGGATGGATGGATGGATGGATGGATGGATGGATGGATGGATGGATGGATGGATGGACGGACGGACGGATGGATGGATGGATGTATGGATGGATGAGGAGGGTGTTCGGCTTGAAGGGTAGCAAAAAGGATAAACAAAACATACCTTTTCTTCATCACAATAACCAATATGAAGACGCCTGAAAAACATGCTATATCAGCACAGTAACAATCCAAACCTGTATCAACCTGTGCTAGTCTCCATGTGACAATCCCACACCTCCGTCACACACTTCCCCCCCACCTACTTCCCATCTCCGCCCTCACCCTCTCCTAGCCCACTCACAAGGAAACGATCTGTGCCAAGAGCAGTCCGCCTCACAAAGACTAACAGGCCCCTCCGCCAGCCTCACTATGTGTCCCTTTCCCCTCTCTCAAATCCCTCCCTCCCTCAATTCCATCCCTCCCTCAATTCCCTCTCTCACCCTCTCCTAGCCCACTCACAAGGAAATGGTCCGCGCCAAGTGCAGACCGCCTCAGGTGGAGGGACCTGCAGAGCAGACCAAGGTGGGAAGGCAAATGGGGAGGTAGATGGGGAGGAGAGACAGAGAGAAGCAAATGTGCAAGTGAGAGGGAAGAACGGAACGACACGATATCTGAGTCACTTTTCTTTGAGACGTCTCAAAAATCTTCTTTATACACGATATCTGAGTCACTTTCCAGAAATCTCAAAAACGGAATGACAGAACGATGCAACAAGGGGGATAAGCCGAGGATAAAATGAAAGGCAACCTAGAATCACAGAACACACTATTATCACCTGAAGAAGAGAACAATAACCTGAAGGGGACAAAGAGTCACCTAAAGAAACCCATCAGTCAACTGAGAAGGAAATTCATAAACCACCTGACGAAAACACAAAACGCACCTGAGGAAACCCATAAATCACCTGAGCAACGCTTCCCGTGCCTCCTCTAGTCGGCCTTGCTTCTCAAGAGTAGCAGCCAGCGATGCAAGCATGCCTGCCAGAGCTGGTGCCTCTGTGCCCTGCCAGAAACGAAGAGAGGGTTGTGGCAGTGAGTTCAAGGGCAATGTATGGAGGCGGGAGCATGTACGGGTGCATCTGTGCCCTGCCGTGCAGAGAATGCTGCAAATGCAGCAAATAGAGAGTTTGCAGAGAATGCTGCATAGAATGCAGTGCAGGGCGAGCATGCAGGGATTGGTGTTGACTCACCTCACCCATCTCAACCGCATGGATGGCTCGTCTCTGCAACCTCTCAGCCTCCCTCAGCAACTCCGCGTCTCCACCTCTACTGCTGCCACCGTCCCCTTGCTGCTGTTGCCCCTGCTGCCCCTGCCGCTGTCCATTGATAGCCGCAGTTGCGGGGAGGGTGGCTGCTGGTGCTGATGCTGACTGCACAAGCATCTGTTAGCGCCAACGGCAGAGAGAAACAGACAGCAGAGAGAAACAGACAGACAGGTGTGAATCGCTTTCGATAAATCCCAGATACGATTCTGATAAAGCTGACTGCACAAGCATCTGTCAGGAGACCCAGTGCATGTTCTGATTTTTGAGGCGCCTCAAAAAAGAGACCCAGTGCATGTTCTGCCCAGCCAGGCAGATAGCACTGCCCTGCCCACACTAGATTCAGACATGCTTTTTGAGAATTCTAAAAAAACATACGTTCTCATTGAGACATGTCTGAATCAAGCAGATAGCACTGCCCTGCCCACACTACTCGTCTCACCCCTAATGGCTGAGCGAGCCAGCCACCATCCCACCTGTGCCAGCAGCATCAAACGCCGAGCCTGCACTGCCCTGCCCTCACTATTCGTCTCTCACCCCTAGTTGCTAATCGAACCAGGCATGCATTCATCCCACCTGTGCCAGCAGCATCAAACGCCGAGCCTGCACTGCCCTGCCCTCACTATTCGTCTCTCACCCCTAGTTGCTAATCGAACCAGGCATGCATTCATCCCACCTGTGCCAGCAGCATCATACGCCGAGCCTGCACTGCCCTGCCCTCACTATTCGTCTCTCACCCCTAGTTGCTAATCGAACCAGGCATGCATTCATCCCACCTGTGCCAGCAGCATCAAACGCCGAGCCTGCACTGCCCTGCCCTCACTATTCGTCTCTCACCCCTAGTTGCTAATCGAACCAGGCATGCATTCATCCCACCTGTGCCAGCAGCATCAAACGCCGAGCCTGCACTGCCCTGCCCTCACTATTCGTCTCTCACCCCTAGTTGCTAATCGAACCAGGCATGCATTCATCCCACCTGTGCCAGCAGCATCATACGCCGAGCCTGCACTGCCCTGCCCTCACTATTCGTCTCTCACCCCTAGTTGCTAATCGAACCAGGCATGCATTCATCCCACCTGTGCCAGCAGCATCATACGCCGAGCCTGCACTGCCCTGCCCTCACTATTCGTCTCTCACCCCTAGTTGCTAATCGAACCAGGCATGCATTCATCCCACCTGTGCCAGCAGCATCATACGCCGAGCCTGCACTGCCCTGCCCTCACTATTCGTCTCTCACCCCTAGTTGCTAATCGAACCAGGCATGCATTCATCCCACCTGTGCCAGCAGCATCATACGCCGAGCCTGCACTGCCCTGCCCTCACTATTCGTCTCTCACCCCTAGTTGCTAATCGAACCAGGCATGCATTCATCCCACCTGTGCCAGCAGCATCATACGCCGAGCCTGCACTGCCCTGCCCTCACTATTCGTCTCTCACCCCTAGTTGCTAATCGAACCAGGCATGCATTCATCCCACCTGTGCCAGCAGCATCAAACGCCGAGCCTGCACTGCCCTGCCCTCACTATTCGTCTCTCACCCCTAGTTGCTAATCGAACCAGGCATGCATTCATCCCACCTGTGCCAGCAGCATCATACGCCGAGCCTGCACTGCCCTGCCCTCACTATTCGTCTCTCACCCCTAGTTGCTAATCGAACCAGGCATGCATTCATCCCACCTGTGCCAGCAGCATCATACGCCGAGCCTGCACTGCCCTGCCCTCACTATTCGTCTCTCACCCCTAGTTGCTAATCGAACCAGGCATGCATTCATCCCACCTGTGCCAGCAGCATCAAACGCCGAGCCTGCACTGCCCTGCCCTCACTATTCGTCTCTCACCCCTAGTTGCTAATCGAACCAGGCATGCATTCATCCCACCTGTGCCAGCAGCATCATACGCCGAGCCTGCACTGCCCTGCCCTCACTATTCGTCTCTCACCCCTAGTTGCTAATCGAACCAGGCATGCATTCATCCCACCTGTGCCAGCAGCATCAAACGCCGAGCCTGCACTGCCCTGCCCTCACTATTCGTCTCTCACCCCTAGTTGCTAATCGAACCAGGCATGCATTCATCCCACCTGTGCCAGCAGCATCATACGCCGAGCCTGCACTGCCCTGCCCTCACTATTCGTCTCTCACCCCTAGTTGCTAATCGAACCAGGCATGCATTCATCCCACCTGTGCCAGCAGCATCATACGCCGAGCCTGCACTGCCCTGCCCTCACTATTCGTCTCTCACCCCTAGTTGCTAATCGAACCAGGCATGCATTCATCCCACCTGTGCCAGCAGCATCATACGCCGAGCCTGCACTGCCCTGCCCTCACTATTCGTCTCTCACCCCTAGTTGCTAATCGAACCAGGCATGCCTTCATCCCACCTGTGCCAGCAGCATCAAACGCCGAGCCTGCACTGCCCTGCCCTCACTATTCGTCTCTCACCCCTAGTTGCTAATCGAACCAGGCATGCATTCATCCCACCTGTGCCAGCAGCATCAAACGCCGAGCCTGCACTGCCCTGCCCTCACTATTCGTCTCTCACCCCTAGTTGCTAATCGAACCAGGCATGCATTCATCCCACCTGTGCCAGCAGCATCATACGCCGAGCCTGCACTGCCCTGCCCTCACTATTCGTCTCTCACCCCTAGTTGCTAATCGAACCAGGCATGCATTCATCCCACCTGTGCCAGCAGCATCATACGCCGAGCCTGCACTGCCCTGCCCTCACTATTCGTCTCTCACCCCTAGTTGCTAATCGAACCAGGCATGCATTCATCCCACCTGTGCCAGCAGCATCATACGCCGAGCCTGCACTGCCCTGCCCTCACTATTCGTCTCTCACCCCTAGTTGCTAATCGAACCAGGCATGCCTTCATCCCACCTGTGCCAGCAGCATCATACGCCGAGCCTGCACTGCCCTGCCCTCACTATTCGTCTCTCACCCCTAGTTGCTAATCGAACCAGGCATGCATTCATCCCACCTGTGCCAGCAGCATCAAACGCCGAGCCTGCACTGCCCTGCCCTCACTATTCGTCTCTCACCCCTAGTTGCTAATCGAACCAGGCATGCATTCATCCCACCTGTGCCAGCAGCATCAAACGCCGAGCCTGCACTGCCCTGCCCTCACTATTCGTCTCTCACCCCTAGTTGCTAATCGAACCAGGCATGCATTCATCCCACCTGTGCCAGCAGCATCAAACGCCGAGCCTGCACTGCCCTGCCCTCACTATTCGTCTCTCACCCCTAGTTGCTAATCGAACCAGGCATGCATTCATCCCACCTGTGCCAGCAGCATCAAACGCCGAGCCTGCACTGCCCTGCCCTCACTATTCGTCTCTCACCCCTAGTTGCTAATCGAACCAGGCATGCATTCATCCCACCTGTGCCAGCAGCATCAAACGCCGAGCCTGCACTGCCCTGCCCTCACTATTCGTCTCTCACCCCTAGTTGCTAATCGAACCAGGCATGCATTCATCCCACCTGTGCCAGCAGCATCAAACGCCGAGCCTGCACTGCCCTGCCCTCACTATTCGTCTCTCACCCCTAGTTGCTAATCGAACCAGGCATGCATTCATCCCACCTGTGCCAGCAGCATCAAACGCCGAGCCTGCACTGCCCTGCCCTCACTATTCGTCTCTCACCCCTAGTTGCTAATCGAACCAGGCATGCCTTCATCCCACCTGTGCCAGCAGCATCAAACGCCGAGCCTGCACTGCCCTGCCCTCACTATTCGTCTCTCACCCCTAGTTGCTAATCGAACCAGGCATGCATTCATCCCACCTGTGCCAGCAGCATCAAACGCCGAGCCTGCACTGCCCTGCCCTCACTATTCGTCTCTCACCCCTAGTTGCTAATCGAACCAGGCATGCCTTCATCCCACCTGTGCCAGCAGCATCATACGCCGAGCCTGCACTGCCCTGCCCTCACTATTCGTCTCTCACCCCTAGTTGCTAATCGAACCAGGCATGCATTCATCCCACCTGTGCCAGCAGCATCAAACGCCGAGCCTGCACTGCCCTGCCCTCACTATTCGTCTCTCACCCCTAGTTGCTAATCGAACCAGGCATGCATTCATCCCACCTGTGCCAGCAGCATCAAACGCCGAGCCTGCACTGCCCTGCCCTCACTATTCGTCTCTCACCCCTAGTTGCTAATCGAACCAGGCATGCATTCATCCCACCTGTGCCAGCAGCATCATACGCCGAGCCTGCACTGCCCTGCCCTCACTATTCGTCTCTCACCCCTAGTTGCTAATCGAACCAGGCATGCATTCATCCCACCTGTGCCAGCAGCATCATACGCCGAGCCTGCACTGCCCTGCCCTCACTATTCGTCTCTCACCCCTAGTTGCTAATCGAACCAGGCATGCATTCATCCCACCTGTGCCAGCAGCATCAAACGCCGAGCCTGCACTGCCCTGCCCTCACTATTCGTCTCTCACCCCTAGTTGCTAATCGAACCAGGCATGCATTCATCCCACCTGTGCCAGCAGCATCATACGCCGAGCCTGCACTGCCCTGCCCTCACTATTCGTCTCTCACCCCTAGTTGCTAATCGAACCAGGCATGCCTTCATCCCACCTGTGCCAGCAGCATCATACGCCGAGCCTGCACTGCCCTGCCCTCACTATTCGTCTCTCACCCCTAGTTGCTAATCGAACCAGGCATGCATTCATCCCACCTGTGCCAGCAGCATCAAACGCCGAGCCTGCACTGCCCTGCCCTCACTATTCGTCTCTCACCCCTAGTTGCTAATCGAACCAGGCATGCATTCATCCCACCTGTGCCAGCAGCATCAAACGCCGAGCCTGCACTGCCCTGCCCTCACTATTCGTCTCTCACCCCTAGTTGCTAATCGAACCAGGCATGCATTCATCCCACCTGTGCCAGCAGCATCAAACGCCGAGCCTGCACTGCCCTGCCCTCACTATTCGTCTCTCACCCCTAGTTGCTAATCGAACCAGGCATGCATTCATCCCACCTGTGCCAGCAGCATCAAACGCCGAGCCTGCACTGCCCTGCCCTCACTATTCGTCTCTCACCCCTAGTTGCTAATCGAACCAGGCATGCCTTCATCCCACCTGTGCCAGCAGCATCAAACGCCGAGCCTGCACTGCCCTGCCCTCACTATTCGTCTCTCACCCCTAGTTGCTAATCGAACCAGGCATGCATTCATCCCACCTGTGCCAGCAGCATCAAACGCCGAGCCTGCACTGCCCTGCCCTCACTATTCGTCTCTCACCCCTAGTTGCTAATCGAACCAGGCATGCATTCATCCCACCTGTGCCAGCAGCATCATACGCCGAGCCTGCACTGCCCTGCCCTCACTATTCGTCTCTCACCCCTAGTTGCTAATCGAACCAGGCATGCATTCATCCCACCTGTGCCAGCAGCATCATACGCCGAGCCTGCACTGCCCTGCCCTCACTATTCGTCTCTCACCCCTAGTTGCTAATCGAACCAGGCATGCATTCATCCCACCTGTGCCAGCAGCATCATACGCCGAGCCTGCACTGCCCTGCCCTCACTATTCGTCTCTCACCCCTAGTTGCTAATCGAACCAGGCATGCATTCATCCCACCTGTGCCAGCAGCATCATACGCCGAGCCTGCACTGCCCTGCCCTCACTATTCGTCTCTCACCCCTAGTTGCTAATCGAACCAGGCATGCATTCATCCCACCTGTGCCAGCAGCATCAAACGCCGAGCCTGCACTGCCCTGCCCTCACTATTCGTCTCTCACCCCTAGTTGCTAATCGAACCAGGCATGCATTCATCCCACCTGTGCCAGCAGCATCATACGCCGAGCCTGCACTGCCCTGCCCTCACTATTCGTCTCTCACCCCTAGTTGCTAATCGAACCAGGCATGCATTCATCCCACCTGTGCCAGCAGCATCAAACGCCGAGCCTGCACTGCCCTGCCCTCACTATTCGTCTCTCACCCCTAGTTGCTAATCGAACCAGGCATGCATTCATCCCACCTGTGCCAGCAGCATCATACGCCGAGCCTGCACTGCCCTGCCCTCACTATTCGTCTCTCACCCCTAGTTGCTAATCGAACCAGGCATGCATTCATCCCACCTGTGCCAGCAGCATCAAACGCTGAGCCTGCACTGCCCTGCCCTCACTATTCGTCTCTCACCCCTAGTTGCTAATCGAACCCGGCATGCATTCATCCCACCTGTGCCAGCAGCATCAAACGCCGAGCCTGCACTGCCCTGCCTGCACTGCCCTGCCCTCACTATTCGTCTCTCACCCCTAGTTGCTAATCGAACCAGGCATGCATTCATCCCACCTGTGCCAGCAGCATCATACGCCGAGCCTGCACTGCCCTGCCCTCACTATTCGTCTCTCACCCCTAGTTGCTAATCGAACCAGGCATGCATTCATCCCACCTGTGCCAGCAGCATCAAACGCCGAGCCTGCACTGCCCTGCCCTCACTATTCGTCTCTCACCCCTAGTTGCTAATCGAACCCGGCATGCATTCATCCCACCTGTGCCAGCAGCATCAAACGCCGAGCCTGCACTGCCCTGCCTGCACTGCCCTGCCCTCACTATTCGTCTCTCACCCCTAGTTGCTAATCGAACCAGGCATGCATTCATCCCACCTGTGCCAGCAGCATCATACGCCGAGCCTGCACTGCCCTGCCCTCACTATTCGTCTCTCACCCCTAGTTGCTAATCGAACCAGGCATGCATTCATCCCACCTGTGCCAGCAGCATCATACGCCGAGCCTGCACTGCCCTGCCCTCACTATTCGTCTCTCACCCCTAGTTGCTAATCGAACCAGGCATGCATTCATCCCACCTGTGCCAGCAGCATCAAACGCCGAGCCTGCACTGCCCTGCCCTCACTATTCGTCTCTCACCCCTAGTTGCTAATCGAACCAGGCATGCATTCATCCCACCTGTGCCAGCAGCATCATACGCCGAGCCTGCACTGCCCTGCCCTCACTATTCGTCTCTCACCCCTAGTTGCTAATCGAACCAGGCATGCATTCATCCCACCTGTGCCAGCAGCATCAAACGCCGAGCCTGCACTGCCCTGCCCTCACTATTCGTCTCTCACCCCTAGTTGCTAATCGAACCAGGCATGCATTCATCCCACCTGTGCCAGCAGCATCAAACGCCGAGCCTGCACTGCCCTGCCCTCACTATTCGTCTCTCACCCCTAGTTGCTAATCGAACCAGGCATGCATTCATCCCACCTGTGCCAGCAGCATCAAACGCCGAGCCTGCACTGCCCTGCCCTCACTATTCGTCTCTCACCCCTAGTTGCTAATCGAACCAGGCATGCATTCATCCCA